CTATTGAATTGATGCGATCACCTAAGAGCCAAACCCTAAAAAATGTCGGCCGAACACAACAACGCCGCCCTCGAAAAGGAGGTCAGTCCTGCCCCCGAGGCCCCCAGCAATGGCCTCAACGGCGGCGCCCCCATCACCCCCCAGTTGACTGCGGAGGAGACTGCCAGAGCGGCCGCCCGCTTCGGCTACGGGCCGCTCTCCCACGTTAACACCAAGGAGGCCAACCTGCGCCCCTTTGGTGGTGAGTTCCAGCCCGGTCTGTACAAGTCCGTCGAGCACCGCAAGTTCGGCAATCCCGCGCCGCTCGGCCTCTGCGCTTTCGCTCTCACCACCTTCGTCCTGAGCGCCATCAACATGGGCGCCCGCGACATCACCGAGCCTAACATCGTCGTCGCCCTCGCCTTTGGCTACGGCGGTCTCGTCCAGCTGCTCGCCGGCATGTGGTAAGTCCCGTCTCCTTGCGTCCCGTTAAATGACGCGCGGGGGCCTAATGTTAATGTATCACAGGGAAATGGCCGTCGGCAACACCTTTGGTGCCACCGCCCTGTCCTCGTACGGCGGCTTCTGGCTGTCCTTTGCCATCGTCCTGACCCCCGGTGGATTCGAGATTGCCTCGACCATCGAAGAAGCCGGCGGCGCCGCCATGTTCGATAACTCCTTCGGCCTGTTCCTCTTCGTAAGCGCCCCCTCCCCCACTTACCTCTCTCTTCCCAGACACTAACTTGTCCAGGGCTGGTTCATCTTCACCACGATCCTGCTCTTCTGCACCCTGCGCTCCACCGTGGCCTTCTTCCTGCTCTTCTTCTTCCTCGACCTGACCTTCCTGCTGCTCGGTATCGGCTACATCCACCGCAACTCCGAGGGCAAGCCCAACCCGCCCGTCATCAAGGCCGGCGGCTTCTTCGGCCTGCTCGCCGCCTTCACCGCCTGGTACAACGCCCTCGCCGGTATCGCCGACAACACCAACAGCTTCTTCATCATCCCCGTCGCCCACTTCCCCTGGTCGCCGACTGCGCGCTCTCGCAAGACCGAGCGCGAGCAGGCCTAAGCCTTTGCAAAAGTTGGGGCTGGGGTTGGGTCGATGGTGGTGTCGTAGAATGGCCGCCGTCGCAAGAAGAGTTGATCGTTTCAGATACCCATTCTTGTAAGATCATTGCTGGGCGAGGGCGTGTCTGTCTTTTGGGTGGATGCGTCGTTCGGAGGGTCGGGTCGGGTCGGGTTGCGTGCCGCGTGCCTGTACCTGTACCTGCAGCAGGTATAGATGGTCTTGTGACATATTGCTTTTGTGGTTTCTTTTTTTGATCTGCTTGTTTCTTTTGTCAGTACAGTAATATTCCGAGACTTGCGTAATGGAGGGGTGATGTTGTCCTCGGGACAATAGGGGGAGAAGTCTTTGTATCTAGTCTAATGAGTTTGCTCGAGTTCTTCCATGTTGTAGCCTTCATCATTACTAGTATGGGATAACGTACCTTAGGTGAGTATGAAGTACTTGAGGGAGGCTTGAGGGAGACACTGTAGGTTAGTGCTGCCATGTATGAAGCATTAGTTTGTAGTATAGCAGATGGCTGAGGGCTGATGGAGCCATGATATTCCGTGGTTAGCAAGCCATTGAGGCAGGGTGGTGAGAGCAATGCAAATTTTCAGAGAAGAGGAAGAGACCCCTATTAGTAGTCCCACGCATACTTCGGAAATCACTCGGTGGCTCAGGGTGGGTATAGCTCGGGGGTTGCTCGGGCGGGTTTTTCTCGGAATTCCTTGCTCCTATAGTTAGCTATCTTCCCAGCTATCACCGTCTACTCCGTACTCCGTATGCACGTGTGCTACTCGTGGGTCTGACGGCGTCTTGTCTTATCATGAAACTGATCCCGGTGGAACCAGAGGTACTCCCTACTACTTCTTACGATCCTACTAGCTGTAGACAACGGTACTCGTAGGTACACGGTATATACTCATATCTCATCATAGCATAGCTCATTATACAGTAGACAGTCATGCCGCATACACGACCGACTGATGCAGCTCATCCCAGAGCCCCCGCAGCGGACTCAGGTACACGCGATCCACGTAGAAAAAGTTCATCAGCAGCGCGCGCAGCGCCTGCCACGAACCCACCCCTTGCCGCCGTACCGCGGACGCCAGCTCCGCGACGAAGAACGCCCGATCCGGCAGCAGTCCCGAGCTGCACGACCCGACAAACAGCAGCCAGATCAGCAGGTCCTCGCAGTGGCGGAAGTAGCCCGCGGGGAGGGTCGTCTCCAGCGCCTTCCGCAGCGCGATGATGGGCTTGGGGAACACCGGCGCGATCTGTGGGTAAAAGTCCCAGATGACCGAGTTGTGGAAGAGAAGACACCCAAGGCGGACGCAGCCCTCGATGGTGGCGTCGTTCTTCGCGGCCCCCGTCTCCGTATACCGGTCCGTGTGGAGGGCGTACTCGGTATAGAGCACTTCCGTGTTGAAGTAGAGCTCCGTCTCGTCGTCGAATTCCTGGTACGGCACGCTCCCCTTGATCCACTCGGCGTACCAGACGAGCTCGCGCAGGTCGAAGACGATCTTCGACATGGCATCGCCGAGGATGCCGGGGATTTTGATCAAGTCGATCAGACCAGAAGCCGTATGCGCAAAGTCGTTGTGAGGAGGGAGGATCGTGAAATGGGTGGGACGGACGTATCGGACAAAAGGGAAGATCGGTTTTGTAAATGCCATGCACGCGACGCGGATATCGGTCCTGCTGATGTTAGCATGTCGTTGTTGCTTTTCCTGCGGTCAGGCTCACCAGGAGATCTGGAACCGAACGTCTGGAGGCACGTCGGCGAAGCTGTTGCGCATGGAGACCATCTGCCTTAACCCGGCAAGGTGGACTTTGAGGTAATCGGGATTTCCAGACGCAATCTATACTCGTCAATAATGGACGCCTCGTTTGACCGGTGGACATGCATACCTCGATCGTGAGTAAGATAGAAACAGCCGCGATCAATTCATCACTAGACGCTTTGGGAGGACTCGACAGGCCCTCGTTGACCAGTCGGATGGTCTCCCCGCGGTGGTGGAAGGTATCGAGAAGAAGTAGACTCGAGCTTTGCTTCTCAGACCTGAGGGGGAATTCTCCCACAGTCAAGGCAGTGTTCGTCGCAGCGACGCAGATTGTAGCCTGGAGACATGCCGGGTCATGCTGGACTAAGGACGACCAGTGAGGATTGGGAGTTTTCTGTTCCGGTAGCGTCGGTTGCAAATGGATAAGCCCTGGATTGGTCAAAGTCCATAGGAGGGACTTAAATGAAACATGGTCAGTGCTGGCTAAGTACCCATAAAAGAGGAACCGGATGCTTACAAGTGCCTGCCAAAATGACGGCATCAATGCGATCGGGTCCAGCGGGCGTGTGCATCCACGCTAAATGGGATCCTTGCCTCCAGGACCCAGATACGCGTATGGAGACATGCTCTGCGCGGTCTCCACGACATAAGGCTGGGAATGGCGGGCTCCCGCCATACCCGTCTGCTGTGGTGACAGATGCAGGGTACGCGACAACCCGAGTATCGGAAACGGCGGCAATAGCCTGTTGCGGGCTTTCCCGCTTCACCTCCTCTGGCGACGAGGATGGGGAAGAGTCGGAAGATATTCGACTCTTGGGGGAGGCGGTTTTCGACGGTGATCGATGAGAGGGTGCGGTCGTGGAGGTCGTGGGGGCCGCCGCACTGGAAGCGGCGGTCTCGACCGGCTGGAAAGCCAGATGCTTCCACGTTTTCCCTTTGTTGTACCGTTTGGTGTTTTCCATGCGCTTCTTTCGATTATGCTCCGACATGACATGTGAACGAATGCGCTTTAAGGTTTCCTCTCGCGTCCCCTCCGACACGGACTGCGGGTCGGTATGCACCCAGAACAGCGTGGACCGACCCCCCGGGCCATTATTGGCCTTGCGCGGTTTGCGCAACTTGGACACGCTATTCTTACCGGCATCTGGACGGGTGGGTTCGACGACCTCGGGAGGTGGTGGTGCGGGCTCAGGATGGGGATTGGTGTCGGCCACATAGGGTAAGGTACGCGACGGGAGAGAGACGGACGGCGAGTTCGAGGGCGCGGGGGTCGGATAGGGTTGCGGCGGCAGATGCGACGGGTAATTAGGATTAATTTGTTGAGGATTATAGGGATAAGCATCTATCTGAGGAGGTGGGGGAGCGGAGGGCCATGGTGCAGGCGCGGGCTGCATGGGATAGACGTGCTGAGGGTGGTGATGGTGGTGGAGGTGCAACTGGTCGGGATCGAAGAATGTCGAGGCCGCCGTTGACGGGGGAGGGTCCTTGGCATCCATCGCACGAGCGAGTCTAATGGTATCGAAGCAGGCTGAATGCAAGGATATTCATGGTTCTAGAGAAGGAGAGTGGAGGGCGGTCGAAGAGAAGATAGGGTGGTGATGGTGGATGAATCACCCGCACGCTGTGCTTATCAGGACAAGCCCATGCGCTGGGGATCGAGAAAGCGCGAGACAATGGACGTCGGAAATAAAGAAAGCGGAAGAGTCCGGAGGGACCGGTCGAGTGTAAGCAGAACGGAATAAGCACTGCGCAGTGCGATGAAGGAGAGAGATTAGGAGGGGGAAGATGATAGGGAAAGAGGAGAGAGGCGACGGGGATTCGACGATTTCCCACGGAGCCAATGGCACGGACAGGGTCGAGAGGAGAAGCGAAAGAAAGAAAGAAGAGGCAAAAAAGAAAAGAAAAGAGAGAAATCAGACGGCGTGCATAAGTTGGATGGACTGCATGAAGTGATTCTGGCTAAGCCTTTCTCACTAGGAGATCTCGGAAGCAGAACCTGCCGGCGCCCGACGGATCCACCACCTTAATCATACAGATTCTATCAATCTCAACAATAGCATCAAAGGTCTTCACCTAGAAGAATGCATAGCTAGACATCTATAATACATAGAGAATGAACGACCAAGATGCTCGTCAACATCACTCGTAGACCCCCTGATCGTCGTCTCACAACCCCCACATGCCCGATCGGATCCGATCGGACATTTTCCATTCCTTCTCCTTGCATGCCACGCGAGATGACAGCTCTTTTCTTTCGACCGACTAGGACGACCACACTGTCCTCTCGGTGTGTTAGGGTTTCTCGTCAGGAACGCCACGTCGGGATGCCCTCCGAATTCAGCTCCTCCCACCGAACGAACCGCTCTTCTCGGACCACCGTCCGTCCATGGCAGACCCTTTTCCCGCCCAGACTTGTCGTCTCCACCATGCCATTGTTAGTGCCTCTGTCTGTGCCCCTTGATGAACCGGGACGGTTGGAGGGTGCCGAATCGCCAACTCCCGGTCCGTGTGCATGAGTCAAGAAACACTAGGCTTTGCGGATATATCATGCGCTTTTTCACCATACCGGGCGAACCTTCGTCAAGGGATTGTACCGCCTCGGTAAGCAGCCACAACCAGAAACACAGATGATGGATTGGTCATCCCTCGGAGAGGGCTCTGTTCACCAAGAGGATTCTATCCGTCAACTGCCGTGTCGGAACCCCAGGAAGACCTCGAGGCCAATCCCACCCCCTAATCATGAAGCGTACGTAAGGTTCAATCAAAGTTTTGCTAGTCTAGACCCTCTTAGTTTCGTGGTTGCTGAAACACCCGGTGAGCACTGCAGACCTTTTTTTAGAACACAATGCAAATTGAGATGCTCCCCACAGTCCATATTTCCCAACGGTGCGGATCGTAATTGAATTGGATGTGTCGATGCCAGTACCTGTCTGCATTGGGCTGATCTCTACAGTCGATCTGTCGTCGGTATTGTTTAAGAGCCGCCTAGGAGCGAACGTTCTTTTCGTCAGGTTGGCTGGACTAGACAGAATATATATACTCGGTATCATCAGAATTGAACAGCCAGCAAGATTTACAATCACTCTACATAAAGTGAAGATGACCACTTCATGTCATATCGTTTGTTGTTATATAAGATCAATCTCTTCTACCATCTTATACCTTTACTGTCTCTCATATAGTTATACTCGTACTCCATGAACCGCTCAGGTCATCATCTTCTATACAAAAGATTCAACTCTGCACAGTACCAACAGTGCTGCGACCATGATAAGAGATCCTGACCAATTTCTTTCCTACCTCACTATCTGCCCCTGTTGAACGACAACACTGACCGGAGTCTACGCTTCAACGGAGCCAATCTCGCCTCTCGAACAGACACAATGTATAACACAATGCCTTTACAACCTCTAGGAGCTACCTCTTACTTTCTCTCCTCTTCCTGTACTCTCCCAACACTCCCCTCACAACTCTCTTTTCTTTCCTACTCTCGTCTCCTTCTTCCAACATTCTCTCTCAGCCCATTCGGTCATATCCCTTAGCCAGATTCTTTCTTACTCTCGCATCCTTGCAATATGGATTTGGTTTCACTTGATCTCCGGGCAAAGAAACCCCAGGTCTCCTGGGGCACTGAACAAAAGGTGTACCTGTGCTGTCTATTTCGGTTCTTCGAAAGGGAGATGTCGCTCTATAAGCAAGTATTCGATCTCGAATTTCAGACGGAGCCTGATACATGGGGATTTCCAAACGGCGTACCATCAAGCAGACTTGACACCCGATGGACAGACATGCGGTCGAGAGGGGACCCTATATGGGGCTACGTTCACTTATCCCCCTTCGATATGAATGGACAGTGGGGTTCTGTCGTCGAAAGAATTCAAATTGCTGCGGAAACTCTAGGTATCCGTCTTGAAAGAAAGACGGCGGACGACATCGATGTTTCGAGATTCACCCCGACATCTAGACTGACACTCTCGCAACAGCAAGTCGTGGTGAGTACCTGAGTACCCGTTCTTATACTACAGGATTGGCCTAATCTGTTGCAGGGAATGACTGAAGAGCAGACTTCAAGCTCTCCCAGGAAACGCCCCGATAACTTCCCGGTCGATAATTTACCCCCGTCGAAGCGTCGTGAGCCAGAGAAGCTTTGCACTGGAGGTGGCAAAAAGTGCCTCTGGTGTTCATTCCATCAGCTGGAGTCAGAGGACGCCTCTGCTGCCGCTTTGCGAACCGAGTTGCCCACGCTTCTCTACAGGTGGTCCAATGTCGACACCCAAGGCGTCAATACCAGAAAGCTATATCTCTCTGGACTCGCTGCCGAAGCTGAATATTTCTCGCCTAACGATATCTCGGCGGAAGAATTTAAGAGCTTTCTGTCCCGACATGTTCACATCGACAAAGTCCCGTCTCCCTTTATTTCGACCATGATGTCCTTGTTGGCGCCTCTACATCGAGGAATCAGAAGCAAAGATACAGCGATTGTCTCTATCATCGACCCGAACAAGTTGGGCACAGAGTCCCCCGTGTTTTCCGCGAAAGATCTTATGCGCAGGATCAGCCTGAAAGTTAACGGGTATTACAATGGCACGGGAGAATACCTAGTCTGGTGGAAAATCCCTGCCTCTGCAATTATCTGTTCCTTCAAAGTTAGCGACCTTATGCATATAGCTCAGGACTGGCCAGCTATTCTTGAACTGATGCAATTCGATACGATTGCCGCCACTCAAGGAATCCGCGGAGGGCTACGGCGTAAACTAGCCAGAGGACCCGGAGCAGTGAACATGGACACTGGAATCTTGATTGGGAGACTGCTTTGCCTACTTCACATTCCCTACGAATACGCCCCTCTTGTCGGCGAAGGGATCATATACTCGTGGACAATGAAGCGACATGGGCTGTGGAGGAAGTTCGAAGAGGGAATCGATCGTGGGTATCAAGGTTGTCAGAATCCTCTGGTTCACTCCATGGACACTGCGCAGGAAGAACCCGAGGTCCTGGATGATAACTCCCACGAAGTCATGAGCATCTCCAGCGGCGCCTCTGGGACCGTCAGAAGTGATTCGCCTTCCCCGCAACATCCGACTGTGTCTGTCGAGATCTTCAACCAGAGAACGCAGAGCTGGGTCGACCAGCATTTGGCCAGAAGTTCACCTGAAGAACCTGTGCATCAAGGACTCAGTGCGGCTGACGACGACATCGACTGCCTCTCAATTTCCGACACAAATGAAGACAAAACTAGCGAAAACGACGAGCAGGTGCCGCAGGACTTGTTTGAGATTGGCCGAGCGCGCATCAGAGAACTGTTGGGATCACGCTGACATTTTCCTGCGACATGAACCTTCTCATTGCCATGTTCATGATATGCAATTCTTATGACTCTGAACTCGTGAGACGCCAATGTATCAACGCAACGCACGAAGTACATGGTCAGACAAAAGGAAAAATGACCTGGAGTCGAAAGCTCAACATCCATGTAACCTGTTCCCCATTTCTGTACGGTAGATACTATCACAGAGAGATCAAAAAGCTTTTTTTAATTTCATTGGATATCTCCTCACATGGGTAGTGGGACATGAAATCGTGAAACAATCCCAACCCGTTAAACTAGTTCGCTTATATCCAGTCACGCCGCTGCCCCAGGTTTAGTTTCCTCTTGAAACACCCCCGTCACCATCGACACACTTAGAACTTGTTGAACGACTTGACGGCCTTGCCGGTACGGGGCAGGACACGGAGGACGTTGAAACGGACCTATGTGATGTTAGATCTGGGAAGCGTAGATACGGAAGATTCCTCGGCTACTGTAGCTTCGCTAGGATATGCCAGAGGCCATGACAAGACCAAGGCAGACCTTACGCCGCGTCCAGTACCAAAAAATCCAGCAGTCACATACAGTCTTGGACAGGGGACGGCACTGGCCGACGGTAACCCAGTCACCCTCCTCAACACGGAAAGCGGGAGAGACGTGAGCGGCGAGGTTCTTGTGTCTCTTCTCGTAACGGTTGTACTTGGGGACGTAGTGGAGGTATTCACGGCGGATGATGATGGTACGGTGCATCTTGGTGGAGACGACACGGCCGGTCAGGATACGGCCACGGATGGAGACCATACCAGTGAAGGGGCACTTCTTGTCTGTTCGATATCAGCGATTTGTCCCATGAGACCGACAGAGTGTAGTTGACGATCCGGGACTCTGGAGATAAAAGTCTTGCGATGCGGAGAAACCAGGCATGCCTCCTGCGGCGAAAAAATTTGCTCTTTTCGTTCGCACACAAAATCAATGCCGTAGATTGACGCTGTTCATCCAATGCATTGCACAATGCTCTCTTATCTCCAGCCCCAGATCATCGTCGCATCCGCCGGATATCGCATCCTGCCAGAATTCAACGTAGGCACTGCATACCGATGTAAGAGCCCTCAATGGCGGTCTTGGGGGTACGGAATCCAAGACCAACATCCTTGTACCAACGGCGGCCCTGAGCACCCTTCTTGCTCTTCGCCTGGGTCTTGGGGTTGTTGAAGATGTGAGGCTGCTTCTGGAACGCACGTTCCGACTGGACGGTCAACTCGGTCGCCATTGTTGCGAGAATTCAGATCGACGGGGAAGCGAAGTCGAGCTGGGATGGAAATTCGTCGCGAGTGGGGGGTGTCGGAGGCCTGCGGTGGTCGACGTCGATGTTGAGGAAGATTTCTTCTTTGATGGCGGATAATTTGGGTGGTGAGTGTGCGGTTACGGCGCTAGTCCACATGTGGTATGGTGCGGCTCGGCTAGGGCTTTTTTGGTTTGTTTACATCCGGCGATCACATGAGCGGGCGTCCCGGGGCGGAAACGCGCTAAGTGCTTTGTTATGTTTGTATACAGAGCCCGACAACAGATCACACTCTCAATGCTGTAACTTCTGTCTTATGTTTCTCCCTTCCTTCCCTCATGGCGTCCCGAAGTGACTCCACGGGGTCCTCCCGCCCGCGATCTCGCCGCTCGATCGCCCATGTCCCGCGATCCAAGTTGACCTCCGCGATCGATAAGGAGAATGCGACAACAGATATCGCCGCCGCCCAGCCGACTGGGCCTCACACCAGACCGAGCGCAAAGGATAAGAAATCCCGTAGCAAGAGCTTAGGGCCTGGTGGCTTAGATGCCCTCCAGGACTCGAATGGCAATCGACGCAAGGTAGTTCACTACTTCCCCATCCGTCTTGGGCCTGACGACTAAACCATCGGTTCGCGATAGTCTACTGCAGCCTTCCCTCTGAAATCTATTCTCAAACCTACGGTTCCCGTGTCGCCTGTACGAAATATTCCTTCTTTCGAAGAAACGCGCCGACGTACACCGGCCCGTGGCTCCCAATATGCAGACAACCAAGGCAACGAACAAGGGAAAGAGGGTCTACTGATTGACTTTGATACCCCGGCCCGTCCCTCAGCCTCTGGCTCTGAAGACCCATCCAACCCTTTCGACAGCTTCAACGCCTCGTCGATCCGCGACGAGATGGCTGCCGCACGAGAACGCGAAGAAAAGGAACGACGTGAAAGAGAGCGGAAGGCCATCTTGGAGCAGAGGGAAGCGCGCCGGAAATCCATGGGTATGATTCTTTCATCATGCTGCGGTGACGTAACTAATTGTCAAAGCGAACCGTCGAGTATCGTTCGCCCCCGAAGCGACGCTCCATACATGGAACGTCGTTGAGATACCGGACGACTCTACCTCATCATCGGCCTCGAACTCTACCAGACGTGCGTCGTCTCTGACCACTGCGAACAAGGAACCCGAAGACGATGTGAAGCAGAACGAACCACCGTCCTCTCCATACGCGGAGTCGGACATTGGCTTTTCTCCAGTTCAGTATCCCGACTTGCAGCAGCTCCAACAGCGTGCGACTTCTGGAAACTACAACGCAATGGGATCGTCGCAAGAGATGTCTTCAAGCCCTTTTAGCGGAAGCTCTGTCGACGGCAGTGAAGATACCGGTCTGCATGGTTCGGCAGCTGCTGGCGATGATGATGACAACTCGTCGGCTTCTGATTTTGACGGCGAAAGCACTGCAATGAGCATGGATGATATGTCTGTCCGGTCTGCTGCGACAGCGCAGTCTGACACGTCTACGAACACAAGCTCCAGCGCCAGACTGAACGAGGCCCTTCGCCAGGCCGCTCGAGAAGCCGGAACCCGAAGCATCGACGATGAGGAGGATGGTGAAATGTCGATGGAGATAGCCGATCAAGAAATCACTGGCGCTTTCCAGCCGTGGATCAAGAAGGGACAAAGGCAAAGCTTCGATTGGGAAGACATCAGCGCTCGACACGACCAGGAAAATGTTCACCCACCCCAACAGACAGAAGATCCGGTTGGCTCTGACCCAATGAGTGACGATGGGGACGAAGACCTCAGTATGGAGGTTACAAATGCTGTCGGCCGTATCTTATCCAAGCCCGCAAGCCGTCGCCAAAGTGCCGTTCGCCGCAAGTCGTCTGGTGCGGAAAGCAACTACGACGAACAGACCATGGAGTTCACCAATGTCGTAGGGGGTATCGCGCAACAAGGTTCTCCCGCAAAGTCTACAGCTGGGAACGAAGACGAAGAAATGACTATGGAGTTTACCTCTGTAGTTGGCGGAGTGTTGAGTAAATCTTCCGGTAACGATGCTGCGAACGGGAAAACGCCCGCAGAAGCTCCCGTCCGAGAGATCCAAGAACAAGGTTCCGATGATGATATGCAAGAAGGGGAGGATATGGAAATCACTGGCGCTGTTGGTGGGATCCTACCAACTGTTCACGAGCAGACAGAGCCAGAGGACGATGGCGACCAGACTGCGGGCATGGAAGTCACAGCCGCTATTGGCAGAATCTTGCCATCGGAGATGGACTCCCACCCCAAAGAACAGAGAATGGAGCTGGAAACTGAGCAACCCGCTGTCCAGTTAGACAGCTCTCCTTTCCAGGCTAGCGTACAGCCGTCCCCTGCCAAGACACCCGAAGGCTTTCACATCGCTGCTGTTGCCTCCGAAAGTGGCAGCCCTAGCCTTGCAAGTGTACGGACTCGACGTACGAGGCCGAGCCTTCGTGGCGCATCAGGAACACCCACCTCGACCACACCACGGATGTCTCCGAAGAAAAACTCTCTCATTCCTCCCACACAACTCACCCCACAAGTCGCTCGCCTCACTACTTCTGACAAGACTCCGTCATCAAGCAGCCGCAAGCCACGGAGTGCATCACCTAGGAAACATCTTCAACCCGAGCGTCAGGAGTCTGCGACTGATGGAAAGTCCCCAGCCCGCAGAAGTCTCTTTGGCAACAGCACAACTGGCGAGTCTGCACCTCTCTTTGTCTTACAGCCTCATAAGAAGAGACGATCTTCGGGGCTGGGTATTGACAAGGAAGGGCTGGGGTCTCCCAAGGTAGCTGCCATGCTTGACAAACGCCGCTCGATTGGTGACGAAGTTCCCAAGTTCACGCCGCAGCAAGAACGTCAGCAAGGCGTGCGGTTTGAAGATCCTGTCAAACTACAAGAGGAGGTGGACCGCGAGCGCGAAGAAGAGGAGAACCGAGAGGATGGCCATATTCCACCACCATTGGGCGAACGAGATGCCACTGCGAGCTTAAAAGACATGATCTCGAGTCTCACACCCAAGAAGAACAAACTTCGCGGCCGAAAAAGCCTGCACGTCGGGGCTGCCCGAGGGGTACTCGGTAAACGCCCAATCGAGCTGGACCAAGATGATGAAGAAGATGCCGACAGTACGCCAAAGCGGCTGAAAGGTCGCGAAGCCAGTCCTGTCAAGAGTATCCGACTTCCAGCGCCTCCCAGCAAAGAAGAGACTGTTGGCCACCTGTCTCCTCGGAAGTCAGATAAGGTCAGCACGACCCCTCTGGGTAAACCGCCCAGCTCCGCTGCAAACGATGTCATGGGAGACGCACCGGCTTTGTCCAATGCTTCCCCCGAGTCCGAAGCAGCTGAGCAAGCTGGACCGGAGTTTGAACCTATACAGCTGCAGGACTTCCTGAACATGACCAATATCCATTTTATGGAGCTTACTACGACGAAACGTCGGCATACGACGGCACCTGATAGCGCGACCAAGAGAGCGGCGAGACTCTCCGGCGAGAACAGCAAGACTAGTGCTGCGAATTTCGATGACTGCGTGGCTGCTGGTTTTTGCACCGTTCCTATGCTCGAGTTATATCAGCATGTAAGTTTTATCCTGGAGAATGTGTAAGGCTCGCTAATATGTTATAGTCCTGCCGGGAACTGAAGTCCTACATTTCGGAAGGACGGCAGATTATCCGGTCTATCGAGACCGAGACCTACGCGGATAATCCCCCTCTGTTCAAAGAGTACATGACTGCCCCGCCAGACATCCGTTTGTTGATGGACAATCAATTCCGCAATGTGAAGACTCACGCTAGGTTGCTCAGCAAAGCCACGTGGTACGAATGGCGCATGAAGTTGCTGGACGGGCTTAAGGAAGGCCTCAACCGGCATGTTGAAGAGATGAATGCCGACGAGGCGCTTCTCGCGAAACACGAGGCCCTGCTTAACGGAGCGGTCCCCGCTCTCGTCGAGAAGCATGCATCACTCGAGCAAGAGGCGACCAACCTCCAGCAACTTGCGGACGAGATGGAGAACTGTGACCAGGACGAGCTGCGCAGTGCGCGGGAGAAGCTCGTTAGCGTGGAGGAAGAGATTGCGGCGAAGAAGCGGCAGTTACAAGAGTTGCAAAACGAGGTCCAGGACAAGACCGACACGATTGAGACCGGGGCTGAACTGAAGGCGGAGTTCATGGCGCAGATCCAGGAAGCCGAAAGAGTCAAAGAAGAGTGTCGGGGTTGGAGTGCGAAGGAGATCAACGAGCTGAAGGGTAAGTCAACATCGCAGCCTGTTGTGAGTCCGTCACTAACGCCTGTTCTAGCTTCTGTCGACAAGATTGAGCGCCAAACCGGCTGGTCGATCGTCTCGGCGACTGCGAATTCTACGACAGGGCCGTTGGTGACAATGTCGTACCGGAATCAGTTACAACTGAGCTTTAGCCCTAGATCATTCTCTGTCCACAGTGGCAAAGCATCAACCCAGCAGAAGACAGCTATTGAGCTCCGCTCCCGGTCTGATAGTGCTTCGCAACTCTCGCCGATTGCTTTGCTGGTACTGAAGGCATTGCAACATCATCTGGCGGGGATCCAACAGTCCACGACGACGCCAAGACAGCTCTTGCGCTTCGTATCGGAGGCCTGGAATACCATGCTCAACCTGGAGGAAGAAACCCGCATGCTGGAGTTCTGCGGCGTGACCAAGCTCAAGCTCCTCGAGGCCGAGGATCAACTCTCGCTCCGAGCAAGGTGCACGCTGCTAGAAGCAGTCGCTGCGCCTAAACCCACAAAGAAGGGCCAGAACACGGGGTTCAAGCGAATCGACGTCGACTTTGCAGTCAAGACGCGCGTGACGCAGAACAGCACCGCCGGGGAGATTGGCACGATGGACTTTGAGACGGACGTGATTGCTAGCAAAGTCTACGGCTTCGGCGTGAGCAAGGGGCCATCGGAGAACGAGATGCAGGATCTCCTGCGCAACGAGCTCGGAGGGAAGAAGGCCGTGGCGCTGGGAGATGGTGTTTGGAGTAAGGCCGTGCAGATGCTTACTGGGACGGTGTTTTGATATGATGGGTACGGGGTATGGCGTTGGGATACCACTAGGGTTTAGCGAATATGATACCTGACTTTCATCGAGCTGTCCATTCCACCGACATAATCTTATTTCTCAACTTCCTCCCTCTTCTCTTCCCCATCACAACACCCGCAACTCTCCAAAGGTTCCAACCCCTCCCTCTCGCGCCGCTCATTCTCCTCCACCCACCGCGCCACATGCGCCTGCCGCGCATCCAGCTCCGCACACATCGCATCCGAAACCACGCCGAGCACCCGCCCATCCGTCGCGAGCATGTAGTACCCGCCATTCACCTCGTCGAAGCAGGTATCCGTCCCGGCCTTCTGGAAGGAGTCGACCGCCGCGCGCAGATCGGCGTTCGTGTCCAGGTGGAGCACGCCGTCCGGGATGGGGTCTTTGTACCGCGTAAAGGTCATGGTGTAGTCTGCGGGGCGGGTGGTGTCGAGAGTGCATTTGCTGCCGCTGGGGGAATCTTTGGGTTCGGCCATCACGGTGGTATGTAGATAGGTAGGTAGGTCTTTAACACGTATCGGGTTTGTAGGGAGTGGATGCTGGGAACACAAGAGGAAAGAAAGGGCAGGGATACTAGGACATATTTATGTTTGTTGTTTCTTGCTCCTACGTCATTGTCTGTGCAACCTCGACTGCAGCCATGTCAGTCTATCGCGGGCTAGATTCGGTCAGCCCAACTAGGCTACCTCTTTATCTGCTTATGCCACTCAAATATGTCGCGTCACTCGTTAGCTATATTATTCTCATTATACATCCATCATCAATAGAACGCGTTAAATCCGCCCCGCCACAGCGGAACGCCCTGCTCGCTGCCGCCCTGTGCATCCGGGTTTGCATTCGCATTTCCAAACCCGTATCCCATCTGCATGGAACCCGAACCCGAACCAGGCGGCATGGTCGAAGGCGGAACGGACGGGTCAAAGGTCCCCTGTTGGAAATACGGCAGGTTCTGTCCGAACAGTCCGCCGAGGAACTGTCCGCCGAATTCCCACTCCGCGGTTAGTGGGATCTGCCAGAGTTCCGGCTGCGAGAAGGACTCGGTCACGGAAATCGGGAACATGGGGTCCATTGTGTAGGGGTCGAGGGGGTGTTGCTGTTGCTGGTGCTGATGCTGGGGGAGGGGTTGGAGGGTAGCGTTGGGCGGGACGGGTTGCGGTGGGTGGGGGATTGCGGCGCGGGTCTGCGGAGGGCCGGGCCTGGTCGGCATGTCGTCGTCTGTGTCGCTCAGGCCGTCGGGGACGACGTAGCCGGCGGAGTTGATGCGAGGAAGACCCTCCAGGTGGGGGATGTTGACACCGGAAGAGGCCGGGGTGGACTCGTGTGCAGCTGTGGGTTTGTCGGACTTGATGGTCTTCTGGTTCTTTTCGAGGACGGTGCGGGCCACGCGCTCAAAGTTGGCGCACATCCTCGTCATGAAGCGGGCGTAGTTGCAGGACCCATCGCTGGGGACGAGCGTGGCAAAGAAGGTGGCCGCCATGTTGAGCGCCTGGAGGTCCTCCTTGGCCTTGGGGTGGTTGGCGTCTCGAAGGATGTTCACAAAGATGGTCATCACGGCGAGAAAGACGTAGTAGAGCATGGACCTGCGGGTTGTTAGCGCGTTCCCAGCCATAACGGCTCATAACGGTCTCTAATGTACTCACCATATCCATGCGATATCCCCCCACGGGAGGTTGTTCACCAGTTTGAGGGTGTCGCGTGCCGCCTGGACGCAGATGGCGGTCGAGGCCACCGCCTCACGCATGATCCTCCTGTAGTCGAACGGCATGCGCGAGCCATTTGCGAGACGATGCATGTAGGCAAAGTTCATCATCTGCGGCAGCCGATGGACTATGATCAAGGAATTGTAGTAGAGACACTGCAAGCCCGCGGTAGCGAATCCGACCAGAAAGTCATCGCCCGGGCCTCGCTGGCCCATGCTTTGGCTGAATGCGCTTTCACTTTTCCATTTTTCCAGGTCCTGGTGCAGTTCCCGGACAATCTCCAAAACCTCCGAGGGGGACTTGTTGAGCAGAGCCTTGGTCGCATAGAGCCTGTTGTATATCCGGCTCTTGATCACCGCCATGTGGCACATCTGGTAGAAAAAGGAGGTATTGTTGGCCATGATGAACTCGTCGTCCGCGCGCTTGGCGGGCAGATCGACGTCGAGGTCGTCGGGGTGTTGTGTGGGCGCATTTCCCGCTCGGATGCAGGCACTGAAGGCTGGTTAGCTTATCATTGACCTTATTAGCCTGATGCTGACACACCTCTGGTCCATCACGTAGGCAACCCAGAACACGCGTTTTCTCTGCTCCTGCTCAACCGCCGAGAGATACGGCCTGGGGATGTTGCGGTGCAGGCCCATTCGGTGGCATGTGCGTATTGCGGCAGTGATGAGAGGCAGGGCTGACTGGGTCCCGGAGTTCCCTCGAAGAAAGACAGCCATCCCGAGGAGAGCCTGGACGCTTAGGAGATCGGTTCTCCGCAATGTGAGCTCCGTGAAGACCGACATGGCATTCTTGAAATATAGCCAGGCTCTCTCGCGGTCTCGTTCGGACTTTTGACTGTTGGAATATCGGTACTCGTACGCCAGCGCGAGGAGGATGTTGATGCTGGCCCATCGAGCGGCGTCGTCACAGGTTTGTTGCGTGTATTGCCATTCGACTAGCCGCATGAATGTCTCCTCGTGGTAGAGGGGGAATACCCGGTTCACCGTGCGGAAATACTGCCGAAGCAGGGTGAACACTTCAGCCCTAGGGGGGAGGGCTTTGAAGACACGGGAAGCAAACACATCGTGGAACACATCCGGTCGCCAGTAGTCCCACGGGGTATCTCGGTTCGTGCTTGAGAATATTAGGTTGAGGAATTTGACTTCCCCGGTCTTGTTCTTGATCCATTCGATGCCCTCGCGGGATAATATGGACAAGGATGACGCCCGTCCTGCGGATGTGAGCCTTTGGAGTGGAAGGGAGAGGTTTCAATTAGCCTACCGTAGTATCGGGAGTCTTCTCTATTATCCCATCTAAAGACATGAGGTTCTTGTATGATATTACTGCAAGGTTCGGAGCGCCTGCGCTCCAGAAGGTCGGGTGGGTTTCGATTTGAAGCATGTGCTGTATCCACAATATCAATTGATTCTTGACCCACTGAAGCGGAGTCCGGTTCTCTTCCGAGCTCTGGATAGGGGTCATAACGTTCGTCGTCATCGCTCTCGTCGTCAAGATGCTCATCTTCTTCACCGAAGTCGTCACGGGCTATGGTATCCTCGCTGATCAGGCCAGCTGCTTTGAGCAAGGTTTCCATCTTGTGCAGACGATCCTCTAGATTCTTGACATAGTGGGTTCTAAGAGATATCAGTACCGCCGGAATAAGAGAGGATGAGAATGGTGAACAACAAATCTCACCTTTTCAGGGCTTCGCGTTTCTCCTTCCGCGAGGAAAATCTGCATGTTGTATTACGGCGCATACAGTGGATACAGGTGGTATTGGCACCTTCAAACTCGCATTTGATCTTCTTCCGGTAGCAGGCCTCACACGCCTAGAACAGTCTTACTACATGTCATATGGAAGAATGAGGGCGGTTCTTACCAGCGGCATGCGTTTCTTGGTGGTGCTATAGTTGCCCCTCGGCCCCAAAGCTGCGTGCTGCATGGTCTTCCAAGTCACGAGCTGACGGACTGTTAGAATATCGAGCAAGAAAAGCCCATCTGGCGCGTTGTCTGCTGGATCATAGGGACTGAAGAGTGATAGCCTCTTGGTAGGTCACCTACCCTTTTGGGCGAAGGACTAGCACGAGGCGATGATTGGATGACGTAGTCTTGGCGGATGCGAATGCAAAGAGATGGATGTATGTCCCTAATCAATAATAAATCGATAATAGAAGAAAGGAGTAGTAATCAATACTCCGTAAATGCTGGTCAGCACAAGGCGAGACAACCGCAAGACGAAGTGTCGTGGAGCCAGACGCCACTGGGGCAAATCGTCGATTGGGCAGAAGCCCCGTTCAGGAGGAGCTGTCGCTTGCCGTATATCCGGGGAAACCGACAACAGAGAGGCAGTCTCCAGGCGGACAGACCGATCGACTTTGGGGATGGGATTCCCTATATGATCCGAAGCGATCCAGATCGGATGAGTCTAAAAAAAAAAAAAGATCCTCCAGCGTCCAGACCGTCTTCTGGAGGGGAAATTTTTGTGGCCAACCGAGGACAGGATTATTAATATGATGGTGTCGGCACATCGGCTTCTAGGAGTTCCGCTCCGAGAACACGGATTTTATGCTGTCGTCGGAGATAATTTACGGGGAGGTCTGGTCTTTAGGAGATGGGCGATTCGCATGATCCTTGAATATGATGGTTTATGGAATGGATATGGGTATGGATTGCAGGTAGGGTGTTGGACTGGATATGGCCGATATATATCTGGTTCTCAACGACACATCCAGGAACCAGAAGACTATTGACCTCTAGGCTTGGTCTATGAGCCCCGATATCAGTACCATGTCCATGCACAGCATGCCTCAGTGGGATGAACAAACAAACCCTAACCCGGTCAGTATGGTCCATCGCGCTCGCTTCCATTTGACAGCTCGCCACTTCTATGGATGGAAGGCAAAACACGGTGGCCAGCTCAACAACTCTTGTACATCGCAGTGACTTGTAAGGTTGGACAATTCAAAGTCATTGCTCTTCCGCATCAGTATGTCCAACTCATTGTATCAGATCTCATTCCATCGAATTGGGGATCTCTAATACGGGGCGGTTTCCTGATCGAGGGCGTTTGGCTGCTCGTGGAGATAGGTCACATTTCAAACTGTCGGATTCGTGTTAGACGTTGTGGGAGCAAACGAGAGGATCAGACTGAGACAAGAAAAATTCATAACGAAAGAGGCGATAAGGGAGATGGAGAGACGTCCACCAGCCGAGATGCCAGGAAGCTTCTTTTGCTAGTCGTTGAGCACCTAAGAGCTTGGTACGTACCTGTGAGTAAGCATCTGATGAAGGCCTTTCGACATCGGTCAATTGCATTGATCTCAACCGCATCATCAGGATCGAATTGCTCTACATATAGCTGGGTAGTTAGTTCGACAGAAGATGGATAAACCAAGTAGGCACAGAGCAAGTAAGTACAGAAACTACAGTACTAGTTAGCTGGTCAGACGTTCCTTTTCGTGGGGGATGGTAGTGCCCAGGATGACTGGCATTCTGCAACCAGACAAGCTTGGATCACGCCATCCCTGCACGGTTTACCGTCATCCCGACGGCGCCATTCAGTGCGTCCTCTGCGGCAGGCCATCCTGTTCGGTCAAGCCAGGATGGAGCGTTGACAGGGCTAGACTGGGCGCCACAATACGTAGTACCAATTCGACCCATGAAGTACGTAGGTATACATCCGGACGATCCATGCTGCGTGCATACAAACGCGGAGGCTACCGATAGAATAGACTACATATACAATAAACATTCCGACAGCATGGCATCCCAGAATAAAAGCGAACCGACTAACTAGTTAGACCTAGGTTATCGACGAGACTCCGCACGTGGGAGGTGCCAATTACAGCGGCGAACCAAGGACAGCCCGAGGATGATCAATTGGCCACCGCCGACAGGAACAGTACGATCGAATCAGAAGTCGGACGGGAGAATGATGGGCACGGTGGGTAACGGGGATGCAATGACAGGACACGGGCGTACACCATGTTGGGCGGGAGGGTATAGTCAGTTGCAATATGTACTCCGTAAAAGCACGCCATGTTGGAGCGGATCAGGTAGAAGTCCACATAAAACCATGAAACCATGAGCGATCGGAAAAGTTAAGAAGTAAAGTGCGAAGAGATGCACCTGTTCGGGACATGGCCGGCGGAAGGTATGGACGTGTGTGGATGTGGATGTGGATGTAACGGAGGAGCCACGGGGATATTAATGCGCCTGCGAGGAGAGGAGGCTCGGGTGTCCTTTTGAACGTCTTCAGGGACCAAAGTACGTACAGTACCCGAGTACAGTAAGTAATGGTGGATTCAGGAGACGACTGCCAAGCTTCGAGAGATCCTTTGGCGGACGAGGAGGGCGAGGGACCGCGTCATTCGGAGAGGATGAAACGGAGCTCATCTCACGACACGATCGAAAAGCGAGATGATGTACATTGGATCTTCCCCATGACGACGCCCATACCGGGTCAATACAGGGAGGGCACCAGGGGAAATGGGGCAAACAGGGGTCTGGTACGAGAGTGATACCGTATGGTCAGGTACCGGGGATGTGTTCCGTCTGCCTCCTTTTCTAGCCGCCAGAACTCCTCATTCTTGTTCTTCTTGACCAGTTCATAGTCAGTCTTTTATGATTTGCTCCCTGGGAATCGATTGCTTTATACTTATTCTCTCTCCACATCTCTATCCTCCCTCTCCTCCTCTCCGATCTTCTGGTCCCTCAAGAAGCGGTGAAATCGGCTGGAATCTCGGCGGCGGGCCACGGACGAACCAGAAGACGCGATCACGACATTTCTCCATTCTATCAGATCATCCGCTAGCCTGGGACAGGCGCCAGACGATCCTTTCTCTGTCCATTTCGTGGTGGTGATTGTGGTGATTGTGCTTGCTTAGTTGCTGCTGGCTCTCTCGCTACCCCAGAACGCTTCCCCTGGGCTTCATCCATTCTTATTGTCTTTTTTTTATTATTGTCATTTTCGTTCCTCGCCCGTATCAGCTTCATTAATCTGGATTAAATTACCCGTACCATACCATCCATCCATCTCCATCTGCTTCCTGCGTTACGTGGCTGTCCGTCCCGCGCTATGCGACTGCGATGAAGTGAACTCATAACTGCTTTCTTCGCACTCGACCAATTCTGATTCTTTTCTGCTCGAAGTGCCTTCTCATCGTGCATATTATTATTATTTTATTATTCTTATTCTTATTCTTGTTCGGCTGCTTGCGTCCAAGCTTCCCCCTTTGTTCCCCCCCCCTCCTTCGCCCCCAAGCAGCTGATCTGGGGTTCGACATCTCATCTTCCGAGTGGACTCTGGCATCATCGACTCCCGGTTCTTGCACCTCCTCCCAAGACTTCCCCCCAAATAAACACACCTTTCCCAGTCCAGGAACCATTTCGATTTGGGTAAAATCCAATTATATGAAACCTTATTAAAAAAAAAGAAGAGAGACAAATAAAAAAAAAAAAGAGGAAAAAAAATATCTCAAAAGAAGCGCCGACCCCGTCGCCGCCATCATGTCAGATGAGCACGTCGCTCGTCAGGCAGCCTCGAGCTTCGACAGGCTGGAGAATTTCAATTTCCTTCTCTCTCGCCACGATCCCAACATAGCCAAGAGTCGCCATTATTCTTTTGATGCCGACACCGCCGGCCTGGCGTCCTTCCAGAACCTCAACATGGACTACGACCAGACCGAAGGCATGGGCGGCTTGTCCGTCAGCTCCTACGACAGCATCGAGGACGAACGCAGTCCCATCGATGTGCGCGGTTATCCCTATGGTAAGTGTTTTTCTAGCTGTTCTATGTCCTACCCTACCCGTGATGATTCGCGTTGTTGCATCGCTTGCGCCATTGCCGGCCTCCCTGGTTCATGTCTTAATTGTGGCTCCTCGGCAAACGGTCACCTCCATTTACCACGAGGACCGGGAGTTTCTGGGGAAAGCTTCCATTTGAGACCTGTCTGCATGGTTCTTGGCTGGGTTGGTTGGAGATCCGACTGTGACTGTGTGACTGTGATTGTGACTGTCGAGAACATCGAACATCTCATGCCTCGTGGAAGAAGAGACAGAGAATACAACCATTCTCTCCACTCATCCAGGCCACTGCTTTTGCCATTGCTGCAGCTTTATACTGGTCAACCTGTTTTCTTTTTCAGCTGCCCTGTGCGAGTTGACCAGTCTCGTGTGAATCCCACGTTTGGCTTAAGCTCCTGCGAGCACGCAATCCAGCACACCAATGACACCGTCGGCAACCCTGTCCATGTCGGTCCCTTATCCGGTGCATCATCAGCTCAGCCCTCTAAAGGACCCTGGCCCTGCTGCTATCTCTTATCACTCATTTGGCTTTGGCTTTGGCTCTGGCGTCCTTTCTAACACCCCTATACCCTATACCCTACACACATACATCTACTTATGTCCTCATATACTTACACCACCACAGCAGACAAATCCATCAACTACTCGCTACCCGATCAGATGATCTCCTACTCAGCACATCCGATCTACCCACCCATCTCGTACGGCCCCCCGGATGACCTGGGCCACGCCCCGGGGGCCCTGACGCCCTCGGACGTGTCGTCGTCCATCTCGCCGCCCAACGGCCAGATCGGCAACACCAAGTACAGCACCGCCATCCCCGGCGACCACATCGCCTCGGCCCTCAACCAGGAGGAGCACGGCCGCCGCGCCGCCGAGGAGGACCGCCGCCGCCGCAACACGGCCGCCAGCGCCCGCTTCCGCATGAAGAAGAAGCAGCGCGAGCAGGCCCTCGAACGCACCGTCCGCGAGACCACCGAGAAAAACGCCTCGCTCGAGGCCCGCGTCGCCCAGCTCGAGATGGAGAACCGCTGGCTCAAGAACCTCCTCACCGAGAAACATGAGGCTGCCTCCACGCGCATGGCGCCCCCGCCGCCGCCGCCGCAGGCGTCCACGGAGAGTCCCAAGTCGAATTCTACCACGCCCGGGCAAAAACATATCCAGCCAAAAAAGAAGGGCGTCGGCACCGATAACTAGCGCCTAAAGTGAAATCGTCTTTCCTTTTCTTCTTCTTTCAATGACTCTCCGTTCCTTTCTTCCATGCAGGGACCAGGCCTGGGTCTGTCCGTCCCGCTCGCATCTGTCTTATATCCTCTCTTTTCCGGCGGGTCCTCCATCACATCCTCGGGTGGAGACTGATGACGATGTAATGACCTTTTGCTTTGCTTGCGTTGTTTTGCTCGCTCTTGCTCTCGCGCAACTGCTGTTGTCGGTTGGGGCATACACGGTCGGTAGGGTACCATGTTGGTTGTGCTTGTGTTTAGGTTTAGGTTTGTGGAAGGCAGGGTTCTGCTGCCCTCATCTCATCATTATCATTGTTGTCACTATGACTGGGGGTTCAGGGGTCCATCCATCTAATATGGGACCCCGTCTGGAGTACTGGATGCGTTTGTTTCACATGTTTCTGATTCTGCTTGTTCATGGTGGTTATACAGATCGACACCGAGTGCATGTTCTTCGAATACCGTTTCCCGTTCTCACTGACTGCAGCTTACGGAGTACTATTGTATACATCGTAGAGCTGTCTCACGTGCAAGCGCGGTAGACGATCTGGGGTACCCGGCAGAATCCCAAGACATGTCTGGCTCACTCGTACTCTGTACCCCGTAGTACTCCGTCCAGCCAAGCTGACATCAGACCCTGCAACGCTGTCGGCTATCCAAGGGAAAAAGGGGGCCCTTCGGATTCCCCGAGGAGGAATGTATCGGCACGCCACGTGCCGATCACCACGTAAGTCCGCCAAACGGCCCTCATTACTGAGAACTTTCTTATGGAACGATGGCAATTCCTGAGGAGTGCGCTGGATATTGTTAGGTAGAAGATTCTGCGCGGAAATGATCTATACGAGGCCCCAATCCTCGTGTCTAATAGGGTCAACGCTAAAAGCTGGGGTAATTGCCACACTTTATCTCGACCATGATGCCTAAGGTTTCTTTTTCTCCTCAGCTACACTTCATACAACACAAACGATACAACTCATTAATTACTATCCTATCCTAAGCAGACAACCAGACCAGCAACTCGGAACAACTATAAATATACCCTCTCAGATGGTATGGTATTACATTAACATAACCCGACTGATCCTTGCCCAGACCTCCGACGCCTCATGCTTTTGAGCTGACTTTTCAATTTTTTTTTGTTGCTTTCTTTTCACCAATGTACCGATAGCGGTTCATCCTGAAGAGTAACAGGGTCATGGCATCATGAGTAAGTCACGGGCACGGACCGACGAGGGCCTGGTTGGTTCGAAATCTTGCCGGATAAGCGTCGGGGATCGCATTAGGGGCATAGAACAACACGGGGTTGTAGTATAACGGCAAAGTAAACAAAACAGGCACGACGAACTCCAACCGGTATATCGTAGAGAAGGAACGGAATGACGGTGATCCAATATGTATCGGAAAGGCGAAGGAGTGATCAACCAGTGGCCTTTGCCTTAGACACCGACCGGCTCTTCTCGTCGCTCGTCCATCTCTTCACCGTCCTCCACCTCGTGCTGGTACGAGGCGGCGTGCTGGTCCGCAGCCACCCACGAGTCCCGGTCGCCCCGCATGGGCTGGTCCTGAGCGGAAAGGTCGACTCCCTCGCGGGACTTGAGGCTCTCGCGGTGACGCTGGGAGAGAGTGCGGGTCCGGGTGGACATGCTGGACTTGACCGCCGCCTTGGAGCTCACCCAGTTGGCGAGCGCCTCCTCGCAATCCTGGATGATGGCCTTGCTGGCGTCGTATCCGTCATAGGCGGCGCGAGTCTCACCCGGAGTGACCGGAGTGTCGTCAACAAGATCCAACAGATGCTTGCCGTAGCCAGCGATGAGAGCAACCTTCTCACTGTGCTCGCGAAGGGCATCGAACTGGTACTGGAAGGCCGCCTTGAGCTTCTCACGCGTGATGTTGGACAGCTGAGCCTCCGCAACGAGGGACTCAGCCTCGGCGCGAACCAGTTCCTGTTCCAGGACGACGATCCGAGGAGAGTTGGGGTCGCGGTACTTGAGCTTGGCGATCTCATCGGTGATCTTCTGCTTGCCTGTTGTGGGGTTAGCGTCAGGGTCGCAGCTAAGTTCACAGTCGCAAACTTACGATCACGGCTGGGCTGGACGGAAGCCTCAATGTTGCGGATGCTCTTGATGGTGACGCGGTACTGGTCGTAGCGGTCGACGTAAAGATCCTCCAGCTCACCAATTTCGTAGAGCAAAACGCCGATCTTATCAGTGATATCCGACACATCCTCATCGCAGTTCTCACCCCAGATGGAGAGTTGTTGCTAGAGGGCCGGGCATTAGCCTTGGTCCGAGGACGACGAACAAGATCCTCATACCGCAGTCTCCATGCGCTCCTTGGCTACCATCTCCATGCTGCGCATGACGTTCTTCTCCATCTTGACCAGCTGGGCGAGCTTCCTGGCGAGGTCTGGCCCGAAGGCTCCGGCGGTATTTTTCCGCAAAGCATGACCTGAGTATTGGTCTCGTTGGTCAGTATTGCTAAGTTGCATGCAAGATAATCCCTCGCGGCCACTGGCACTCATTTGCGACCAATCGCCAACGGGGTCGGGGATTGAGGCGCTCAATCCTGTGAACACTCACCGAAGCCACCTTTACCGATCCATCTGTTGGCCTTGGTCGACGACAACGGCGGAGGCGGGTTCTCAATTTGCGACGCGGTCGGCATGCGCGTCTGGCGCATAGAATAGGTGCGATGCATGGTGACTAGTCGGTGTAGACAAGCGTGATAGATACGGGGTAGACGATGGAAAAACGAAGGAATGTAGAAGAGAAATCACGAAGCTCGATGAAAGTCGGACGAAGCGGTTTCTTTCAAAGGTCACACGCTTTTGCGCAGGAGTGACGTGGACCACAGGGTACGGCGGGACGTGACGGAAAGCAATACTGGGTACGAGGGAACTGCAACCGGAGAGACACGGTTCGTCAAGAGGGTCCCGAACCAAAGGAAACCACTACCTAGGATGGACGAGATCGATGACAACACTGGTCCGTGGGGAGGCTTCCTGTTTAGATACGGGATGGGTTTTCTGTTTTCTGATGATTTCTTCTTGATGAAACACTAGAGTAGAGCAGCAGAACAAAGAGTCGAGGATGAAGAAGGGTGGGGGGATGGAGAGAAGAAGAAAGAAGGGCGCGGTGATGAAGAATGATGATGATGATGATGATGATGATGATGGTGATGATGGGCCGGCCGATGGGCCCAACCTCCATCCAGTCGGTGACGTCGAGACTCTGCGCGGAGCTAACCCGATTTGGACACGCCCTCCCAGCGGTGATGAATAATAATGACGAGCTGATTTCTGGTCTCTGGGTGTTAGTCCGAGTGCCCTGACTAGTAGAATGCTTGGTAGACAAGGAACAAATGACCGCTTCCCACGGATCATCGGCCGTGCTGGTGGGTGGTGTAAGGTACTCGGGTCTTCATCGGATCGGCAACGTCATGGCGGACCAAACATCGGACAGACTCTCTGATGTCATCGATTCGTGCCTCGTGAATATTGTCGAGTCGCTTTCTCAACCGGTTATGACATATCGTTACGAGGGATTTCTTTGCTTTCTTGAGGAATTTTATTTAGACCTGTCTCTCATCTAAAAATATATGGTAAAAACTGGGTGCGAAGAGAGTCGGTAGTGTATCTATATAGACATTAAAACCATGTAACATGATCTATATAGAACATCTTAGATCATATACCCAAGAATGCAAGATATAGAGATCTACGGCACTAGATAACAACCTAATCGTCTCCAGATGATCGGCTTCTCCGCATTCGGATATCGACGCTTAGTGATCAGTGCAACATCATCGTGCGACGAACGGTGGGGAACCCAGCCTTTTATTTCAACGTCTATTACATGACGATGCTTTAAACTTTGCACAATCCCCTCGTCTACTTCTTTCTACTCCGTCGGGTCTTTCTCTTCTTGCTCGTCGAATCATCATCACCTTCTCCACCGTCTGCAGCCGACTGAACATCCCGCGTACCTCGCTTGGTACCTTTCTCTGGTCCTCGTGCTCGTGTGGAAGAGGCAGGACCATCCTCGTGGGAACCATCCCTAGCCTCGTCGTCCTGCAGAGCCTGGCGGCTCCCTGCCTCGGCTTCCTGCCGCAGGCGACTAAACGCCTTCTCCATCCGGCTGGGACCACCCCGACGCGCACGAGGGGCAAAGGCGCCCGCACCCTGAGGCCCTTGAAAGAAGCTCGTGATGTTGGACTGAGTGCCTTCCTGCTCTCGACGATTCATGTCCCGGATCACCGGCACCAGGACCTCATCGGTCCGTTCCTGACTCCACCCAATCGTAGCCATCAGGTAGTTACGTAGTCCATGCAGATCGGGCACACCCCATTGGAAAGGAGACGGGTCCGAGTCGACCTCGGGTTCGAGATAGGCCACGTCCACGCGAGGGTCTGGGAAAGCAGGTGGCAAGAAGATCTTCGAGGCTTGTTTCTTGAACTTCTTGTAGAACGCGGCATGGCTACCATCGTTCGCATTCATGCCCATTTGCACCTGGGACCACCAGTCCCGGAACTCCTCCAGGCTCGAAAATTCCGTAAGAATTTCCAGCGCTGTCACTGGGCCGACGCCAGGAATGCCCTCTGTGTAGTCACTGCCCAGCAGATGGGCGAAGCTGATAAGCTTGCGTCGGTGAAGGGCGTATTCCTTCTCCAGGTCAGACGTCAGGTAGCACTCGACGAACTTGCTCTGATTGAACATGTTCTTGTACACGCGTGTGCCTCCAAAGAGGAAGATATCACTGTCGTCGGTGATGATCCCGTCGACGAGGCCGAGGGACACGAGCTCAGCACATTGCGCCTCGGCTTCCATAGGGGCCGTGATATATGGCAGACCGAACAGCGTCAGAAGCTGTTGGCACTCCGAGATCATGATCTGAGAAACCTCGTCCGCGTCTCTGCGGTCCTTCTTCTGTTGAGAGCGTAATTGTTTGAGCTCTTGCTCGTAATTGAAAGTGCTTTCTGCTTGTGAGGTAGAATTGAGTGTTGCTGCGAATCGGACATGTTCTTCACCTTCAGCCGCAAGCTGTCGCATCAGTTCTTCATCTTCCGGGTCCGAAAAGCCATCATCTTCGACAAAGAGATTATCTGACTGGTCAACTGCTAACGAAGCTTGATTCTGCTCCGGAACAGAATCAAGAACCGAGTTCTGTGGGTTCAAAGAGACGTCCTCGAATTCCGGGGAGGGGGACGCCGCAGTGCGTGTAGCTCGAGCGTCGTCGGCGGAGATCCCATTGGAAAGGGGTTCTTGTGGTTGCATCGGAACGTCTTCGAAGTCTGGGGATGGAGATGGTTCAGCACGCGGCGTCGGCGCCTTGACCACACTTGGGCTATCAACTACATGAACCGCCGCGCTGGAGCTCCCATCACTCTGCGGTTTCATGTTCCCAACCTTCTCCGTTGTAGAAACTTGTGTAGTCTCTGATTGGTGCGAGGCAGATATAGTTGAAGTTTGTACATCTGCATTAGCTGATTCATCAGAGACCGAGGATTTTAGACCATCATCTTTGAACTCAGTGTCTGAATCCAAATCAATTACTTCAGAGCGCTTGTCAGGCTCAATGACACCGGGTGAGCGATGCTCCTTCAGGAAAACATGATCTGGTGTCATAGTCCGATCACGGTACGCCTCTAGCGGATTGTCTTCCGTATTGTCAGGGAAGAACTCGGCGTTGGCAGTATCCCCAGAGAACCAGGGTGGTAAGGGAATTTGCTCCTTTGACTTGGCCGGTTTCTTCTCGAAACCTCCAGCATTGTCATCAACCTCTTGCGAGGCTTGTCCTTTCTTTGCTGGTTTGTAATTCAAGGTCTCGAAAGGCAACGGCCCTTCAAAAGGATGGCTAACGGTGGGCCGCGACGCAATAACGTCAGAAGGTCGTTTCTTCGTTCTCCGCGACTGAGCTAATGCAGCAGCAAAATCCAGCGCGTCGTCCTCACTCTCAGACATGGGACTCAGCACTGCCGGAGGTTGTTGGACGGGTGCATTGTCCCGGTTTATACGAATTTCCGGCATGTCATCATCGTGTTGCTTTGAAGTCGCCGGCTCTAGCGACATTTGAATAGCTCTTTGGAGGTCCTCATCTTCATTGTCTTCGAAAATGTCATCAATCCCAACCCGAGTGCGAGATTCGTCACCCTCGACGAAAAGAGCATCATCATCCAGGTGGTGCGTTGCAGCGCCAGCTTGAACCTGTTGTCGTATTGACTCGTCAAATACACCATCCCGAAGAAGAGGAATCTTGGGAAGGCGATTGAGACCCTCAATAGGGACATCTTCGAAGCCGCCTTCGTCATCCGACTCGCTGTTTATTTCGGGGAGGATCTCCAGCTTCCCATATTGTTCAACGTCGATGGGTTTATCTTCACGGCCCTCATCTTTGTTGCCGACCACACCCAACACCCAGCCGCCTTCAATAGTGCTGTCCTTGACCAGGACATATTCTCTTCCGCGCTCTCCGGCAATCCGCTGCCCCGAGTTGTAGAACGCTTCTTCACCATTCATACCATTGATATTCATCAGGCGTTGAGTAAGATCATTTCTCTCCTTAACACGCTCGATCTGGAATTTCGAGAAAGCCATCCGATCAGGAAACATGTTGTCCAGCTGCTCTTTGGAGTATCCCATACGCAGTCTACTCCGCAGCCTGGCGGCGTTAAGGATGTTATACCGATCGGTGGCAGGTAGACTGAGAAAGAAAGGGCTGTCGAAATCAATCTTGGAGAAATCATAAAGATTGATATCTTCACCCTGATGAAACTGCCGAGCATACTCCTCAAGCTCCTCCCGGGACATGATACGAGGATCATTCGGCGCTCCCATCTCTTCGAGAGAGACTTGCAGGTCTGGGAGATGGTACGCATCTTTTTTCTTGAATGTCCGATTTTGCCGCTTTTCTTTTTCGGTCATGAAGGCCTCTTCAGCATAAACCGGGTTGTCAGGGACCTCCTCTTCCTTTCTAGACGCTTGATTCTTTTGCCGGGCCGCTTCCTCTTCTGCAGTCCTCTGGAGTTGCACTGCAAGGAGCTTCCCCGCAGTTCGCACTGCATCTTCTCTGCGACCTTCCCGTCGCTTCTTTCTAGCGGCAATGGTTTGTCGTTTCAGGATCGGCGCGCCACCGTCGAACACAAAGACGGGCTTGATTCCGAAGAAGAGCAGTTTGCATATGCGACGGAAAAAGCCAACAACGTGAGAGTTCCGGAGGGCGTTTCCTTCCTTGTCGCGGACAGCCTTTAAGAATTGATAGATCCAGATAGAAGCGTCAACCGCTAGGCGTTTTCTATTGAGGGTTTCCAGTTTTATGGGTCGAGCGCATGGCTGGACGACATCCCAAAGCCCGTGGACACCCATACTTGCACAGGAATGACAGCGTTAGGATGCTTCTGATATTTAGGACTCATGGCAGTAGGACATGGTCAGCGCGTAGAATTAAAGATTGAGGCACGTATGTAGACGAGGGAGATGTTGCGTTCGCCGCGAGGCCCTGCTTACAGAGCCGCGTCGCCACTCCCAATACAAGAGCGCGATATCACGTGCCCAATTATGCCGTATCAGGAAAAGCGCATCGCAGCCCAACCTGATTACCTAATCAGCTGCACCATCAATAGAAATTCTGGAAAGTCGAAATTATTGTAGATGAGGCTTCACGCGGGGAAGCATCGGCGCCGATAGAGGACTTACTTCACTGTCAACTCGGACGTATCAATGCGCTGAGAGAGGTCTGGAACTGATGTTCGCGAATTATACCAATGTATTCCTCACTCGAGGTTGGTAACCGCTTCCCTTTGACATGTGCATTGGCTGACTCAATCACCAGCATCTTGATGGGTGCCTCCCTGTAACAGCGATTAAAGTCCTCCCTTTGGGAGGTGTGAAGCTCATTCTCCAGGGTCAAGGTCTCTTTACCCGTATCATTGATGAGCAGAATGGAAAGACATTAGCTCAGCTAAAAACGTTCCGGCGCAACAATGTTCATGGCTACATCATTATCGACCAAGGACAAAGTGGCACGGGAGAGGCTCTCGTGCAGATCATCGCTTGGGGTGGTGACTCCTTAAGACTGATAGACGTGCTCTGTTCAAACGGAACATCAGGTGACCTGGAAGTGTCCCTTGAAGCTGCAAGTGCAGAGTACCGAGCGCCTGACTGGATCTTGGCCGGTTGTGCCCCAGAGCCCAGTGGTGACGCAGGAAAAGCTTATGGAGTAACTGCCCACAATGCTGTTCTGGGCTTCTATGTTACGAACGGGGATCATCCACGATATCCGAAAAGCATCCACCTCAAGCAGCAGGTCGCCGGAGTAAAGACTCTCCTCTATTCCGCTAATGCTGTGTCTCTCTCATCGTCTCAAGTACTAGTTGCTGCCGGAACTGTTTTTGGAGAAGTCATCGTTTGGTCTTGCTTCCTGGACGAGAAGAATGACTTTCCTTCCGAAGCCGTGGGTTCGATTCATCACTTTTTTACCGGTCACGAAGGGTCTGTATTCGGAGTCAGAATATCGAAGCAGATTGCTCTGCCTGGACGTCCTTCAGCACGGCTTTTGGCAAGCTGCAGTGACGACCGCACTGTACGTGTCTGGGACATCTCTGACTGCGAACATGTCTCGCGTCATGATCCGTCTGCGTATTCGACGGATGGCTTCGAACTTCGCAGCACGGGGTTCGGCGCAGCGTCGGCCGTAAAGGACGATGAACTCGGATCGGAGTCTTGCATTGCCAGTGCTTTTGGCCACAAGGCACGCATCTGGAACGTCCATTTCCTCCATACGCAAGCCGGAAGCCAGAACAATCTGAGCCTGGTGTCGAGTGGCGAAGACGCTACCTGCGTGGTGTGGGATCTTACTTGGGACTCTGCCCTTTCACCAAATACGAAGTTCGACCTGAGTGCAGTGACTTCATATCATCTCCATGCTGGAAAACACATATGGTCTTTAGATACCCACAGCACTGGATCAGAGTCGATCATCTACACCGGAGGTGCAGACGGGGGTCTGAAAAGTTTCCGAATTGGTGTGAATGAGAATGGATTGGCAATCTTCCCAAATCGGAACAGCATTATTAGAACTACGATAGACCCCGAAGGGTCGGATACTGCTGTGGACAAAACCATGAAATCTTTCGCTTTTGTTGCCCAAGACCGTTTCCTCGCTACGACGCACCGGGGAGAGATCCAAATATGCGACTTGATACACGGCGGGACAGCAATGCCGCACATCCGCAAAGAAACTTTGTCCATTGAAGAAGATCTTCGATCTTTCTGCTTCATGTCCAAGTTCGCCGAGTCCGACATGGTAGTTTTTGCTGGCAGAAATGGATCCATTCGACTATACAACGACAAAACCAGGGAAATTACATTGCTTACCGACACCGGTCGATTATCGCAGGGGGTGTTTGCTCTGGGCTGCGAATTGGACGCAGCTGGATCACCGAAAGTTTTATATTTCCTGGTGTCCTACCCCAACTATGACAAGGCAGACCTGTTTACAGTCACGTTGTCGCAGGAGGCCGAGCTGAAAGTGCAGATGACACAGATAGCCCTCCCCCACCTCAAGCATTTTAATATCACATGTGCATCCTTGGCTTATAACAACCAGTACTTGGTTGTCGGATCCGCATACGGCTATCTTAGGATCTACCGCGTTACCCAGTCGGACACCACTCAAGAAGCCCTGTGGTATGGAAATGTCCACGACCGAGAGGCGTTGACTCACGTTGGATCCTGCTCATTGTTCTTGGACAAGCCTGGAGAATTGCAAGAGTATTTCATTACCTGCGGGCGAGACGGGAAATACTGCATCCACGAAATTCAAGCTCAAGATGCACAGGATACGATATCTGTCAAAACCGTACATCGCTCGATCCCCCCTACAAGCTTTACCGTTCAGGGTGTTTACGTTGAGAAAGCCTCCCAAGATATCCTTACTTATGGGTTCTCTGGTAGGGATTTCATAGTATGGAATGAGTCCCAACAGACAGAGATCGCTCGAATTGGCTGTGGTGGGTCACATCGACAATGGACTTTTCAGCCGGGCATTGCTCTGAATGGTTCAAGTTGGTTTCTGTGGTTCCAGGGACAGTTCAATGCTCTTCCGATTCAGATGGATGCCGTGCGCACCCTTAAACCTGGTGGACACGGCAGAGAAATCAAGACGTTGAGCGTTTCTCCTACTAGTGAAGTTGGTCCCATCTTCGTCACAGGGGGCGAGGATACTATTCTGCGATTGTGTGCCCTGGATGGGTCTCAGTCCAAATGCCTGCAGGTGATAAACCACCATCAAACCGGATTGCAGGAGGTCGGGTGGTCTCGGGATGGACGGTTTCTTTTCACATCCGGCGGCATGGAAGAGTTTCACGTTTGGAGAGTCCGTTCAATTCCTTATTTTGGCCTCGCGACCAATCTGGAATGCTCAAGTTCAATGGAAGATTCCAAATCTGAGCTGCGCGTTACGAGTTTCGACGTGTTGGATGTAGATGAAGGCTGTGGAGAGGGCGCTTTCTTGCTTTGCCTAACATATTCCAACTCAAAGCTCAAGGTAAGCTCTCCTGATATCTTTTTCTCCTCGCCATGGTTGCTAATTGCACAGATCTTCCATTACTCCTCTTCTGCGGATGGGGGGCACTTTACCTTGCTCGCAAGAGGGACGTACACAAGCAACTGCTTGACTCAGGCCCGTTTCATGCGTCGGGGCTCTTCTCTGGGGTTGATAACGGCGTCTACTGACGGGTATTTCACTTTTTGGAACCTAACTCCGGTCATTGAGCCGTACTACACAATATCATCTGTCTTACGCCCTAAGCAACCCATACGAACCATAACCGGCACGGCTGAGAACATCACCTGCGAAAACCGGTTCCAGATCCATTCGAACAGCATCAAGACACTAGAGATCGTGGAGATCTCGATGACAGCTTCTTTGATCGTGGCGGGTGGGGATGATAATGCGCTGACATTCTCAATTCTGCGCACGGACTTCTCGAACACCGAAGCTTCCAGCGAAGCATGCACAGTTCGCATCCCGGATGCTCATGCTGCATGCGTCTCGACGCTGAAAGTACTCGAAAAACACGAATCCAAGGATGACAGTGCTGTTCTGCAGCTGACCGTTGCTTCCTCCGGAAATGATCAACAGGTAAAGATCTGGAGTGTCGAAGTGGACTCTAGGAAGAACAGCCCGGAGGGTGTGCGGGTGATAAACACATTCGACCGGTACACTGCGGTGGCTGATCTGTCGTCTCTGGATGTGATCCGTGACGAGATGGGCGTGTCTAAGTTGATTGTGGGTGGAGTTGGGATAGACGTGTTTGAAGTTCAACAGGATTGATTGTTTATGTGGGTTACGATGTTATGCTTGTGTATATGGTGTATAAAAATTAGACTAGACGGTCTGAGAGTGGCGCCGACATCCACAATTGTATATATTCTGCAAAGACCCACGTTAAAACCATGCAAGTCTCTCAGGAGACAAACAAGCATCGAATGATCTGGACATGCCGGTATACCGTGGCCAAAACGGCATAGCTCCCTGTCGACTGTTTCATCGCTGCTCCACGATGATCGAGATCGTCAACGAACGCGCTGCACAATTAGCCGGCCATTTACCCCGCAAACGTGTATGTAGGGCCGCGATCATCGTCGGTGAAATACATTCCACCATCGACACGTCTGAAGAATCGAGCGGATCTGTTCACGTCTGCGGCGTTCGGTGGTTAAGGGGTAATCAATCCCAATATGGCCTGCATTGCCTAGGCTGGTTATGAGGCCTAAGTCAACAGGGACTGCTTCTCACGCCAAGGACCCTCAAACCCTGATGCATGCATTGACACCGCGGACATTCTGTGACACCTTCTGCGGCGACGAGGGTAGCCTTATATAAGGCCGCTGCATCTCATGTGCATAAAATGAGAAACCTGGAGAAGCAGATATCCCTAACACTTGTCTATCAGCTGTACCTGGATTGACTTACCATGAAGTTCTACATTCCTTGGATCATGGCCAGTACGGCCTCCATGGCTGCTGCCAGGCCTTGGCTGCGTGCCTCGAACCTCACGTACTTCTTCTCATTGTATGTTCTCCCATCCGTCTCAGGCGCCGTCTGGCAAAGCAGACGAGCGTGCTAATTAAACAAGCACAGTGGTGATTCGTATTCGCAGACTGGGTTCAGCGCGTCGGGGACTCAACCATCCCCGTCGAATCCCATGGGGAATCCTGCACTGGGTGAGCATCTCCCAGTCCGCATCTGCACGATCGAAGCTCATACGGACCAGGAACCGGCACAACAACTGGCGGTGAAAATTGGGTTGGCTTTCTAACCACCAAGGAGAACTCCTCGCTTATTCTGAACTACAACCTGGCCGTCGGCGGTGCGACCATCGACAACACCATCATGGAGGGCTACCCCGACGATCTGGTGTCGCAGGTGGGCGTCTTCGAGGATAACTATGCAAGCAAGCCTGCGTCCGCGCCGTGGACTTCGGCGAGTGCCGTGTTTGGCATCTGGATTGGAGTTAACGAGTATGCATTATTTTATCCTGTGGAGTTGACCTGTGCAACTGCGGCTAACGAGATACAGCGTCGGCAATGCGTTCTGGCAAACCGATGCAGACACCTTCGTCCCGCGGTTGATCTCACGACTCGGGTCGCTCATCCAGGGGCTCTATGACTCCGGCGCCCGCAAGTTCCTCGTACTCAATGTACCGCCTACCGGACGGAGCCCGTTATTCCTGGACCAGGGCGATGCGACGGTCCAACAGCACGCCGCGTATTTGTCGGTGTATAACACGCAGCTCAAGGATATGGTTGACGGGTTCAAGGCTAACCACACCGATGTAAGCTTTCCTAATGCTATTGCCAGATGAGATTGTATTAATGTGCGGCGCACAGGTCACCGCCGTCCTCTATGACTCCTGGTCGTTCATGACCAAGGTCCTGGACAGCCCCGTGGAATACGGATTCCCCGACGCGACATGCATCAACGAGGATGGCACTTCGTGCATCTGGTGGAATAACTACCATCCTTCGGCCAAGTATCATGAGCTCCAGGCGGATGATATGAAGCAGGTTCTGGCGCCTTTGGGCGCGTGGTAATCAACATGGTTGTTGATATATACGTAGCTTTAGCTTGAATTCAATATACCTTGTTTTACTAATTTCGAGTGTAATGTATAGCTTGTAGACTACATTGGGGGGAGTAGTATCCTGAGAGATAATAACGATTTCATACTAGTGTATGCCTGTTGGATATACTCAAATGGATGTCTCGTAGTACTACACGACCTACCAATATCATGCAACTCACTAGTCCATGTCAATCAATGCCTTTACTGTCACGGATGCCACTACCGGCATCAATACCAGCCCAGATCCCCGCACCGTCGATCTTCCTCAGACGACGGCCACTTCATCTCCGCGGTTGTTTCATCCCAGCTGCCAAGGCGGAGAAGTTGGCATAGTGTCCTGCATGCGGCACTCTGATTCCACCACTGTTTCTGCGCGAGCTCCGGTGGATCATCGCGCATTGTTCTCTATGAGGACAAACAGCACCCTTTCAGCAGTTTCCACTACTCCGTACCTGCTTGTCATCGTTGACGGTCCGAAACCCCGAGACACATCCCCATCAACCCCCATTTGGACGTTTCAATCAAACTCCTCCCACGAATCAGTGGAGCGAAGCCACCGAGCGATGGAGCATATCAGGGAAATCTCATGATCCTAATCAAACTATGGATCGTGGCTTTGGGGTTAGGCTGTTTCCGTGTACCTGGCTGGCAACAAGCCTTGGGCGTGCGGGCGCTTCTATAAATCCAGCCCTATTCCCGCGAGGGATCGATAGCCAGCAGCCCAGATCCTGTCGCTCCTTAGGCTTTTTACATTCTGGTACTTGTCTATACTACCTTTCTTTTTGACTATGAAGTTGAGTGCGATGCTGGTCGCCGTCGCGGCGGGATCTGCGATGGCCGTCCCTCACCACCGAAAGAGGGCATCTCCCTTCCAGTGTTGGTGGCCGTTCTGGTAGAAAATTTCTGTCGGAAATAATACTGACTTTGCCAGGGTTTGGTGTCAATGAATCTGGAGCCGAGTTCGGCGAAAACAACCTTCCCGGGGTCTATGTATGTCCCAAACCGAGACGCAGACTTTATGATACTAATCCGCGCTTCTGCTCTAAGGGAACCGATTACATCTGGCCTGAACCCTCTGCGATCAGCACCCTGGCGAAAGCCGGAATGAACATCTTCCGGGTCCAGTTCAAGATGGAGCGATTGACACCGGATGGCATGACGGGTGCCTACAACGAGGATTACCTGGCCAATTTGACCGCGGTAAGTCTTAAGCGTCCGTCGAGAATCAAATGCTGGTGTCTAACAGACTGTAGACCGTGGATGCCGTGAACCAGGCAGGCGCCCATGCCATCCTTGATCCCCACAACTATGGACGATTGTGAGTGCCCTGCATGGGGTCGTGGATGTGCAACTAACAAGGTGCAGTAACAACGAAATCATCACCAGCACGTCTGACTTCCCAGACCTTCTGGGAGAACCTCGCAGGCAAGTTCAAGGACAACAACAAGGTCATCTTTGACACCAGTAAGTCATCAGCCTACAAGCCGATTCGCAGCATGTCGATCCTGACGCCCCAGACAACGAGTACAACACCATGGACCAGGAACTGGTTTTGAACCTGAACCAGGCCGCCATCGACGGCATCCGCGCCGCCGGCGCGACGGAACAATACATCTTCGTGGAGGGCAACCAGTGGAGCGGCGCATGGAGCTGGGTCGACGTCAACGACAACATGAAGGCCCTGACCGACCCCCAGGACAAGATCATCTACGAGATGCACCAGTACCTGGACTCGGACAGCTCCGGCACGTCGGAGACGTGCGTGTCGGGCACGATCGGCCAGGAGCGCGTGAGCTCGGCGACGCAGTGGCTCCGGAGCAACGGTAAGAAGGGCATCATCGGCGAGTTTGCCGGGGCCAGCAATGATGTGTGCCGCACCGCGGTGACGGGCATGCTCAACTACCTGTCGAACAACACTGATGTGTGGACGGGCGCGGTCTGGTGGGCGGCTGGTCCCTGGTGGGCTGACTACATGTTTAACATGGAGCCTCCGAGCGGACCGGCGTACACTGGCATGCTGGACGTTGTGCAGCCGTTTATGGTTGCTTAGATGTTAGAGCAGTGTCTACCGTTGTATTCTGTAGAGTTGAGGGGACGTGGGCTGGGTAGGAGAGAGGAATGTGGGGTGACCGTCTGCAATGTACATATGTGGTGCGAATAAGCCAATCAAGAATTGTATATGGAGTCGCCACAAGAATGAAGGCACGTAAGTAGGCAGACGTTTATCAATCTACCCCATAAGGTGGCTTTGATAGAGGTTCGTCACGATATACTTGTTACGTGGGAGGTCCGGCAAAGCCCCAGAGGCGACGCAGACCCACCGAGTCGTGCACGTCTTGCATGCAGTGGACTTTTCTGGCAAGTCTTTGATCGGGTGGGGTGTCTAAATAAAGTGTCCGGAGTACGAGCGCACGGAGTACCCTAATCAGGACATCATGAAATAGAGATGCCTAAGAGCTTCGGACGTAATCTTGATGTGCTCGTTTGGAACCAACCGATGACCAAAATAGTAGTACTAGTAGCAGGGTTTGATGGTTCAGATGATCATGCTGCCAACCAACGATCCTCTGATGTATCAAAGGTCGATACTAAGTCAAATGAAGAGACTATTTATATGAGGTAGACTATAGTCATCCACATGCATATCTAATACATTCATGACTGAACTATTCCAGAAAGACTGGAATGCCCCTAGCAGAGTCTACTACTCCTACATAATACTCCGTAGTATGGAATGGATTGACTTTTTCCGAGCCAACGGGCCAGACGGGGAGGAGGTCTTGGCAACGAGGCTGTACTCTGGTTCAATCCAATTCAGGCTACGATCGTCCAATGCTCATTTCAATCAGTCAAGCAGGAAATGGAGAAGCCTGTTATCGGGCTGTGTTGTGTCTAGACAAAACGAGTGTGATCCACCTGGGGAATACGACCAGTTTCAACTTTATTCGCATTGATTACAATCGAGATTGCAAGAACAATTCTATTCTGGCTAGTCTAGATGCCTGGAATATTAATCTTTGTGGGCTGCAGAGAATAACAGAGACATCCTCAAAAGCACACTAAAGAAGAAAACTCGGATCCACTAGTCTACTGTGCGAAAGAGGACGCGTATGCTGGAACCCCCAGCCTCATATGACGTGGCGATAGGGCTGGATAGCTCCCGGAGAGTCTCCGCCACGCGGACACAACGAGGAAAACTGAGTTGCGGTGGGAACGACGCCCGCCCAGAATAGAAACAGGCACCGCTTACATAAGGACTCCTGCGTGGCGGTGACTGTCGCTGATTGGCCCGTCGATCGTGACTGCGACTGCGCCTCCCCAATTCAGCAGATGGCGGCCTGAGAGTCTTTTTCGGGAAGGCACAACTGATCGGCAGCCACAGAGGACGGAGTATTATTTATTATCTTCCTTCCCTCCATCATCCTCTATCCTCGATCATACGTCTTCTTCTACCTCATCATCTCCCGTTCTCCAGTCTTTCCCTCCTCCCGATTCTACCACATATCTCCGATCCGACTATACAACCCCCAACCAACACACATCACTTACCATCAACAAATACGTCATCACCATGGGTAAAGGCGGTCGATTTCTCTGCATCCTTACTCCCTACGCCCTCACCATCGCTTCACTAGTATGCATCATCATGGTAGGGCTGGGCTGCACAAACGCCAACTCCGGCACACTCAACGATCTATACTTCTTCCGCGTATGTATTTCCCGCGTCTTTAGCGCATTTCCAGCCTCTGACTGACTGATCAGGCCAACCTGCAAAACATCACATCAAACTCATCATCCGTCACCTCTGAAGTCACGAACGCATTGGAGGATGCCGGTGTCAGCGTTAGCGATGGTGATATCCAGTCCGCTCTCCAGGAGGTGGAGAAATCGTTTGATCTGAAGGATTTCTACACCATCGGTCTGTGGGGCTACTGTGACGGAAATATCAACGACCACAAATACAACGTCTCCAACTGCTCCAAGCCCGAGTCCATGTTCTGGTTCAACCCCCTCGACGTGTGGAACTTGGAGGAGTCCGGTCTTGAGAATGCCCTCCCCGATGGCCTTGAGAAGACCCTCAACATCTACAAGAACGTCTCCAAGTGGATGTTCGTCGCCTACATAATCGCCTTCATCGCCACGGTTGTCGAGCTCGTCGTCGGTGTCTTCGCCATCTGCAGCCGCTGGGGTAGCTGTGTCACCACTCTCGTCGCCATCGTCGCCTTCCTCTTCACCGCCGCCGCCTCGGCCACTTCCACCGCCCTGTTTGCTGTCATGGCCGGTGTCTTCAATAAGAAGCTAAAGACCGCGGGTATCGTGGGCACCATGGGAAAGAACATGTATGTCGCCACCTGGTTGGCCGTCGCCTTTTCCCTCGCTGCCGGCCTCTTCTGGATGATCAGCACCTGCTGCTGCTCCGGTCGCTCTCCCTACAACCACCGCAATAAGGGCGCTACCCGTGGTGTGACCGCTGAAAAGGCTCCCTACACCTACGAGCCCCTGGGCCCTTACGGAACCGCTCCCCAGAACACTTCTTACCCTCCTGCTCCGGCCAACGCCCAAAGAACGAATGCCTATGAGCCTTTCCGTCACGTCTAAATGGCTCGACGAGAATCAAGAAAACCCCAATAAAATCCAAAAAAAAAAGAAAAAGGAAAATCTTGAGCCGAATGAACTCTCCCCTATCGGAAGGGAACGTGCTCCTTCACGACAATAATGCCATTTGCAACATATGCATGATTCATCGCGGACATCTATTTGGCCTTGTATTGTATTTGTCGGCTTTGCATTCGGTCTGCTGTTTTATCATGGATATAGACGTCTACTGTTTAGCTAGATACCCTCCTTTGTCATGGAATGAACAATTTCAATAAACGAATTGGGTCTGGATTAAACCTGCTTGCACGAATACTCTCCCCAAATGACTACAAGTCCACGAGGCTGCTTGGAAAGTATTTAGTAACGATTGTTCATTCACCGTTGGTCCTTCCACAATAGGATTGGAACATTACTAGACAAGCACGTTGCCGAGATATGAAGACCCAGTCACAAATTGCGTGTTGAAACCGAATCTCAGAACGCCGTTCTCGGGATATCATGTACCACCATCAATCAAAAAGACAAGAGAAAAAGCTATTATAACAACAGGAACAGAAGATTTGGCGCACACGGGGGAAAATGAAAAAATATGTACCCGCCAAGGAACTGAGAATGGATACCAGACATCATTTCAACCCCAACAGCCACGGTTGAATGACTCCTTTCTCGTCAACGGGCATCTGAGCCCAGCCACGGCGAAACACACGCTCGCTCCGGACATTCTGATCCTCCCTTGCCCATTTTTTCAGAGGAGTGTTCGGATCGTCCCACCACCCCTCGCCGGGGTCGCGAATATGCCTGAGCGAGACGAACCAGTTTTCGTTCTCGCTGTCAGACTCTTCTCCCTCGCCGAGTTCGAGACTAGCGGTCTCGTGGGTTTCGTCCATCATGTCGACGTCCTCGTTGCTTTCGTGTTCGTCTTCACTTTCGCTCTCGCTCTCGGTGTCCCTTTCGCTTTCTGTTTCCGGGATGACAGGACCGGGGCCGCGCTGTTCGTGGCTGGGGTTGGCCGGCGGGGGAACGGGGGTGTCTGGGGAGTCTGCCCTGACAAACAGTTCGTTGTCGGAATCGGGGCTGTCTTCTCGAACCGCCGGAGTCCGCTGGGAGGGCTCGTCTTGTGGAACGGGAGAGGACTTGGAGACGGACATGCGGTCCGCATCGTGATTAGATGCCGTGCTTGGAGGTTCAGGGCCGAGGGAGTGCGCATGAAATTCGGAGAACTTGGCTACAAGGCTGCCGGTGAATGAAGTGCTTGCTTCTTTGCGTAGCGGCGATGTATCCATCACGCTGTTCGAGGCGCTAGCGGAGACGTATTGCGATGTAGCCTTTTCGAGACTGCCGGTGAATGGAGTGTTTGCTTCATTGCGAAGCGGCGACGTATCCATCGCATTCCTGGAGGTGGTAGCGGAGATGTATTGTGATGTAGCCTTTTCGATCCCACCAGCTGTAAGGCTTCGCTTCTTGTACGACGGCTTGCTGTAGTTGGACAGAAAGAAATCTTCGTATGGAGGGACCTTGGTCTCCGTTGAGAGATGTTCTTCACGATACGGCGTGTAGACCTCCAAATGCTTGATGATGAAGTCGTCCCACAAGAACGATCTCGTCAGGCATCCCCGCGAGCGGAGAGCGTGGAGCTTGGAGCACAACTCCGTGAAGTGCGCAAAGTCTCCCACATAGCTCGGATAGTCATTTCGAAACTTTTCAAACACTCTCTGGGCCTCCGCGCAGTCGTCAGTGTGACTGATATAGCTCTCTCGACGCGAGACGATGTCGACGGTGGGTAGGGTTGACTCCCGCCTCCGTGAACTGTCCTTGCTTGGTCTCTGGCGCTTTGCAGTAGGCGGGGCTTCGCCAGAGGCTGGCCGTTTCAATGGCGACGGGGCCATACTTTGCATGCTTATATCAGGCGCGGAGCCGTCGAACGCGGTCGGAATTTTCTCATCCGCCTCAATGGACGAGATCATCTCGTCATGAGACGAAAAGGGCTTCGATGAAGCGTCTGACTGGTACGTGGAGTTTGGTATCGCGGAAGACGAGATTGGCAGCCGATCCTGCGTAGACCAGGCCACGTTACTCAATTGTGTTCCCATGATATCGATGTGCTGACTGTCGCCATCGGCCTGGGAGGCTTGTGGTGTATTCCGTGTGCCTGTCTGTGCACTGTCATGGGTCGCGTACGTGTTGAAGATACGTGATTGCGACGAAGATTTGCTCTCCGCGGGCAATGGGCCGTGATGTTCCTTTCGATCGTCCTTGGCCTGCTCCATCAAGTGAATACGATGACGGTGGTTGGGCGCGGGGGTCTCTGTGACTTGTACTCGCTCTTGTAATGGCGCCGCCGGGAGAGAAGGACCAGAGCTGCTGACTCCTTGGTCCGACTGGCTGGCAAGATATGCTTGGGAGGAACCGACAAGTGGACAGGGAACAGAGGTGTCCATCACCGAATCCTCGCTCTCGTCATCAGATTCGGGTTGACGAGTCGCACTGGAAGCCCTTTCACCGGTCTGATCAGGAGCAAAGCCATCCGCACCGCTTTCATGTCCCTCGATGGGATCCTTCTCCAACGAAAAGCCAGGAACTACACGACTATCATCCATCTTTGCGGGTTTTGTGGTCGGGGATTCGACAGGTGCATCCGTCTGCGACCCGTCTACCTGCGTTCTAGGTTCTCGTACCTGCATTTTCGGAGACATCTGCTTCGGCCTTGGCCTAACAGGGCTACTGTCGTCGGGAAGGGCTCGGCGACTAGTTAAATGCGCAGACGGACTTCGATCCCATGGAAGCGGAGTTCCATCGTCTGGGGTTGGGCTTAGCTCCGGAGTGACAGAGCTATGCTCAGCGGGTTCTGGTGACATGTCCTGTGTCGGTACAGGTGTGGGTTGCTTCTCTGCGCTAGAGCGAGCCCTTTTCAGGGCGATGCGATTCCACTGAGACAACAGCGCTGGAGGCACACATGCTCGGGGTAGTTCCTCTCCAAGAGGAGGAGGGACCCATATACGCGCTTCTCGTTCAAAGAATTGTTGTTGGTTACTTGGTACCGTGATGTCTGACTTGCGAATCCATCGCATTCCACTCCAGGGGTCGGCCTGCGTCTGATCTGGCTCAAGCCTAGCTATTTGTGCTGTGATGTTAGTCTTCTGATTCGAGCGTGGAGTTTGTTCCGTAGAGTGTTCAGTATGGCTTTGTCCGGCGGGTTGCGTTACTGGTGTGTCAGAGGGCTCTTTTTCAACAGCTGTCTTTGCTCCTGGCTTGATGTCCTTTTCCATTTCTTCATCTTCTCCAAGGATGACATGTTCGCCTCCTGGCTGCGCATGAGGTTGCGCAAGTGGGCGCGTTGATTCAGGTGGAGAGATTGGCGGCGCTGAATGATGTAAGTCGTGTGCAGGACTCGGACTAGTGTATCCCGAGATTTCGGGTTGAGAGCAAGGTTGGCTACTGATCTCATCTTCAGTACCCTTTTGATCAAGAGTCTGTCCGTTCGCTGATTGTGCGATATTGAGGTCCCCGGTATTCCCGATTGCAGTTGTACCAGGTGCCAGATACCCTAGCAAGCTGTCCGTCGACGGCCCACCATGACTGAGATGATGATCAATGTGCTCAAACTCAGAGTCCAGTATCAGAGGTGCCTGGGTTTGCGCCTGGGTTTGAGATTGCGTAAAATGTTGCGTAGGAAGTTTATAGGGCGTTTCATTAGGCTGTGATATATGGTGGTTCAATGTTTCCCTGCAGGCGGATTTGGGAGCCGGCTCCCTCAATTTCGCCAAAGCTTTTCCGATCGCATGTGCTGTAGATGGATGCTTCTTCAGTTTTCTGCCCAGTGGTGGTCCTTTGAATCTGCCTCTCTCCCAAGCGATCGCGAAACTCTTGACGTAAAGATGGGCACTGGGCTGGGAGCTGGCGTAGTCGAAGACCACGTCGAAGTCATATAGTACAATGGTGCTGCCCTTCACATCTTTGTTAAGCGGTTTATCGGGAGATTGCTTTCGGTATAGGTCGAGGGAGTCCTGAGACAAGCTGGCATCGATTTGCGTCTTCGAGTCAGTGAGATTTGGCACAGGTCTTTCGCCTTCGGTCACCTGAAGGTAAAAATAATATATCAGCTGAAAGAAGAGCACATCCAAGCCCGGGGATTCTCACATTGTTGATCAAAGCGTACTGCGGAGACCGGATTGTGAAACGGAGGGTTTGGCCATTATTTTCGATGTTAGGCCCCACCGACCCTCCGTCGCAGAAGGTAGAAAGACATCCTTCAACTAGAGGAGCTATCCAGTGTGGTTCTTGGGACCCCATTGCGGAATTGAAGGAGAGCTTTGTCGGTAGGATAAGTCGGAAGCATCATATTAGAACGGTTGAGGGCTAATGTCTCAGGACAAGTCACACAGGTAAAGAAACGGTGAAAGAAACTGGATCGGGTGGAAGCGACAGTCGTAGAATTGCAAACCGCAGTTGCCAGGCTACCCCTGAAGAGAGCTGCAACTCAATTCAGATGACCATCCGTGTTATTTGTCGCGATCCTGCGATCTAGATATCCCCATCGATTAATTTAATGAGCGACGCGCAGAAACGACGCGCCTCACCGCCCACGGGATCTGCACCAGCCACAGAGGGGAGGGGCTGTGCCACAACCACGTCATTGGGCAGCAGCAGCACATGCAAGACAAGCACCTTGTCTGCACTGTTCCTTGTAAATACTATCGATCTCCACGCGTCAAACCTGACGCCCCCTCACCACCAGCGGATTCAAAAGATATATATTCTCATCTACCCCTGGAGGATGTCGAGTCAAGTGATTATCGCATCTCTTCTTGTTGCACGCCTCTTCACGTCCTCCGACGACTAGTCGCTCACCCCAATCATCGGAGCTCCTCCGCTGGTAATATCACGAATGCTCGCCACCGCTTGTTCCCTCTAAACTAGGTCTTTTCATGTCTGTCTAGCCCCCCGAGTCTTTACGTTCGCATACACAAAGTTGCGACAGCTCAACGATGACTTCCCAGCGGTCGCAAGGGGCGTCCAGTCCATCAGCATCATCCATCTTCCTCCCGCTTGGACGTCGAGGTTCACGGTCATCATTGTCGACCCAGGCTGAACGAGAAGGTCTAAACGCCGCTCTTGATCAAATCCACACGGCCGCTTATCAGTCCGATTCCCTCACTGTGTTCAACGATTTCACAAGCCCCCCGGCGCCGACCTCCGTAACGGAAGATAAGAGCCTGTCGAATGAGATCCAAGGAGGTCTGAGTGGACTGTACAGTCGTTTGAGGACGTCTGTTGGAGGGGTCAGAGATATCGTGAGAGTGGGGAGATCGTCGGAGAGAGGCCATGCGGAGGATCATAAAGTGAAGAGTCCTCCGAGAGAGCTCTCGCTTTCACGATCAGCCCACGGTCCAGTAACCTCTGCCGCAGATGGACAAGAGTTTCCACCTACGCCCATCCCGGATTCTGGATTACAATCACCAGTTCCTGCACACCAGCAGCCTTACGATGCCTCTCACCTGGCCGGTACTGGGAAGGGCTCCAAGGTCTCGTCGAAAACAGCAAGCATCTCTTCCAAAGCTTCCATTTCTGCGCCGACAGCGATAAAATCCCCAGTTCCGCCGTTGCAAAAAGCCACCGCGAGCTCAACCGCTGTTGATCCCACAGTCACGGAAGTTAATGTCAACGCGGTAAAGGACTTTCCCGTAAACGCGAGCAATAACTCGGGCAATCTCTCTTCTCACAGCTTCCACGCCAATGAATCCGCAAGTATCGACAGAGATGAGGCATCTCAGAACACGTCTATGAGTGCTTCAGGGTGGAACCAGCGACTAACACAGTCCCCTCTATTACAACCGAAATCTCAAAATCCCTCGACCGAGGGACTGGGCTCCGGAGAAGCTGGTCGCGCTGCCACCATGAGCCCTCAAGTCACCGGCAGGTCGGACAGCTTAGTCTCTCATGGAACAGATATCTCTATACCTGCCACGTCGAGGAAGTCCAAACCCTCCATTGATGGTTCCCAGGATAGTGGCTCTTTTATGCAGGAGCGGAGAAGGTCAAACTCAACGGCTTCGTTCAACCCAGACAGATCTAATCCCGCCGCTTATTCCGAGTCCAACAGTGTGTCCCAGTCACAAGCTAATGGCGATAATACGTTCACAGATGGACAAACTCCCTCAACAGGTGCCACATCCCTCTACTTAACAGATGGTGACTCCCGTTCAAGAGAATCATCAAAACCTTCTCTGAAAGAAAAGGCTCGTGGGAGACGAGACCCTCCTGGGCTCCTCCCCCTTCCACGATCATTGACGCCGTCCGAATCCACAGTGAGCTCGCCTCTCTGGACGCCTGTGAACGTGGAGGCCAGTGACCGTGGCCTGGTTCAGCATGATCGAGGCTGGCATCCACCTAAAAATGATGGCAATATGCCTCATCTAGGGAACAAATTGCTCAGTAGGGAGTTCTGGATGCGCGATGAGAATTCGAAAGATTGTTTTCACTGCGGCGAACCTTTCTCAACCTTCCGGCGGAAGCATCACTGCCGTACATGCGGCCAAATATTCGACTCTAAATGTACGCTCTTGATTCCAGGAGAGCGCTTCGGTCAGCCCGGTACGATAAGGGTTTGCAAACCATGTGAAGCGATGATCAATGGGCATGATGACGACTCATCTGAATTTTCGGATGGCGACCAGAGCCCAGCAGTCAACCCACGACTTTCCGAATTAGGATCGCCTGCTATCGACGACGACGACGCCTCTTCGGTGATCTCTCAATCAATCGAGCACGCTCTGAAGACACCGACTATGGCAATTCCCGCGACGAGACGTGCTGGAGAAGGACATAATCGTCGTTCAGCTGTCCTGGAGATTAGTCCCGATCGCCCTCTGGCAAGACCTACTTCATCAAGGTCACTAAAGTCGTCTCTTAGCGGGAGGACGCATTCGATTGGCCATAAGCGCCACCACTCGCGTCAACAATTCGTCCGCAATTTCAAGCCTTATCATGATGATCGAGCCCCCTTCCAGCGCCGCAATATGGAAGATGCGACGTCTGCGTCTCGGCTCTCTGCGTTCCATAAGGACAACATCATTGACCCGGACCTTGCACAGTATCTCTCTGATGACGCTTCTAGCGGGGATGAACAGCCCAACATATTGTCTGCTGCTTCGGAGACTCCATTATCCAAGAGTAGCGCGGACAATGAAAGGACGACATTCGGCGGGTTTGGAATTCTTGCTGCTATGAAAAAAGGCCGATCAGCCTTCGGAAGTGTTGGGAGCAACAACAATCACTATAGCCGCGACTTTGACGAAGGCAGTGTCAGCAGCTCTAGGGCGCTAAATCTGCCTCGTCCTCGTCGAAGAAATCTCAGTGTTGCTAGCAGCATCCAGCGCAACTCTCCCAGAGCCTCGAAGGATAGTGTTCTCGCGTTGCATGACCAGTCAAACGCTAACCATATCCTTCCTGCCGTCGTTACTCCAAGTGGATTCAAAATGACGAGAAGTTCCTCCATGAGAGGAGCCGGGGCCCCGCCGGTGGAATTAAATAAAGCGAGTTTGCAACATGTCCGCCAGCTCCTCCGGCAACTTCTGAAGGATGCCGCAGTGCCACATGCTAATAGCTGGGAAACCGCACTTCTTCCTATTCTGCTAAAAGCCGCCGACGAAGTTGATCCCGACGTCCACCATGGGGATGATATGGATATTCGTCACTACATCAAGTTGAAGAAGATTCCGGGTGGGCGACCTGGGGACACTTCCTATGTTTCGGGCTTAGTTTTTACGAAGAACCTGGCACTGAAGAGCATGCCACGAAGTATTCCGCAGCCGAGGATTCTGATCATCACTTTCCCTCTTGAATATGCCCGTCATCAACAACATTTTATGAGCCTGGAACCTCTCATCCGCCAAGAGCGTGAGTTTCTCGAAAATTTAGTTAGCCGGATCGCGGCATTAAAGCCCAACCTGCTTTTAGTCGAAAAGAATGTTTCCGGTCTGGCTCTTGAACTGTTAGAGAAAGCCAACATTGCGACAGCCCTGAACGTTAAGTCATCCGTGCTTGAAGCCGTCTCCCGTTGTACCCAAACAAAAATAATCACGTCAATGGACAAACTCGTGACAACTCCTGTTACCAGCGAGTGTGGCAGCTTTGACGTGAAGACTTACGTGGCTAATGGTCGAAAGAAGACCTACATGTACCTGTCGGGATGTCGCAAAGAGTTGGGGTGTACAATCGTCTTGCGCGGCAGCGACAATGAGGTCCTCTCGAAGGTGAAACGGATCACTGAATTTATGGCCTACGTTGTTTACAATCTTCGACTGGAGACTTGCTTGATGAGGGATGAATTCGCCAAGATACCGACGGCGCCGAACACTGACGCCGAACCGAAACATGCAATTATGGCACGCCAGAGCACTATGCCAACGGCAAACCCTGGTGATAATACTGCACCGGATTCTACGCAGGACTCTGACGAAAAGAAAGGCAGTGGCGTTGCAACCTCGAAACCGTCCGTCACCAGCGAGGTTACCGAAGTCCCTGACGATGTGCCCATGCCGACCTACTATCAGGATATCGTCCAGGACCATGAAACTAAGATCCTGTCGGCATCCCCATTTGTGAAATTCGAGCCTCCATATCTGCTCACGCGGGCTAGGGAAATGGAAAGAAGACTGGAATATCTAAAGCGTCTGCGGGACCAGGATGTTAACGGAGCTGAATTGTCTGATGAGAAGGCCAAACCTCAGAAGTTCGTTCTAATCACCTCCGAAATGGTCCACGAGTCACCTCAAAATGCACCCCCCAAGGTCAAGGAGATTCTGCATGCAGCGCACGATGCTGAGTATGACCGGGCGTTGCACCACTATCAAACACAGAAGCGACAGTGGGAGGCTTACATCTCCGGAACCATGGATATGTTCGATCCTTATGCGCACCAGAATATCGTCGTTCTGTTTAGCTTGGTCTGCACTGCCTCATCCATCCCGTGTGCTGGGCCTGATCTTATTGCACTTGAATACTACAACGAACACGAAGGTGATAGCATATTCGATGCTGATTGTACGCTGGGTCAGTTTGTCGAGGACATCTGCCTCAATGCCAATGCTGTTTGCAATGTAAACGGCTGTGAGAAGAGGATGTTCGAGCATCATCGCCAATTCGTCCATGGAGAGGCTCAGATAAGCGTATTCTCCCAGCCACATGCTGCGAAGCTTCCCGGTCTTCAAGATATCATCCTGATGTGGAGCGTTTGTAAGATATGTGGCAACGAAACGCAGGTATTCCCGATGTCTGACAACACGTGGAAATACTCATTTGGGAAGTATCTGGAGCTTTCTTTCTGGGGGAGAAACCTACACGCCCGAGCAGGGGTCTGCCCGCACGACCTTCAGCGTGACCATATTCGCTATTTTGGCTTCAAAGACGTCGCGGTTCGAATTCGCTACGATCCGATCAATTTGTTGGAAATTATTGTTCCTAGACCGCAGGTCACGTGGAAAGTCGATAACGACCTGGTGTTGAAAAATGAGGTGTACCTCAAAATGGAGCAGCGCATTAACAAGTTTATGCATTCTGTCAAACAGCGGCTGAAGGGAATCAACGTGGATAGCGTCATTCCGAAATTGGCTGACGACTGCAACAAGGAAATTGAATCTTTGACAAGGAAGGCCAACGAAGACCATTCCTCCCTCGTGAAGCAATTGCAGGATAAGTACATGGATTCGCGATATTGGGAAGTGATCCCTATGAACGAAGTGCTTCGCTCCGTGCAGGAGAAGGTTGTGGAATGGGATACGGCCTTTGCGGAATTCGAGAAGAACTTCTTCCCATCCGAAAAGGACATTAGAAGGCTGGCTACTCTACAGCTGAAGAAGATTTTCTTGGACAAGGACGCCTCAGTCACTTCGGATGAAATTACCACAACCCCAACTGAAGCCGAGAGCGAGAGTTCAGAAGAGCCTCAACGATTGCGGCCAATGCGTCGCATGACACTCTCTCCAGAAAAGGCTCAGGATGTACTAGTATCCGTTGTCGAGGAACATGCTCGGAAGAACAAATCCCAAGACGAAAAGCCTTCGCAGACTGAAGAGACGGACTCCACGGCGCCCTCGCCATCTCCGGAAGACAAAGCGCATTTACCTCCTCAAGTGGACCCAGAAGGTACCAGGGAGAAAGAGATCCAGCATCTTGACTTGGCTTTATCTTCAAGGTGTCCGGATCAATCGACCGTGGAAGCAACTCTGCGGGATTCCGCAGAACGAGCAGACTCGGAGCCGGCCCGTTTGGGTGCCAAGGTAAATCCTACCACTGGAAAAGAACAAGAGCAGCATGGGCAAAACGGGGGCAATGAGTCGCCCGAGCAACCCGTGGAGGTCCCGACCACACCTACTCACCTACGTTCGGCCATACCAAGACCAGCTGAAAATCCTGCTCGACGCAACGGAAAGGCAACTTCTCCACCCCTGGTTCGAGCGCAGTCCCAGCCTGCACACTTGCAGAAGGCAGTCTACAATGAGAGTTCTATTTTCAAACCACTCAAGATTGGAACTGGGAAATCCAGCGGCTCCGACGGGGCATCTAGGCTCTCTGACAAGAAGCTCGCTGATCGGCTTGGTCTTAGCGCTCTTCGGAACTCGAAATTGACACAAGGGCCATCTTTGATACCGCGATCAATTCCAAACAAAAAACCTACTCGGGTGTCTTATCTCGCGAAACATTTTGAACAGCTGAGTCGCGAGTTTGAGAAGGAGCGCCAACGCGAAAGAGCACAGCGCGCCGCAAAGGGTACTCATTCACGTGCATACCCCCTTGCAAGCTCGAAGCCTATTGTGGAGGTGTACAAAAACGTCCGAGAAGCAGTCGAAGAGAGGGAGCCCTCGGGAGATGGCGAGGACTCTATGCATTCGCTGGTCCCGGTGGATGACTCCAGTAGGGGTAGCGACGAATTCACCAAAAGGCCTCACGAAGGGGAGCCAGGAGCTGAGCCGCCCACGGAAAAGCCTGCTGCTACTGAGGCTGAGAAGGAAGCTACCGGTAGAGCTGAGGACCAGACTTCTTCAGACGGCGAAGGCGAAGACGGGCGCAGCGAGGGAGACAGGGCTTCGACAGAGCTTCAACGGACAGAATCGGGCGATGAGATACCCAGAATTTCACCTGACGAGGAGCAGATGGATCTTAAAGAGCTACCGAAGCATGAACGAAGCACGCTTTTGAAGTTGCTGACGAACTTCTGGTCCGAGCGTTCTGCCAGTGGATGGACGCCCCTCGACTACCCACTTGCGATGTCAGATCACGTCTTTGCAGACTGTGACATTGTTGTCCGCGAGGATGAGCCGAGCTCTCTCATCGCATTTGCGCTGGATTCGCAAGATTACAAGGAGAAGTTGGCAAGTATACAGAGACGGTATGAAGAGCAAGACAAAGAATTGGATCCGCAAGGCGATCCACGGGTTTTTAACGAAGCCCGAATCGAACATGCCCTTTTGAGATCTACTGGCACGCATCTGAAATATCAGTTCCAGGAGGGCCAGGCGAAGATGCTTTGTAAGGTGTTCTATGCTGAGCAGTTTGATGCCTTGCGAAAGAAGTGTGGAGTGTCCGAACGGATTGTTGAGTCACTGTCTCGCTGTGCTAAATGGGACTCCAAAGGAGGCAAGACAAAGTCCTTGTTCCTGAAGACACTTGATGATCGCTTCATTCTCAAGTCCCTGGCGCCTATCGAAACGCAGGCATTCCTCAAATTTGCTCCAGCCTATTTCCAGATCATGTCCGAAGCATTATTCCACGAGCTCCCGTCCGCCATCGCCAAAATGTTCGGTTTCTACCAGGTGATTATCAAGAATCCTGCAACCGGGGCGGAGTTCAATTGGTACTTGCTTTTGATGGAGAATCTGTTCTATGATCGAGAGCCGACCCGAATCTTCGACCTCAAGGGATCCATGAGAAATCGCAAAGTGCAGAGCACCGGTGAACGCGATGAGGTGCTTCTGGACGAGAACATGGTGGACTTCATCTATGAGACGCCGCTGTTTGCGCGCGAGCACTCAAAGAAAATTCTGAGCCAGAGCGTCTGGAACGACACCTTGTTCCTAGGCCGGCAGAATGTTATGGATTACTCCCTCATGATCGCCATTGACGAGGGCCGGTCAGAGCTGGTGGTTGGCGTGATTGATTGCATTCGCACCTATACGTGGGATAAGAAGTTGGAATCTTGGATCAAAGACCGTGGCTTTGCTGGTGGTGGAAAAAATCGACCCACGGTGACGAGTCCTAAAGAGTACAAGAGTCGGTTCCGTGAGGCGATGGCTCGTTATGTGCTCCAAGCACCCAGGCAAGTATATCGAAACCCTCTGGTAGTACGCAAGCTGACCGGTAACAGTTGTTGGCACCAATTTCAACAGTCTCAGCTTCATCGATATGCTCCGATTGAGCCGCAGTCAAGCCAAAGCCATTCTGGGGCCGATGGGGACGCCGAACAGGAGTCTTTTGGATCCTGATCGCCCGCGTGGCTGAGATGTATTACTTGTATATGGACGGGATATGACTTTACGACGCGACGATGTATACTTATGAAGGCTACGAAGGCATTGGTGTGTGGGTACGGGGTTGATGCATACATACTTGATTTTCTAGGCGAGTCGATGGCCTTCCTAGATCAGAGGGAATAATTATACAAAGTAACACCCATCAAACGTTAAGAATCCAACAGGGAGCCACCTCGACGCCGGCTCTTATAATCATCCAACAACCTCACAACGTCCTTATTCAACTTCGAAGGTGCAAAGCCAAACGACCGATTCATCGTCGTCAAGTCAAAATCAGCCTGCACCCTACCGGTAGAAAGCAAAAGCTCAACTGCCTCGACATGTCCCCTCTCGGCCGCGAACATAAGCGGCGTCATACCCTCCCTGTCCTTCACATCCGGGTCGACCCCCTTCGCAAGTAGCCACCGTATAATATCCGGGTGACCTCGTTTCGCCGCCGTCGCGAGTGCCGTGATGCCGTATTTATTCGGTAAGCTCAGACTGACCTTCTCATTAGCCAGAAGCGCCTCGACAACATCCGTGTGCCCAGCAAGAATGGCGGTTAACAGAGCGCGGTCTCCAAAACCAGGCTGTTGGTCTGGGTCCACGGTAGGGATTGCCAGAAGCAATTTCACAATGCGCGCGTGTCCGGCTCCCGCGGCGGCCAGCAGCGGGGTCATTCCGCCTTCAGATTGGGCGTCCGCATCCACGCCTTCAGCTAGAAGGCGCTGGACAATCCTAAAATGCCCATGCCGGGCTGCGGCGAGGAGCGGCGTTTGCCCAGATTTATCCTTTGTATTTGCGTCTACCTTCCCTGTGCGCAGCAGCTCCTCTACTACCTCTTCTGCGCCCGCGGTTGCGGCAGCCGTAAGGGGCGTTGCGCCGCGTTGGGCCCGGCAATCCGGCTGGATGTCTTTCGCCGATAGTAACAGTTTCACGATAGCGAGGTAATCGCCTGCCTTTGGATGGATAGAATCCGTGGTTGTTGGTGTTGGGCTGAACCAATTCCAGAACGTAGAAGCAGGCCGGCCGTGCCCTGCCGCCCAGATGAGCGGAGTCTGGAGATGCGGATCTCGGGTGTTGGGGTTGGCGCCTTCCTGCAGCAGGCGGTTAAAGGCGTCTGGTTTGCCGTGTTGGGCGGCCCATATCAAGGCCGAGCTATCTTGATGGAAGATATGGTGGTGGTAGAGAATGGGGTTGGTGATCGCGTACAGGCGTTTGGATGTTTTGGCTAGAGAATCCACGTCTTGTATAGATGGGAGGAGGAGGGTGGCGATGCATGAGAGTAATTCTGTTGGGAGGGTTGGTAAAGACATGTTGATAGAGAATGTCAAGTACCCCTGGCAGAGTTGGGATTGGACTAAGAATACTTCGGGGATGCAAAAGTTGCCGAGTCCGCTCCACCAGGCACCGAGATTGCGGCGGATGAATCAGTACACGAAGTATTCTTGCCCTTCGACGAGGAAATTATTAATGGGGAGACAGACATGATGCATGCGACATGCTCCAGGTGTATAGGGAAGCATCCAAGGCAAAGCCCATCATTTCTAGGCCCAACTCTTTCTTTCTATCTACAATACAATCTGTTCACACGCGCTCGTTCGAAGGGACTCATGCAATACTTGCTTTCTGGTGTCATATTGAGAGCGTCATGAAAAAAGGGAGCATCAATTTCTCACCAAAGACATACCACATACAGTATTTGGTTTCCAGGCCGAATGGGAGGTTATCGAAGCTGTGGAAAAGCACAACCCGGATCAGTACAACCAAGAGGTGCCCTCGACAAAGGATTGGGGACGACGGTTCAATGAAGTATACGCGACAACTTCTTTCGCACATATTGCATACGCAAGGGGCCAACAATGAGGAAAGTTTCCCGCTGGCCAAGGACGATGAACACACACTTGCTCTCGTCTAGATCGGGGTTCTCCAGATATCGTGTCTTGCTCCCCTCCTTGATTATCCGAACGATCGAGTCACGGTCACTTTCTGTCCATCTTGCAACTAATGCGCGCACGTCAGGCCCAGGCGCGGTCAGGGGTTTTGTGGTAGTGTGCCAGTCTTGAACATCGACCCCCCAGAGTCCCTAAGACGGGTGTCGGAGATTAGCGTCGTGGAAGACTGGATGCGAGCATGCAGCCGGGTGTATACCTTTTCTTCACACTTGTCTTGAATATCTCTCGGTGTGGACCAAACATCTATCTGCTCCCAATCTCCTGGTTCACACGGTGATTCATCCATCGGTGCGATAACGAGGCGCCCTTCCTTTCGGTCCAACGTCCACGGGTGTCACCAGTGGTGAGGGGTAACGAACGTCACGTCTGGCTGAGACCCCAAAAAGGGATGACACAGCTATCGGGAGTTTTTTATTGCCGTGTCTCGCACTGTACTCTAAAAAATAACTCAGGCGAGATTTCTTTAGTGACAAGGGTACTTTTGGCAAAGACAAAGCCAGCAGATCCTTCGCTAATCCCAGCCATCCCCTTCCCCCATGTAGAACTCTGCATTCTCATCCTCCTCAAAAGCAATCTCGGACAGAGGCTGTCCCTCCAGCCAATTGACCGCATGCTGAGCCGTCTCCCTCGCCTTTTCGCGCACCCTGAACGGGAGAATCTGGCCTCGATGATTCACAGCCAGCAGAAGTACCCAGCCCTCCTCGCAGGCCTTTCGATCCGCCACAATAACCAGCGCAGCCTGCGACCGATCACTCCCCTGTAGTTCTTCTGCCCGCTGGTCCCCGCTAAAATGCCGCCAATCGTCATCCGACGTCCCCTCGAACAGCTCAGGACAGTGCATCATCACCGCAATAAGATACCCAGGCACAGAGCCCGGACGTCCGGCCGCAATGCCTCCCACGACATCCGGGCCCTCTGCATCACAACTCAACTCCCTCCGATCTTCGAAAACGAACTCCTCGCAGATGCAGGAAACATGGTAATTCTCGCGGCCCTGTTGCAGGACCTCCCGTCGGAGCCGTCCGTACGCGCTGTCCGCGGCATCTTGGCTGGCCTGATCTGCGCCGCCGAACCAGGTCCGGATCCACAGCGTGCTGGATAGCATGTTGCTGATGGCGCGGTCATCCTCAGAGAGGAGGTCTTGGGGGACCTCCGGGGGGAGATGATCTGGAATTGGGTCTTCGAAGGCGGCGAGAGCGTAGTCCTAGGATCGTTTGTGAATGGGACTGAATTCTATCAAATAGAGTAAATGGATATTTCATAGATACGTTTCGCCCATATTTTCCCAGCGCGATCCATTTCTCCACTAGAACTCTTTTCTGCTCGGTTTGGGAGAGCGGGGACGCGGCGTCCCAGTTTGCCTTGGTAGGAACTTAATGCCGGACTTGTGGTATTCCGGGGCATCGCGAGCTTACCAGGACGAAATGGTCAAACGGGAGATACCCAAACTTGGGGGTATCGAGGCCTTCCCTCATTGGTTGTGTCGTTGGTGATGGTCGGAGTGGCGGAGTCGGGGCAGATGGTTTGAAGACCAAGAACCCGACGGCTGGTATATCTTAGCGGCCGATGCAGGCTTCATGAATTCAAGTCTAGCATTCACCTGGCTCTGGCATTACGATATACTCACCGTAGATAGCCTAAAAAGAGTGATTTCTACGCTTTCATCGAAACTTTCAAGTTAACTTAGGTTAGCTAACATTCCTGATAGATAACAGACGTAAAACGCACTTAACTGCCAACTTCATCCACCAAGCTAATATCATTCTGCTCCACTTCATCATTTGGATAGAATAGCTCCTGCCTTAGCATCACATGTGCCAATGCCCACAGCCACGGCCGCTTCTGTGCACGCAACGCCACAGTTTTCCATGCCTAACGCTAGTGTAGCAGTCGCTGCGTATATTCAATTTCGCCGACCCTTTCTAATTCCATGGCTGTCTGCCATGACAAACAATCTTGGTTCGCTCGCTCAGCAAATCGACGAGGGCGACTACGCCAGTCAGGGATCCAGCTTGGCAATATGTATACAGCTAGCGAGAAGCAGGGCGTTTCACCGGAAATGATTCTACCTATCAAAAGTCTGATGGGAAGTGCAGTGAAAAATGGGCATGGCGATGCCGGTCTTTCGGCATTAATTGAGCATTTTGCCCCCAGGAAGTAGAAGTCTGCTAGATACGTTGTCAGGTGGATGTGAATTAAACGACGTCGAACTGGTGCAATGCACAAAGCTTTTTCATAAGTCTTTCGACATGGAAACATTACCTCCTCACAGGACCTTCTTCCAATCCAGCGCTCGAAACGCGGCCTCCGTTTTGATCACAGACTTCCGATCATCTGCAGACAGTATATTATCGATGTCCAGTACGTGATCCCCATCGAGACCAGCCCAGCTACGCTCTTGCAAGGTACTCCACATAGCCATCATCGACCCCATCTCCTCGCCCCAGCCGGGCCACAGCTGGCTATACTCATGCAGAGAAACCTTGACAACCATGGTCGAGCCTGCCGACGGGGAAAGACCACTCGCGCGACCCCACACAGCAAGATAATCGTGTAGAGATGAGTGATACTCTGCGAAACATCGGACAAAAGTTCCGCCACCTTTGGGTGGATTTTTCACAATGGCACGGGCGAAGATTCCGATGTTAGTTCGGTGGTCACCAACGGACCAGATTGGAGTCGAAGGGTCCGCCGGAGACAGTTGGATGAACTTTTGTGCGCTTTTCTGTAATAGAGATTAATTGACTGAACCAATCCAGAAGCTACGTGGTGGAGAGTAGGTACCACATAGATCGGAGTGAAGACCGGATAGAACAGATTCTCGGCATAGAAACCAAACCAAAGGAACGTTGTTTTCGCAAGTAGCGCCTTGTCGTTTTGAATGAACCGATTGATTCGGTTTTTGGCTTCGAAATGTGGGACAACAAATTCGCCTTTGGTCAGAGTGTTGCCATCCGGAAGAGTACTCCAGAGGAAGTGCTGGAGCCCCGCTGTCTTCGAGGCTGCGCGTGCAATATTTTCTCCCTGTTTCTGCTCAATATCAATGGCCTTGTGGGGGCCATGTTTGGCGAATGGCTCAAAGAAATCGGTCATCGCAAAAATAGCTGAAGCTCCCTCAAAGGCTTTCATGAGGCTCGCTTCAACGTCGTTATCCGCCTCCACGACTTCAACGCCCTTTTTCGACAAAGCCTGGGCTTTCTCGCTTTGAGGCTGGCGAGTCACGCCGCGGATAATGTAGTCCCTTTCCTTGAGGAAGGCCTCCACTACCGAGTTCCCCTGGCCTCCAGTAGCACCCAGCACCACGATCAGCTTAGAAGGGGCCATTTTTAGTGTGACTATTATGACAAGGATGGGCGAGACTGTGGTCAAGATTTTAGGATATGAACTGATATATTACTTGTTTTTGCGGATGGTGTCGAGTGGTCTTTTACATTGTCGATTTTCAAACAGCAGGAATGTCCGTTTAGTTCCTACGGAGTATTAGTTTAGTTTTGCATATGGCCCTTACGTCTACACTCGATGAAGTACCACTTTTGCCACTTCATGCATTTCGGCTCACAAACGATGCGATCCTATTGGTTCGAGCGGAGTAGCTTTACGATAGCATGACAACGTCGAGTCTGCTGACGGTTTGACACGAAATACAAATCTAGGCTCATGCATGGGTAATCGCTATTTTAGAGTACGCCGTTTCTCCGGGCTTTTCTCTAGCCAAAACCGCAATTCTCTTTCGGCCGTTTGAGTCAATGGATTTCCAATCGTGCTTGGAGAAGAATTTCCGGCGAAGCCCAATCCATACTCGCTCTTTAACTACCATCTGCTTGCGTAGATTTTATCGATCCCATCCAACCATTATTCCAACCTTTTCGTCACATGAGGATCTATCCGAAGGGGCGCCAGCCCCGTCCTAGCATCAATGATCCCACAGTTCGCCCACTTCGAATGGGTCTTCTAAAAGCGGCCACTCTCAATCTCATTCTTCTCCAAATCCTGTTCCTCAGCTTGCTTTGCTATCTCTTTGGGTCTCTCTATCAAGAAACAACCCATGTCCACAATATCAATGTTCTTTATGTCGACTATGATGGTGGAGCAATAGGCGATGCGGTTCGCGAGGCCTATACTCAGCTTCAAGGCCCGGGATTCCCGAACCTGATTGAGAGGTCTCAACGGGATTATCCTACTCCTAACGACCTCGAGGGCACCATTTGTGACATCGAATATTGGGCTGCCTTTTACACCTCACCGAATGCTTCCGATCGCTTCACAGCTGCCCTCGCTGGTGGCTCGCTCGCTTCTTCCTATAACAGAAGCGATGTTCTCACGATGGTCTGGAATGAGGCACGCTACCCGTCAGTCTCGGACTCTGTTATTTCTGATCCCATTCGGAAGCTATCAGAAGTGGCACGAATTGCATTTACCGACCGAGGTGGAAAGCAAATGATACAAGCACTCAATACATCCAGCCCGGCTGCTATTTCAGTCCTCTCTAGCCCATGGATGTTAACCTCGGTGGACATCCAACCAACAACACAAGGCTCCCGAATGATCTATAATACACTAGTCATCCTTTTGATCTTGATTCAGGAATTCTTCTACCTGGGTTGCATCAACAGCCTTTACCTACAGTTCCGACTCTATACAGCCGTGTCGCCTCATCGGATCGTGGTAGTGCGTATCATTATCTCTGCAGTGTATACATTTATCGGCTCCCTATGTGTCACAGGAGCAATCTGGGCTTTTCGAAACGGCTGGCACGTGGACGGCAGTCAGTTCATGCTAAACTGGATGATCCTATGGCTATTTGCCCACTTGAATTTCCTCACTCTGGACGTGTTCTCGATCTGGGCACCCCCTCCCTATGTGCCCATGGCATTGATCACGTGGATTGTGCTGAATGTCACCTCGATTCTACTTCCATTCGAACTTTCGCCAGCCTTCTTCCAGGTGGGCTACATTTTCCCGGCGCACAGTGTCTTCCAGGTTCTCATGGATATCTGGTCCGGTGGTTGCAACCCACAACTCAATTACGCACTTCCCGTTCTGTTCTCTTGGGAGATCCTCAGTCTCGCTTTCAGCTCTATTGGTGTCTATCGGCGTGCTCATTTTGCCGCGATCAAGAAAGAGGCGGATGATAAGGCAATGCAAGAGCGCATTGCGGCAGCAGTGGCAGTAAAGCAGGAGGCCCAGCTAGCGAGAAAGGAATTGAACCCAGACGCCGGGACAGTTAATACCGAAGATGAAGGAAGAGCTGGCTTACAGAGACGGGGAACAATCTTCACACTCGGTGAAGCGGAGGAAATTGTCGAGATTATTCACCGCGAGTTGTCGCGCCCGAAGAGTCACAGGAGGGAAAGCCGTGACAATCAAGGGCCATGTTTTGACTTGCCCTTCACGCAGTAGTCCTTACCTGGTGGTTTGATAAGATATACTTTTTGCCTTTTCTGCATTATCTTAATCCCGTGTCTTAGAGCATGGATTAAGACGGATAGCCTTAAATCTCCCACTCAGATATATAGACTATCCGCTCTTGACTGTCCGTCCATGGTATCTTCCCTCACGATGATACCATCAAGCTGCGACCCCTTTTCTCTTCTACTGATATCGTCCGCCCAGTATGGCCCCCTGGAGAATACGATAACCCCAAGAGTAGACTACTCCATAATGCTCTGTGGAAACAACTGCCACTTCCGTTCCACCGACATGAGATGGCCCGAAAATCTCGGGCAAAATCGGGACGCGTCGGGAATTTGATTTGCCCTCAACTGCTCCGTGAGATGCAGCTCCTTCTTCTCCGCCGGTTCGGCTTTTCTTTTTCTCATTCTCCTTTCGATCTTGTGTGTTCTTCTTCTTTTCCCCTTTAAATGGATTTTTCACCTCCCTGAAACGGTGTCCCCGGGCGTGGGATGAGATGCCGCGGCATGGGAAAAGAAGTACACACTTCCGAGATGCGCCTCCTGCCCGACTGGGGCAGAGAAATGCGATGTCACCAAAGCATCTGATTTCGACCGCAGACCTCGGTTGAATTTTGACAGTCCCCCCGCATGCAGAAGAATTTCCCCTCCATTCTTCTCCCTCTTCTGCTCTTCTTCCTCTGCATCCTTCTGTTCACTCTGTTGAACTGAATGTTATGAATGAACTCAACTGCGCACTGCACTACACTAAATGCCGGCCCTACTCTGGACCAGCTCATTGAACACGGCATGCCGTGAGACCCGTCGGATAGGTTCTTCTAGAATCAGGTCTGACTTGGGCATACCGGTCATACCGACATCCGACTAACCATGTCCTTCAAAACTTCTATTCACTAATCTTCAACAGGCCTTTATCAACATGATCATTAATCTAGCTTTTGATCGCACACAAAAGAAATGCGGCTGGCTAACTAAACGCCAAAATCAAACACATGGAAGAAAATACAGTTTATGTTCCGAAGGGTCAACATCATCTCCCTGCGCTTCCACCCTGCCGGAGAATGAAAGCAGTTCACGCACATATACGCTCCGGACGACTGGGTCCGTCCGACACCACATCGTTTTCCCTGGCCTCGGAGCCCCCGTTCGACGACTTCCTTGCAGAGAGCCGCCAGTCCGAGAGTTCCTTGGGTGATGTGTCCGAGCTTCGTTGGCCGTGTCATGTCATCATGCTTGAACCGTGAGAGACCTGTCTACGATGTCTAGAGCCACACCGTCACGAAAACAAACGCCATCATCCAATCGCTGTCGTTACCACGTTATCCACCGAAGAGGGGTTGGTGGTGCTTCAGCCCCTCCGTGCCGTTGGCGCGTTTACTCAGCCAGACCAAGGTTCTCCTCAGCGGGGACCACACGGACGGTGTTGGTGTGGCCCATACCGCCGCGCCAGCCCTGCACGCAGACAATGGGGTCACCCTTGTTGATGATGCCGAGCTTGAGACCGTGGTTGATACCCCACTTGAGGCGACGGTCAACGTCCTCCTGCCAGATCTTGACGTTGAAGTCAGGCTTGGACTCGGGGAAGAGGAAGGGCCAGACACCGCGGTACAGGTGAGAGTACTGGATCGCAAGTCAGTCAAGCTACGGCAAAGCTCATGATGGATCGCTCTACTTACCCGAGTGGCTCTGGGGTTACGAGAAACCATGAGGACGGGGCAGACGGGGCGGTACTTGGAGATGAGGCGGGCAGTGTTTCCGCTGGAACGACCGTGTCAGCAAGTAAAGAGTACCCGGGGTGGCGGTGCTACATACCTGGTGGTCAGGACCACGATGGCACCGGCATTGAGTTCCAGACTGGCGCTGACGGCAGCCATGGCGATGGACTCGACAGTGGCGGTGGGACGAGGAGCAAGGTTGCGCAGCTCGTCGAACACCTGGAAGTGAGGGATGGCGACCTCAGCCAGCAGACAGGTCTCGTGCATCATCTTGACGGCCTCGCAGGGGTAAGAACCCTTGGCGGTCTCACCAGACAACATGACACAGTCGGCACCATCCAGAACGGCGTTGGCGACATCCGACACCTCAGCACGAGTGGGACGAGGGTTGTACGTCATGGACTCGAGCATCTGAGTGGCACAGATGACGGGCTTACCCTTGATGTTACACTTGGCGATCATCATCTTCTGGGCGATGAAGACCTTGGGGGCAGGGATCTCGATACCAAGATCACCACGGGCAACCATGACACCGTCGGTCTCCTCAAGGATCTCGTCGAAGTTGTTGACACCCTGCTGGTTCTCGATCTTGGCAATGATCTGGATCTCCTTTCCTTCCTCACCGAGGACCTCACGGATGTGGCGGATGTCGCTACCACGACGGATGAAGGACGCGAAGATCATGTCGACGTTGTTCTTGACACCGAATCTGAGATCGGAGATATCCTTCTCGGACAGAGCGGGAAGGTCGACGTCGGTGCCGGGAAGGTTCACACCCTTGCGGGAAGAGATGTTACCGTTGTTCAGGCACTTGACGCGGAGGGTCTTATCGTCTACGACTTCCAGGACCTGGAAGGAAAGGATACCATCGTCGACATAGATCAGCTTGCCAGGGGCAATGACCTTGGTGATGTTCTTGTAGTCGAGGTACCTGTCAAATCGTCAGCGAAGATCCTCCCTTTCGGTGATTGGCCAAGTACTCACATGTTCTGGTCGTCGCTGCAGGTGGCGTACTTCTCATCAGTCGTGATGTTGAGCTCATGGCCCTCCTTGATGGGAATGTCCTTGTCGTCGGTGGTGTTTCCGGTACGGATCTCAGGTCCTTTCTACATTGGGTCAGGTCCGAGTGGTTGGAAAGCGCAGTGCGTTCGCGACTTACGGTGTCAAGAGCGATGGCCAGGGGACGTCCGGTCTGGACGCGAGCGGCCTCGCGGGCATTGTCGATCACGGACTGATGGTACTATATTGCGGTCAGACGACGATCGACGACGCTGTCGGAAGACGGTGACTAACCTCGTAGGAACCGTGGGAGAAGTTCATGCGAACGACGTTCAGACCGCCTGAGGGGTTGTCAGCGCTGGGGTCCTGGTCTTTATGGTGTGAATGGTCACCGTACTTGAGCGGAGAGCGTTGATCTTCTCCACCGAGTTGGTCTTGGGGCCTGATGGTAGGAACGACGGTTAGTTCAGTTATCAATTTATGGGAGCGATAGGAACGTACCAATGGTGCCAATGATGGAGGTACGGCGGAAGTTCTTCGCCGGGACCATCTCCGTGTTGAGCTTGGAGTGCCACTCCAGCTTCATACGGTTGCTCAGATGGTCGAGAGAGGTACTGGCGGCCATTTTGACGGTAGGTTGGATTATGGGTGGGGAGAGGGGAATTGAGATGGAGTTGGGGAAGTGAGGGAAGAGAGAAAGAAGGAAGATGGAGGGGGGAGAGAAAAAATAATCTCAGTTAAGATGAAAGTTGGCCACGCCGGTGAGGAGAAGGAGTAGGAGTAGAGGAGAGGAGAGAGAAGAGAGAGAGTGGGAGAGGAGACGGAGAGAAAAAGACGAGAGGGGCACGAGAGGATCTGGTTGGGTGTGTGGCCGCTGGGCCAACCGCTGTTGGCTGCTGTGTTCTGACTGCTATCTCCGGTCCCCCCGCGCCAGCAAAAATTTCTCTACGGTAAAAGAAACCCATCCCATGGAGTAATGGATTCGTCTTGATTAGGTACATGCTTTTCTTCGTATTAGTCCGACCAAGTCCCTTCATTCGATAGTCTATTATCTCTATCAGTGAGGGAAGAAAAAGGGTAATTAAAAACTTGCTAGGACCCTTGGCTCTCCGTCGGCGCAACCAGTCAACGCTACCATTTGGTTGGGAACTGATCACCACCACAACAATCCTCCATCAACATAAAATAACACAATTGCCCCTTGGAGAACCGGCGTGATTGCTTAGCTAGGGGACCAACTCTGGGTACGGAGTACGTTCCACCAGCCTGGGGATCAATTGTACCGTGAATATCAGAGTACAGGCAGGGTCCACTCAACGCCTCTAGTGCGATGGAGATGCCACTCGATCCAGCCCAGCAGTGCCGCCCTCCGTCCACGGAGTCCCTCAATACCGCGGGATCTGTAGATCCGTGCAGCCATGTCGGTAGGGTGGCAGGTCGTACCAGATGACCTGCCCAGACATGATCATCTCATGATGGTGGTTGCCGAGATACCGGTACTCCATCGTCCAACTCATCCATCACTAGGTATCTCATGACTCGGAATCCTAGGGTCTGTGCAAGGCTCCCACCTGAGCCGACGTAGTCGTGGTCATCGTGCTAGAGTCCACTTGAATCAGAACCGAGCGCAAAACGCGCTAGCAGATGAGAGAAAACGGCTTCCCGACTGAGATGGACGGGGCAGGCCGAGAACATCACGGAATATCCTTAAGGAGTAATATCGGAGCCCGCCGGACTTACTATCCCCGTTAGGTAAGCTGCCTGAGGTGTCGTTTCCAGCCACTCCATTTTTCCTCCCAGCCACATCATTTGTGGCTCTCTTCACCGCCTCCGTTGCCTGTGAAGGCGGCACGTGAGGTCACCGCTCGGCTTATCCTCGTGCACGCCGACTGCAATTGCTTCTTCTCCTGGGCTTCTCTTACTACACGCGGCTATTCCATTCTCCTGTGTCTCCGACCTTGCCGGCTTGCCTTTTCATAAGCTCCGCTAAGCTGAGTGGCCAACCCTCTTCTGCTCTGCTAGATATCAACTCGTCAAGTCACCATGGTATGCGCCCCCTCCCGCCAGATAGCTCGGCCAACAACCCGGATTCCAGCTAACGGCTGGATGTCTCCCACAGCTCGGACGTCTCGGTCACTACGCCTTTGATGCGGTGCTCAGTAAGTTTCTTCGTGTTTGCCTTCGTGCTAGCTTTGAGATCACCCAGCTAACCCGATCTCCGCATAGTCTCGGCCTTTCTGGCAGGTGTCAAGCGCTCCACCGGTCTAACGTACATATTCCCTTCCTGATCTCCCTCCAGCCTGTACACACCCTCAGAACCTCAGCTAACCAGCTCACTCCACGCCCCCAATCTTCGGGTGGGGGTGCGCGTGGAGTCCTTCACAGCCCCAGTCTCAACTCCGACAAAATCACCGATAACAAGGACTTCAAGAAGTGGATCGATAGCTACCTCGGCGTCGGCGAGTGGGTGATGGACCAGTCTGTTGCGGTTTTGGGCTCCTCCAGTTACTTTGAGCGCAAGCGGTGATTCTAGCAGCTTGTTGCGACTTTCTTTCTTTCCAACTGCAGCTCGGGTTGGGGTTGGTTGGATTGGACATAGTTTTCTCCTCTCACTGTTGCGTGAGCGCAGTGTCCCACAAGAGAACCACAACCTTTGGTTCATGATTAACGATTACACCCCACTTTGTGTCCGTTGAAGAACCACGGCTCATGGCGTTCGGATTGTCTCGCGTTGGATGTGTATAGCTTGACGTGCTGTCGGTTTATTGCTTACTCAATGCGTCTTCATCGTCTGTTCCAGTGTACATATGTGGTCGGCAGAATCGCATCGGGTATCGTATCTCGTAGTGTTCTCTACCCGTGGTGCCGCGCAGGATCTGCTCTACACCTCCGTTGTTCCCATTGCGGATCGTGTCCGCTGTGTCCTGGCGGTCTCACTGCAGTACTCGCGTGATTCCTAGCTTGTATACACATCTATGAAGATCATGTTCGCGGAAATCAAGCGCCAGTGGTAGCAGCTGGATTAGTGTAAGTCGCCCTGAATGAAATAGAAACCCGTCCCAATCCTGACATGAGCGGGTGTAGACATAACTCGTAACTCGTGAGGTTGGCTTAATTAGTGCGTGGTTGGTTGAATGTTCAGGTCCGGAGGAGCTCGTCAATATTAAGGCGTCGGAAATACGAAATATGGCCCATCGGGTCCCAGTAGTGAGCGATGCAGTCGGGCGAAAACAGAATAAGCTGTGACGGAATAAAAGTATCTGTCGTTCACGAGTCAGCCATGTCAATCACAAAACTTGTCAAAAAGTCTTACCATCTCTAAACCCAAGACCAGCGACATGGCCTCTGCTGCGGACAATCCGTGCCCCCCGAAAGAGGGCTTCTTCGGCGACGCGAATGAACCCAGCTGGCCCGATATCATCGGATACAAACGATATCTGACCACGGGGCACGTTCGGGTCTCCGGTGAGTTTGATTGCCTCGAGACTGCCCCTCTGGATGATCTCGTCATCGCTCCGACCGTGCTCATCAGTCGCGGACGAACCGACTTCTCCCTCAGGAGAATCGCGTTGTAGGAATAGTAAGAACTCGCACCCGTGGGCGGAATAGTCCCCGACCCAGATGCCTTGGTATGGCTTTTCCCTCGTGGGGGTATACAACTCCGGATCCAGCGTGGCGTACGTCAGAAGGGGATCGTTGCGACCGGCGCTAAAGATCGGGCCTAGACGGAAGTGTGCCCATCGAAGAATGCGGAATGCATGCTCCGACATCTTTTCCATCCGCGAGGGGGTCTCCAGCGGCCTATCGACCATGTCCCGACGCACAACATGCTTGCTGGGGATGCTTGGCGGAGGCCATTGGTCGTCGGGCGTCAGATCCGGCGGGACGTCCGTGGAGCAGAGAGAGAGCGAGTTGTAGATGTTCTGGTTGTCGAGAGGCATGGGCATGCGATCGCCCTTCAGGAACCGGCGTCCACTGTAGGGGCTTTTCAGCAGGAGGACTGGGTCGTCCAGCCACAGGCTGACTTTGGGGTGGAACGACTGGATAATGACCTCCGGATTGTACTCCCAGAATTCGAGCTTATGTGTTCGGCGCTCGGCGATGACCCGGTACGCTTCGATAACGCCGCGTCGGTTGTCATACCGGGCGAGAATCAGGTTCCCTGTGTGTTCGGTATCCGAGAACCATATCTTCTTCTGTGGAATGAACCAGCACGGGTAATGTGCGATGTAGAGACTGCGGAAGGATTCGAATGGGCCTGGGTCGGAGATAGGGTCGGGAAGGTATGCGTTGATCAGGTTTTGCCAGAGCAAGTCGTTGTTGGCGTGTTGGGCGAGAGCACGGCAGGTGGCGGACACGCGGGCCAGATCTTCCGCCGAGAGGTAGGAGAGGATATCTTGTAGGAGCTCGGTGGGGAGTCGAGCGAGAACGGAGTGCGAGTTTGGCGAAGTTTCAGCATCATCTCCTAGCTCCGATCGATCGTCCAGGCGTAGCTCTTCCGCCATCGGGGAGGGAGGTGTCTTCAGGCTGAAGCCTCCCGCTTCCAAGTCCATCGACGTCACAGCCATCGGGGGCCTCCGATGAAGGGGATATTGGGGTGGCAAGAGGAAGTATCCTCACTAGGAGTTGCCCGATGTGCAATCACAGGCGGTAGGAGGAGATCAGAGGAGAGTTGGGGAATGGCAAAGAGAGGTGGTTTGTGCATCGATCGACATAGCTTGGGGTTGCGCAGATGACATCATCGGAGATCCTAAGGGGTAAGTGAAGGGATATACATGGGGGCAAGCCTTCTTCTTAGCCCTGTAGGAACAGATGAATCAGGGATATTACCTCCAGGCGTCTCAATGGGGAAGATCCATCTGAAGTGAATTCAGTTGTCCTGGAGAGTGTTCGTGGTTGAGGGGAGATTCGGTGATAAGATAGCTGGCACGTGTTCATCCATACACCACCTATATGACTACCTGCTTGACCACCTACTAAACTACCCACCAAACTACCTCCTAAACTATCTATTAATTAAATAGTTAAATAGGCAGTTTTACAGGCAGTCTCGCAGGCAGTTCTGTAGTTAAGCAGGCAGGTTAGTAGACCGGGTAGAATACAGGGTGGGATAGACCGTATGATGAGCTATAGAAAATATATATATATATATTTAAAAGAAAAAACAGGCAGTAAGGAGGCGATCCGGAGAGGCGGGCCTGCATAAACTACATTCTTTTGACAAATTAATCATGACTAACCTGTAATCTCTTATATAGTAGTAGGAAGTAGGATAGTAGTAGGATAGGAAGAACATTACACCAAGTGGCTAAATAGAAAGCTAGGCCTTCACGAGGTTGAGGCCTACTATTGCACAACTATAGCACCTATTATGCGAGCAAACAGAGCATCGAGTTGGGGACAAAAAGGGCGACATTTGGTGGTCACAGAAACACTAACCTCTGTTAGTCTCTATAGCAATGAGAATTTGTGTAAGAGGAACTTACACATATCCAAAAACCATCTGGAATAGTCACACGCTCCCTTCGGTCCCGACGCACGCGGGTGCGCCTGCGTGGCCGGTTGTGGGCTGGCTGGCGAATGATTATAGTTGTCAGTTCGCAAAGACTTGAGATTGTGCCAGTGAGACTTTGATAGATGCCCTGAATCTCTGAACAGTTGTCACCTTCGCCCTCGAAGCCTTCATATAGTGTCTTCATCCCATCATTCAAAGACCCGTCGCCACCTTCATCGCCATCTCCATCGCCACAAGAAGTGAGATCTCGAAGCTCTATGAGAATGCTTTCCAGACCTGTAAGAAGCCTGATTGTTTGGTCTCTGATATGTGACGCATCTCTCAGGTGATAATCAATAGACTGGCCCGTCTGGCGCGCGACGAAAGGACTACCTAATAGTGGAGGCCATGTAACATACTGACGTAGGCAGGTCTTAATCACCCTGCTTGCAGAGCGGTTGTAGTCCACAAGGCTGAAAAGCGGTGGTTAGGTATGATATGATGCGAGGTTCATTCAGCTCCACGAGGCTGCCAACAACACCCTGACAGTCACCCTCATGCCATATCACATTTGAATAATATCCTGGCATTCTACTGCAACGATGAGTGGTCTTGAAGTAACAGGCGTCGTTCTCACTATTCTCCCTTTCCTCGTGAACCAGCTCGACAATTATGCGCGCGGGATTGAAAAGATCAGGATGCTCAGACGCGCCCGTCGACACCTAGATAGTTATGCGCTAGCAATCGGAACGCAACATACGATATCTGTCGACAATATCCAACAGGCACTGGAGGGAGTTGTTGACGACGAGGACGCAATGTCCGAGCCCATCAACAACCTCACTAGTGACTTGTGGAACGACTCAGGACTTCAAGACCGGCTCCGCAATAAACTGGGGAGATCCCACGGAATTTTTGTGCAAAACATGATACACCTCCATGGGCTACTCCTTGATCTCTCCCAACGAATGGGGATAGATCTTAACAATGCTGCACAAGTAACGAGCGATCTCGCATATAATGACAGTGCCTGATACTGATGACCGACGGTTGCCCATGTAGGACCAGCATGAGAAAGCCAACAGCATACCCTTCCGAATGATCCTGTTGAAATGCTGTCCTGGAGGATTTGCTACAGAAAATAAGAAACGTCAATGACACACTGAAGACATTGATCGACCAGTCAACCCATCGGGAAACTACACGAAAGAAACGACGGGGATCAGACACACGTCTAACACACTACCGGATGACAAGGGAGAATGCCAAGGGCCTCTTTAGGGCAGTGCTTGAGGAGGGGCACTGGAGATGTCACTACAAACAACACCACTGCGTCAATCTGCAATTCCAGTTCAATCCTCTTGAAAAGGATGAAGATTCAGCTCACTCCGACACTGTACCTGGATTCCGGGTAGTCTTTTCGAACAGAAATGAGTCGTCAGGACCGGGATTTTGGGGCTGGAGAGAAGTAGACTTTGAGCTGTGGGGAGCTGACGAGTTTGTCACCACTGCAAAAGGGCCTGCATCCAACAAACGAACCACGGCCAATGACACCACCACGCCTAGGAAGAGGAATAGAAATACTCGCTCCGATATTGATGAATCTCAGAGCGGCCCCGGGACTGGGCCCACCCACCTCTTATTGAGGACTTGTGCTCGTCGCTGACCACTATTTGGGAAGCTCGACAGGGAACAGGAACAGTCGGCTTCATATCTCACGGCACGGACTCCAATATAAAATACGCCATGCAGGCTGTCAAAGACCTACATCTTAAGGCGCTCAGATATTCCATCCGTGATCTACTGTCAGGAATGAGCCGTCGAGACCGACTCCATCTTACGGCTGGACTCGCTTGTGGAGTACTTCAATTCTACGGCAATTGGATGAAACCTTACTGGGAGAGCTCTGACATCCATTTAGCCGTGAATAATGACGACCATACTGCATTGTTGAACAATCTGTACCTTTCATGGCCATTGTCAACTCCGGCCTCCGGGAGCAGCGTGCGCGAGACCACCTACTCGTCCCCTCACATTCATGATAATATCCTTTTTCCGCTGGCATTAACATTGACTGAGCTTTTCCTCGGGAAGCCCATTACGGCCCTTGCGATGCCCGAGGACGGGAGTGGGAACGAGCAGATGATAAGATTCAACACGGCATCGAGACTGCTCAAAAGGGTTTATTGCGAAAGTGGAACCAATTATGGGGATGTTGTTCACAGTTGTCTGTTCTGGTCAGGTAAGAATTCTCTGTGCCTTGATGATAAGATCTATGAAGAGAGGGTGTTTGATATGGTTATGTCTCCTTTGCTTGAAGATCTGTTGTACTTCGAGGGGGTTCATGCCATTTGACGGTGTTTGCCTTGTACATGATCCTAGTACCTTACCTGCAACTTAGGTACTATATAAAACCGTCAAGAAGACCTAACCACAATCGCGGTCTCTGTCTCACTCCCGCATGTATGCAGCAAACTAGGAGGCACACAAACATTCTCTCATTCCCACCCGACCGATAATGTTGACCCGTAGCAAACTATGTATCAATGCGACTCGTCCAGCCTAACATGGGGAAGCATCATCCCACCTTATGCGTAGGTGCTTATGAACTCATGTGAACGTGCTCGGTCCGCTTCGTCTCATATGACTGGCGTTCATAATACTAGACAATTTGACCGAGCCATGGGAACAACCATCGGCCGAAAGACTCACATCCTACCCCATGGGGATTCCCACAGTCATCCCATTATGTCATGCATCGGTCGCGAGGACACTAAATGCTTTAGCAGCCATCACGATGGCGAGTCGCTTCGAGTTGCGGAGAAGATCTATTACAAACGCGGGATGTTGCCCTCTCCCCACTGCATTTCCTCACGCTGAGGTCATGCTTTAATATCGATGCATCCACGCGATTCGATCCAGGACCGCTGTTGTCATTCTGTCCCGTCCTCCCGTCCTTGATGCTGGAGAGGCCTTTGCGGTGGCTTTAGGGTCGTTAGCGTAGGTGCCGAGATTGACACTCTCGTGATATTAAGTCTAAATCCTGACCGGGGGAGGGGGGCGAGGGTCCAGCATGTAAGCATGGATCAGTGGTAGCGGCCGCATTAGTGGCTTGTCTTCCCTCCCACCCCAGCATCAGCCGCGACAAAGAAAACCAGGGTGGTATCAGACTTTGGCTAGTCCTAGTCTGCCCCATCGCGATCTCGACGAGATGTCCACGAGCACGGCTGACCAACCGGCTCGGATCGAGTTGTACTACAGCCCTCCGCCGCCACAGCGGGATGGAGATTAATCTTGTCGACCTGACCGTCTCGCCCGTTACCCCTCATCTGAGGTCATTTTAGCGCATATGGCTGGATGATGAGCGGAGAGAAAGAGGAGAGGCTCAACCTCTCGCTGCTGGAGTCAGTGATTTGCATGAGGTCATTAGCCAAGGATGACGTGCTTCGTCAGTACTGGCACCTCAGCTCGTCGTGACCCATCATCGGCTGCACGGACCAGCCCATCAGGCGGTGATTTCGAGTTGGTCTATACTAGTACAGTAGTGCTGAACATGCTGCATATAGCCCGTCTAGGCATTTCACGGCAGGATAAGCGAGGATATATTGCTTTCAATACGAGGCGTTGGGGGGCTGAGCCGTCCGGCCGTGGATGCAGGGTATATCCTATGTGGCAGCTCGGGACGATTTACCCCGTAGTATACAAGCGGGCTGGCGGGAGGTTACATTAAACGCCATGTCATACAACAGGAATGAGAACTATTCCCCGGTCGATGGCACCCCATCCGTGTGGCAACACGTGCAGAGTTACCACCACTGGCGATTTGCTTTTTGTTGTCACACATGCGCTGCGGAGAGAGATAAACTAGCGAGAGACGACGGTCCAGTCAGAACCCAACGCGGGCGATGCCGACCGAGCTAGTGTCTCTCCTACGGGTGCAGCGATCGCATGGGGGCCCTGGGGGAGATCACGCCTCATGTCTCCATCCCCATGGCTAGGTCATCCCCCTTGGGTACAGGACTGCCTCCTAGATCGGGCAGAGGGAGAAGGGGTCGCGTCCAGATACCTCGAGGGAACAGGGCGTGGGATGGATGCAAGGATACCTGGGCGTCCTTCCGGACCGAGTAAAGCTCCTTTATCCCGTGTTCTGACATATGCGAGAGCCAGTTGTTCGTGTTGAGTCGGCTGTATACTCCGCAGTGTACTGCGGGATACCCAGCCTATGACCTAATAGGAAAATCCTTTTCAGATCGCACCGAAAGTAAGACAGGACAGTGGTGTAGCTGGATGAATCATGCCAACATGTTATTGGAGCCACGATCAAGGCAGATGAACCCGACGGTGCATGAGGTACTAATCACATCATGTGTTGACAGACAAACAGAAGCGTGGATCGCCTGATTTGCGCTGGGAACAAGCCCTAAAGCCCGATGCGGAACAGCGCCGGCAAGACCACCCGCTTGGAGTGGAGTTAGCCGGTTGAGCCAAGCCCAAGGATCCAAGATCTTTGTATTTATTTTTATTTCCTGATTATAACTCACTAGGTATGTAGGTAGTTACAGGTTTACTTGCAAATATCGGTCAAGACTGACTAGCCCGCTCCATATTAATCCCTCTAGCTCATGCATGTGCTCCGCCCGCTCATTAATAGTAACTAACTAACTGACTATTGCGGAGATTAAGTAATCGGCTGTGGATAGTACCGAGATCATTAAGATCATCACCATAGCTTCTGCCTTATAGTCGATCCCGTCGGACTATCAATGGCATTCGTTTATGCTTTTCCCCAGGTAAATAGTCCTCTGCACAGTGCAAGGAGGCTGAGACTCCCCAAAGTTCAGAAAAACCTACGAGATTCTCGCCAAATCTTACCGATCAGATTTTAGACTCTCTTAGTGCGTGGCCCATCAGCCTATGCAACTTGATGCTCTAGTGGTTAATATCAGCGACGATTATCATTCACTGCCTCGCTGACTCTGTCGTGTGGTCCGCTCACACCTAGACCGCGGTCAGTAGCGGGTCCTTCATCGGGCGAAGATCAGCCCCCTGCTAGACAAGCCACAGGGCTTGTTTACAGGTAGCTCGGAGGTGATAGGGATACTCCTTCTCCTCCCCATTGTCAACATTCGAGTGTCCCTTGGCTTCAGAGAAAATACAGACGAACGTAATAGCGTCTTCCGTATCTCTAAGCACGCCATGCATCGACGCGTCACGATGGGCCTATGATGGGGATATCCCTTACTCCGTAGACTGGATCCAAGGCCTCCTGGCCCCGAAATTCTCCCGGTGACAATGAATGTTCCTTGCGCCTTTGTTTGCCTTTGCCTTTGCGTCGCTCCCACTGCCCCTGCATTGGGGGTTTGTAACCCCCGTCATTGGCCGAGACCTTTCACTGCTCCTGTCCACTTGCGATCTTGCACAAATCCATCTGGCTGCAACGGCTAGCGTGTGACCTGTCCGGGGGGGGGGGGGTAGGTTTCCTTTTGCTCTGTGGGCTGGGCAATGCCTCCCCTGTACTTCTTGGGCTCGCCCAGTCCGCCAGCCGATTCTCTATAAATTGCCCTGCCTCGCCGCATGCCCATGCCTTTCTGAATATTCAAAGAGCATCGGCATTCCTAATTATCTTTATTTCTTTCCTCCCTCCTATACCTTTAATTCCTAATCTCCTTAATCATGTATCGGAGTACGCTCCTCTTCCTGTTCATAGCCTTGGTGAATGCCTTTGCCAACCCCGGTCCTTGTACTGGCGACTGCTGGACGCATGATCCCGGTCTCTACCAGAGAAAGTCCGACGGCAGATACTTCCGCTTTGCTACCGGCGGTGGTATTCACATCTCGTCAGCTCCTGCGATTGTAGGGCCCTGGGAGGACAACGGTTTCGCTCTTCCGAACGGTTCGAAGATCAACCATGCCGGCAACGACAACCTCTGGGTATGTACTCAGCCCATGGAAATATACATGGTCACACTAACAACCGCCAGGCCCCTGATGTGCACTATCAGGAAAACACCAAGAAGTACTACATGTACTACTCCGTGTCCGTGCTGGGCAAGAAAGACTCGGTGATTGGCGTGGCCAGCTCCGACACCATGGAGGTGGGCTCCTGGACGGACCACGGCTCCATTGGCCTCAACACCAGCAACAACCCCCCCTACAACACCATCGACGCCAACTGGATCCGCATCGACGGCGCCCCGGCCCTCAACTTCGGCTCGTACTGGCAGGGTATCTTCCAGGTGCCGCTGAAGAACCCCTTCGAACTCGCCGAGATTGCGCCGCACCAGATCGCCTGGAACGCCAGCCTCAATCACCGCATCGAGGCCGCCTTCGAATTCAAGCACGGCAACTACTACTACCTGACCTTCTCCTCTGGCCTCGGCGGCAACTACGACGTGAACTTGCCCGCGCAAGGCGAGGAGTATAGCATTCACGTGTGCCGCTCGGAGGGTGGCCGAAACAACTTTGTAAGCTGCCTTGATGGAATGCAGATCATTGAAACCACGCATGCTAATCCTTCCAGGTCGACAAGTCGGGTCGCTCGTGCCGCGAGAGCGGCGGCACCACATTGTTGGCGAGCCACGGGAATGTGTACGCCCCGGGCGGACAGTAAGTGCTCCCCGCGGCCCGAGAATCGGGCGCCCCGGTCCAGACCGCAGCCACTAACGCTATGCTTCTAGGGGCATCGTCGAGGACAAGAACCTCGGTCAGGTCCTGTACTACCACTACGCCGACAAGACCAAGGGCCTGGCCAAGACGGACTACCAGTTCGGCTGGAACCGCCTCAACTGGGTGGACGGCTGGCCTTCTGTATAGGGTGCCGATATTTCGTGCAGATAGTTTATACCCTGGTGTTCCGGTTGGAACTGACTATATATACCTGATACCATGTTTAATTCGTTCGCTAGAGAGACCGTTGGGTCGATTGCATTCGCTATAGATATGGTTATATGCATTTAATTCTTTAAATTTGCTATTTTACCTTGGCAGCATCGTAATATAATTCGGCTGTAGAAGTAAATAATCTACATACAAAGGTGATTCAGCGATCCGATGAACTGAATCCTGCATGCGCGAACCCGGAGATTACAGTGAGACTTTACATTCTCCATGTGCAGTGACACTCGAGATATGCGCCTTATCTCAACCTCCTCACAATTCCCTCGCCGCATACCGACTTGAGACAATAAACAACCCTTTACGGAACAGCCTCAACGCATGCCCTTACGCAGTAAGCTTTCCTGCCAAAGCATGTGGCAATATGACTGCCTGGTGTGGCTTTCGGCTTGAACAGGTCCATACCAGCATCAACCCCCGTCCTTCTTCATACGCTTAGCCAAAAGAAGGCACAAAAAGTACCTAACAACATCAGCTACACAGTACCCCTGAGACATTATGTCGTAATAAAGTGTCCGACCTCTATGCGGCCACCCCTGATCGACGGCTAATCAGCTGCGCGAGCAAACCGTCCGCGTCAGCTCGAAATGCGCAGATTGGTGCTCGCCGCCGGGCCGGAGCCACCGTCTGCGCGGCGCGGTGTGCCGGCGAACTGCGTCCTATTGGCCTCGGATGCTTCGTTCCTGAATATCACGACGTTATCGGGAGTTTTTGATGCGGGTGCTGGTTGGTCGGAATGGGGAGGAGGTAAGGGGGGCTGGATGCAGGTACAGGAGGCTTATCGGGCTGTCTGTCTTGGATATGACATGCGTAACTATTGCTTTATTCACGCTGTATGTACGTATGTATTCCTACTAAGGTAGTCCTGGGCTTTGGGAGTATGGGCATTGTTTTGGGTTTGGAATTGCCGTGGAAAGACTTGTTCTCTTAATACTATGTAGTATAGCACGGTCTTACTGAGAACTGTAGATACGTCTTGCGATCGCCTGAATACTTACCGTTAAACCCACACTCCGTTGGCAACAAATGTATCAGACCAAGGAAGGCGATGTGCATGTTTCAATCTCTCAGCCTGGGCAATTGTATACCGAGTATGCTGCATTCCGGCGTTTGATGTCGTGCATGTTTGTGTTGATCCGCAAAGGGATGAACAATTCGAGGCCAATAAATATTCCAATTTATTCCCTCATACTATCTAGAATGTCACAATGAAACACTACATTCCGGTTGAAAGTCAATGGCTTTGTCTTGTGTTGATTTAGTAGGTCCTACGGGTAGCCTAGAAGGAATGTCCCCTGTAGGGCTTGCTGCATACCTCGGATGTTCAGTACCTACAGAGTACAGTAGAGAAATGTCACGTAGTATTCAACATCATCATTCCTCGATAATTCCCACAAAAACAATAATATGAACCATAGCTGGAGCTCAATACTCCGTAGATCTAAGCCCCCCCGGCAAGAAATGCCGAAATTGTTCATATATTAGAGTTCCATGATCAGCCATATACCAGGTAGAGGGCCATTATCCTGGTATTCATTGGCGTTTCAGGTTGCTGGATTCGCCGATTCCAGCAAGGGATGTCCAGCTATAGTTTGGGATGTGATATGTGGTCTTCCATGTGTTTGGTGCACTAGCAGCCTCGGCGGGTTAGTGAACGGCGATCCCGCCAGTAGTTCCCGTCATTCTAGAATGCTTAATCTTGGCAGAGTAGGCCATGTTATTGTTAGGTTCACAACAACAATAATAATGTAGGAAGACAGAGATGGGTATATAGCAGCAGTTATTCCCGCACATTAATTAGCTTGAAAAAACCTTATGGACAGAGCTTGATGGGAATGAAAACAACTGTCGTTCTTGGTCAATGTCTATATCCAGCATGACTCAAGTCAAATACCTCCCATTCAGATCAACTATCGATATTATATTCCTCACATCTCTGGGTAAATGGGCTTCTTGTCACTTGACCAACTTGAACCCTAGATAGGACCTCTTTTGACAATTCGTAGTGGGAGATGGTAGGCAGAAGTAGGCAGAAGCCAGTCACCTGATGCGGCTTGTTTACATCTTCCCGATCGGGAAATCGGACTGGATCTCTAACGCGTCGAGGTCTCACTCTTGTTTTGATAACCCGCACGGTCCATCCAAATGCAGTAGTCTGTTTGTTTGATCCCATTATCGATAAATTCTATCTTATCCGCCAGGGATCAGCAACATTCTTCATCCATGACGCCTTTTAGATCCTGAACGTGGTACAACTGTCCAATACTATATCCCATCTAGTACACTAGCCCTGATCGCCATCATGGAGACAAGGCAGGCGAGGAAGAGACGGACCAGCTCCCTCTCCACCCAAGCACCTCGCTCACCAGCCGCCTGCAGAACGACTCGACAGTCCGCCGCAGCGTCTCCCGCCTCGTCTTGCAAAACTCCCCGCCAACCAAGGAAGAAGGTTCGCTTCTCCGACCCCGGTCCGCAGCTGCAAAATGGCCCAGACTACTCTACGGGATTGACGCCGGTGATGCTGCGCACGTCGTTTGAGGAGCCCGCCGATGCAGAGGGGACGCCCCAGACGCCCAGCAAACGGCTGCGACGGCGTTCCGCGCCGCTTCCGCGATCGCGTGTCTCGCTCGATCCGCTGTGGCCGGCGCGGCTGCCCTCGCCAGAGCGAGTCGTGCAGTTCACGCCGCTGCGGCAGATTCTCGACTCGCGGACGCAGCGGCGAATCCGCAGAGTGGGACTCAGCGATGAGATCAACCAGCTCCAGCGCGAGAAGCGCGATACTGCGCAGTATGAAAAGACGCTGCAGTCTTTGCTTCGCGAACGAGACGCGCTGCGCCATCAGCTCGAGCTGGCCAAGCATAATCGGCTGCCTCAGAGTCCTGCGTGCAGCGAGGACATGCCATGGGTGCCGCCCCAAGCGCGCATTGAGAATTTGGAACACGAGAACAGCAAGCTTAGAGAAGAGTTGTCGTTCTCGTCTGTTCATAGTGCTTTAAATCAATCCGATGTGGCGAGCACAGAGGCCGATACTATCATTCTCAACGACAGTGCTTTCGACGGGAGTACGATGCTCATTTCGAACTCGCCTGATATGCGCGGGCTGAGTGGACATCCGCCATCTATTCCCGATGACATGTCTTTGCTGGACCATGGAATTCCAAATCCTGATGTGTGCTTTGGACGCGATCAGGATGCAGACGCTATCGCTCTGTCAGCGGACCTGGAAGCCGCAAAATCAGAGAAGAAAGAGCTGTTCAATTCATTTCGAAGTCGTCTCTCTGCATTCGTGGGTACACCTCTTGAGAGTCATTTGCGACAGTCATCTCCGCCTCCAGACTTTCTCGAGCGCTTTCTACCGACTCTCACAGAGGTCCTCACTCGTGCTTCGGATGCTACCAGCGCACTATCTACAGTCCAACAAGAGCTGCGCGACCTAGGGTTCTCGGGCAGTAATGTCGACGAGATAATCGCTCAAATGCGCGATCGTTTTCGCTGGGCGCGTCTTCGACTTGAACGTGCCGTTCCCGGTGAGACGCCCAGCGCGAGCTTGCACAACGGAAATAGCACCCTCAGCGCTCTTGTGGCGCGGGTCGAGCTACTCGTCCAGAGCTTAGACGAAGAGCAGAAGATGCACGAGGCAGCGGTCGGCCGTGAAAGGACCTTGCGTGGACACTTCAACGCTGCGCTGGCGCGATACGAGACTGCGGCGAAGAAAGTCCAGGATCTCGAGGAGTCGATTTCGTCCTCCGCGCGCGACATGCTGCATACGAGAATGCGGATGCAAGAACTCGAAAACGAAGGCAAAGAACAAGCCGTTGGGATTGACAGATTGAATGCAGCACTTACCACGTACCGCACCGAAGTGACGAACTTGGAGACCCTCATTACCGAGCTGGAGGAGAACCACCGCCAGCAGGTATCCCAGCTGAAAAGCCAGATCGACGAAGAGGAAAAGGCTCGTCATGCAGCTGAGTTGAGTGCTACCGAGCGAGAGGCACGCATTCACGAACTGGAGGAGACCGTCGAAAATAACCGATTCTCCGTGTGCGACTTGACCGCAAAGGTCGAACTTCTCGAGAAGGAGCGCCAAAAGGCCGTCGAAGGTCTAGAGAAACAAGCGATGGAACAACAACAGGAGATAGGAGTGATGAATGTCCGCGTGTCAGAACTGACTACGTCGCTGGAAGCCGCCAAATCGGAGGCTGAGAAACTTCGTCTGAGTAACTCGGGACTCGAAGAGCAGCTGCGCTTGGAAATCAGAGCTCGGGATAGCTTGTTAGACCGGTGGGCTGCGGACCAGGCGCGGTCATTCGCCTACATGAAGGAAACGGTCAATGCGGAGCGGCGAAAGGCAAAGGTGCGCTCGGCCAATTGGCAGATGAAGTCGGACGAGCTGCAGTCCGACGATGTCCACGCCGGCAGTGAGCCCATAACTCCTGTTAGCATGACGCGGTTCGTCGACGTGGAAGTCGGTCGCGGTAAACATCGCCGGCGACTAGACAGTGGAATTGGCATCCTCACGGACGACTTGCTGGCAGAAGACGTGGAAGAGACAGGCGAGATTCCGCCTTCTGACCCCGCTGATCTATAACATTCTTTGGACAGTGTTTCTTTTGTTGTGTACTATATCTTTCCCTTGCATTGTATTTTCTTAGTTTATTATCGATAGAGTGAAGTTTGGTAGTGATAAGGTTGTCGGTACGAACCAGGGTTTCTCGCGATGACGTCGACGCTCGCATGAGGTCATCAATATAAGTTCCATCCGCTCTGAAGTCCATCAAGACGCCATTGACACACCTATATACCCTAACTGGATCTATAATCTCCTCATATTACAGCAGAATGACCGGGCAACCCGCCGAACTCAAGTACCGCCTCAAAGTGACGGCGGGCACGCAATATGACCCAGCAACGCACCAGCTAGTCCCCGTAAACGAAGAGCAGTCGATGCGCATCGAAAACGAGCACGCCATCATCAGCCTCTGCGTCCGCATCCAGGACTACACAGGCTACCCGGACGACTCGCCCAAGACAAGCCCCTACTTCTCGCACCCCCTTCACCAATCCGACCAGTACTCCATCTCCTTCGCGATCGTCTTCAAGCACCCCGTCAACGGGAAGGACCTCATCTTCGGCAACGACTTCGACCGGCCCATCCGCGACCGTCTGCCGCCGGGGTTCAACGCCGCCCTGCGTCTGGTGCAGTGGACCATCGACCCGACGCTGGACGGCGACGCCTACGCCGACCGGCCGTACCTGTTCAGCCCGGCGTTGTCGTCGTGGAACCAGTTCCGGGTTGGGGAGAAGATCAAGCGGGATCATGAGGTGCCGACACTGCATGGGACGGTCGTGGAGGAGGGGGCCGATGGGGATGGGGTGGAGGTGAGGCAGGGGCTCGGCGTGGGGGAGAGTGTCGAGCAGCGGCGCAAGTTCTTCCAGTCCGAGGCGAACCGCGAGGCGTTTGTGTTTGAGGAGGGGAGGACGTACTGGGTGGATTTTGGGAATCCGTATCTGGGGTTTAATGGTGGGTTGTGCGTTGACTTTGTGTTGTAAGGTTGAGCGCTGATGAAGGCAGATTTCTCGCTACGGCTCCCCGGGTTTAATATCAATGCGCTGCATTATGCCGACGAGGAGCACCATTATCTCCGGTATGTGCTGAAGAACCGCGAGACGGATGATGTGTATCTTGTGGTACTGTTTATGCTTGTCTGCCAGGGGACGGATGATGAGCCGGAGCACCGGGAGTGGACGCAGCGTGCCAAAGAGAAAAATAAGGAGACGCATGAGCGGAATGAGGGCAAGCTGGGGCGCTTTGAATGGGAGCCAGAGCCGTCGGCGGACGATGTTGAGTGAGATGTTTAAATCAATGGAGAGATGGGAAGAATTCAAGACGCAGGTAGTCATGGTTTATTTAGATATACAGTCGCTCTATACAAGCATCACACAGTTCGCAATAAGACATCCGCTTTTACGTAACGACCTCTAAAGTCTCTTCAGGACATCGTCGAGAACCTGCTGGGTGGTAGCCTTTCCGCCCATGTCAGGGGAGAGGTACTTGCCCTCGTCGAGGTTGGCATCGACAGCGGTGTAGATCTTGGCGGCGGCGTTCTCTTCGCCAAGGAACTCCAGCATCAGGGCGACACTGCGCAGGGTAGCGATGGGGTTGGCAATGCCCTTGCCCTCGATGTCGGGGGCGGAGCCGTGGCAAGGCTCACCGATGGCAAAGCCGTCACCGACGTTGGCGCTGGGCACCAGACCCAGACTGCCGACCAGGGCGGCAGCGCCGTCGGACAGAATGTCACCGTAGAGATTGGGGGCGACAATCACATCATAGTACTCGGGCTGACGGAAGAGCTTGTAGACCATGGAGTCGACGATCTGCTCCTCGACCTCGACGGAGGAGAAGCGGTCGGCGGAGAGGGCCTTGCGGGCGGTCTCACGGAAGAGACCGTCGGTCTGCGACAGAACGTTGGACTTGTGGGTGATAGTAACCATGGGTTTGGAGCGGAGGCCGGGGGTGGCGGCAACGTCGCGGATCTTCTGACGGCGCAGAGCGATCTCACCAGCGATGGTGGAGATGCGGGAGGAAGCGTTCTCGGAGATGCGCTTGATGGCCTCGGCCACCTTGCCGTTGGGGGTGTCCTTGGTCTGCTCCTCCTTCACATAGAGGTCCTCAGTGTTCTCCCGGACGATGACCAGATCGATAGGGTTGCCCTTGCTGTCGCCGCTGGTAGTCTTGACTGGACGGACGTTGGCGTACAGGTCGAGCTTCTTGCGGAGAGCGACAATGGGGGAGGAGTAGCCAGCGACCTTGGTGCTAGGGGAGCTGGAGATGACACGTTTAGAATGCAGAAGACAATCAGTATGGTTTCACTTTACCTGACGGCTCCGAAAAGAGCTCCATCGCACTCCTTTTTCAAGATCTCAACGGTCTTGTCAGGGAGAGCGGTACCGGTGCGCTTGAAGGTGTCGAAACCGGCATCCAGGTCAACGAAGCTGAACTTCAGGTTGAGAGAGGAGGGAAGGGATTCCAGCAGACGGCGACCAGCCTAACGAACCGCATGGTTAGCATTGACCTTCAATTGTCATGTGGAGGAAATCCGGGGTTGGACGTTCTCCATACCGGAATGACCTCCCGTCCGATACCGTCACCGGGGATGAGACCTAGAATGGGAGAATGTCAGCTACAGTTTACTTTGATCGGAAAAGGAGCCAATTGACCTATGCGAAGCGTCCTAGCAGCAGCCATTGCGCAATAATGTCGACTGGGAGTGAACTGGACAGAGAAAAAGGTCTCCCCGACAATCGGAGCAAGAGGAAATCCAACGGCCCGGATCAACGTGGCTCCGGCGGTAATAGCCGGGTGTGTCTTTACCATTGTTCGCCTCGTCCTTCTGATCTACGGAATACCTACGGAGTACGTGTATATTCCCTATGGTGGACACAATAAACGTGCTATTGGAACTGCCCTTGGTCGGTACTGATAACTTAACAGATAATCTAGCCAGCATGCGAAGACTGAGCCCGTATGCCATGGACTGCCCTGTAAGATCCGTCAACCTGCAAAGGAATGTAAGCTTGGAGTCTTGTGGAGGAGTATATATATGGACGTGTAGACTGCTTACAGATTCTACAAGCTCATCTATTAGAAATACTTTGTAGAATGAGCAGCAACTGGACTTAGTGCACTTAAATGCTGGTGTTGGTTGTTATTTCAAAGGTCTGTTTATGTCCAAACATAGGATAGTTCGAATATATCCAATTTTAATTGTATCTCACCTGTCTGTTGTATATTGAATGTTAAAATATTGTCCGATCGTCTAAACAATAAGCATCTGTGGGAGCTATATTGATCTGCTATTTAAGGTAAGAGATGCTATGTAGGTACTGAGGTGCTGGGGCAAGCATATGTTGTGGACTCTTCTTTAAGGACTCAAAAGAGCGTCCATAGTGGCCAACTTACCTTATTGCCAATAATCCATACAATGGTCTTCTCTAGATTCATTGACATATAGTTCTCAATATTCTGCTATGCAGCAAAGAATAATGTAAGGGCAGGTGACAGTCTTCTGGACGTTATCCTTGAATAAGGCAGAAGAGCTATTATACAGAGTTGTTAACTGACTGTACATGCAATTGCAGAACATCTGATATAGTACCTTATTCCCTTATTAAAGTTTTCAATACATCTGTGACGTAACAATGAACAATAAGCAAAAGGAACACCCTGTATAAGAAGCTTAACCCTCTCCTATCTCCTCAAAAGCGAAAAGCCTCCCCCTACACTTTATCACGCAAGACTGCTCGAAGGAAACCCTCGCTTCTCAGCCACTATGAACCCACAACTCGGGGATATAGTCCTCAAAAAGCTTGAAGGCACTGAGCTCACTGCGGGAGCTAATGTTTATCACCTGGACACCCTGGTCTCGGAGAAAAGGGATGACCAGTTTGCTGAGAGAAGGGCCGTTTTCTACGCCACCAGGGGTACAGACAACATTGATGCGGTTGTGAAGGTTCGCGTCCAGTGAGTGACTCATTCCTCCCTTCAAAGCTTAGACTGAGGCCCACGATGGTCTAACTCATTGATCCTGAAGGAGGGATCCCGTCTTGTTGTTGCCTGATGAGCGTCAAGACAATATCGAATGGGCCAAAAGGGTCTTCCAGGATGAGGTCCGTGCTATTCGCAATTTGCAGTCGATTGAAGGGTTGCCCACTCTACTTGATAATGGCGTTAAGACGCAGGGGCCTGCGTACGAATATCCTGGAGGTTACATGAATTGTATCGCAATGTCTAGAGTTCGCGGAAAGCCTGCCCTAGATTATTTGGACCTGATAGAGTGGGAAGGCTCACATATCAAGCGCGAGGTCACTCGTATCCTCGAGTAAGTTTGAATACTTGGACGAAAGGTTTTGCGTTCACTCAACTATTTTCGCAGGCAAGCTCGCCTCAGAGGCTGGTATATGTTTGAAGGCTTTCCGGAAAAGATTCTCTATGAGCGTGCAACCGGGGCTGTGTAAGAGACCTTTCGTCGTCCAACCGCATCTAGAAACTCGCTGACTCGAACTGTAGGTCCGTGACCTGTCTAGCACATTGCGCAGATATGCCTAAGGAGGAAAGTAACGAGTTCACCGAAAATTCAGGCGTAGTTCATCAGTTTGGGCAAGATATATGGTGGACCTAGTGGCATGATGCCTTTTGCGAAAGCAGGTGAATGGTAGCAAAGGTCAACATGTGAAATCATCTGGGAGTTATGGGAAATGGCACTGTCAGTCTGTACTTCAGATTTGACGCGTGGAGCACGCCTGTCCCTATGACAGCTTGCTTGTCGCTTGTTTACTCCAGAAGTGCCTTTAAACTTTCGGTTTTACTGATATATCTTATTCATGAATATCTTGAGTTCTGAATTTGAGGTTAACTTGAACTAATTTTGGGGTTCTGTTAACCCTAGTGAAACTCTGAGAACGAAAAGGCAATTGTCTTTAATGCTAGTTTCATATGACTGCGATAACGACCCCCGCCGCTTTACAGGGAGCCACAACCATAGTACCTAGATACCTACTAGGTAGTTCCCACGACCGTTCTTGTCACTTCTGGTAGTCATTTCACATGCGTCATGAATAATCATTGCATTAAGGTAGGTACGGCCTGAATGATATAGGAAGAACACTATTTCCTCTAGCCAAAAGGCTCACACATTCTAAACTCCGGGGAACGCCTTGGCTCAGAACTATCTGCATGCTATATTCCACGCCGACGTTCTACTAGTAAAATTTTATGATGTCATGCAGTCAGTTTAGAGGAAAGCGCAAAGCTCAAAGGCTTGATCGATTGAGTGGTACAGATTCAGATGGTAGAAGTATTGTTTGAGTCCAAGCCGAGTGGTAGCTGTCATACATCAACCCGTTGTTCTAGTCAGACAACACCCGTGAAAGATCCCAAATACTACGCGTCTAATTATGGTCATGGCTCCTTGTGCATGGTGATGATGTATATGCCGGTGACATGATGGTAGTAGCAATGCGGATATCCTCAGAGCCAGCAACTGTGGCACATCTCTGGTACGAATTCAAAAATCGACTGTTTCATAATGAACAACCGCTGGACTTGGAACATACTTCTTCAATATAGTGGAACGTCTTATCTCCAGGCCGTAAGTCCGGCCATGTACTACTGTGTGCGTCATCTACCTTAGCAAGCCCCAGTGTTGTCTCTGTATCATAGGCTTCGTGCGTCTATTGTTTGAGCCGAAGCATCGGACTGTAGAAAGCCCGAGATAAACGTTGCACTTGGATCGAGTTTGCCGTTTCAGACCAGGATGACTTGGTCTATCAATCTCAATGTTCTCGCCATATAAATACCTCATACGGATCAGAGACCTTTCAATTGTTATCGAGCACCATTAAAGCCTTCAACCTCACCTCACATACTTTCAAGCTCTCAAATTTTCAAATCAAAACGCCTTCTTCTTGTTCACCATGCGCTACACCGCCGTCCTCTCGTTTCTTCTCGTCGGACTGAGCCCGCTTTCTCACGCGGCCCCGTCCAGAGCAGACGCCCGTACGTATTTGTGCTCGAAACGAACGACTTCCGACTCACCAGGATATAGGCTCTATGCGCCCAGCGGGCCAAGCGGTCAAAATGGACGAAAGACATCTCCCCTGGATGGGCGACGACGAGGGAGAAGAAGGCCCTGAGGGGCCCGGAATTGGACGACTCCTGCCTCTTTTGCCCCTGCTCGGGGGCGAGGAGGAGGATGATAACAACAACAGTACTGGAATAACCCACTGGCCGTTCCCCGGAGATGAGGATCAAGAAGACGGTGACCTTCTGTCAGGAAAACGTCACTTCCCATGGATGGGCGATGATGAGGAGACTGGACCGGGCAATGAGAACGGCATGTAGACTTCTCGCAAGCAAGCCTGAGGGTTCGTGGAATTGTGGGTTATATTCCCATCATCTCCGGGTCCTCTCTACCTACTGTGTCTAGAGGAGTTGTTGTACGGTATTTTAGATTAGTGATAGAAGTGGAGGTGAGAAGATCTGTGGTCCAGCACAGGACTAGAGATATATATCTGGTAGGAACATGGTGAACATTGTTGGGGATACATGCTACAGAACAAGAGCTTTCCAGGCTACTACAATTTCTATCATGAATCCATTTACCAGGATCGTAGCTATTCCGGCCATCTCCGCCTGGTCGTGTATACCGAGTCGGTAGTTAGTGCTGATCCACCTCCGTAGACGGAGAATGGCCATCATGGTGATGTAACGATCAGCCACACTCTGGCCGATATTTTTTTTATGGTAATAAATCCAAGAGAACCTTGGAATAAAATTCACAAGGGATACTATTGCAAGGAGTCGAAGACAGGGTCAATTATCCTGGTTGAGGTGGCCATGGTCAATAGTGGATGGGACCATTATTGATATTCTTCCTGTTTGGTGAACCGAGGTGTATAGCAAACGGTGATGGAAATGCCACATCAACCACTCTGGTCCAAATAGAATTTCCAGGAACCTGGACCGGCGAGACCAAATCAGAACCGAGCGAGAGAAATGAGGATGCTCGATGAAACTACTCTGGAGTCCTCCTGGTGATTTACCTGAAGCCGCGGATCCGCCCGCTGCCCCTGAAGGGTGCCTGAGGCCCACTTGTTGATTATTTGTCTCTTTCGCGCGCTCTCACTCTCTCACTTCCTCCCTTTCTCCTTCACTCTCTCCATTCACCGTCTATCTTCTTCTTCTCTCCTTTCCCATTGTTCCCATTATCGGTGGATCATGACCATTTTCATTGTCTCGCCCTACACCATCTGCCTCGGATAATGCACCCCTCATTTCGACTTTGTTGACTGCACTCACTCGTGTTGGTTCTCTCCGTGTCAACCACTGAAACTCGCCGCAGGGCTGGGGTGATATAAATACCCCAACCTCCCCAGAACTGCTGTACTTCACCCCAGTCAATAATTATCAGCTCAACTGTCAACCATCGTTGAATCGTCCCGAGTCATTTCGAACACGCAGAAAGACCGGATCGCCTGCATACCCCGTCGCATCCGCATTCTACCCCTCATCCTGCATACCGGACCGCTCTGCCCCTCGCTTCGCATACCGTACACCCTATCCCGCTTGACTAATACACTGAGTCACCGCCATGGATACCGGTGGCCATCCAGGCGTTCGTAGCCTGCTCGCCAAGTTCGAAACCCAACAGGCCAACACCACCTCTCCGCCCTCTCGCGGTAGATCCCCCGTTGGTTCCGATACCCCTGGCTCGACTAGGCCCTTGTCCAAGGTGCGCGCCAGCTTTATTGCGGTCGACGGCGCCGTGCAGTCAAGTCCTGTCTCAAGCCTGCGGAGAAGTGCCAGCACGCGGAGTGATAGCCCGGCTGCTCCCGTGCGCATGCGCAGCTTCAACTCCGATGAGATGGAAGACCCTGTGAAGACTCCCCTGGCGTCCACTCCACCAGGCAATGGCATCGACGCGACCTCCAACGCTAAGACTTCACCGAAGCCCGAAGAACCCGTTAAATCGCTGCAGTCGCCTATACGCGTGACCAAGGAAGCCTCGCCAACCGCGAAGGAAAACAAGTCCCCAACGCCCGCGCCAGCAAAAACCGCCACTGCAACTCCGAAGGAAAAGGCGCCTCCCGCGCCTGCCCCTAAGCCCTCGCCGGTGAAGCCGAAGACTGTAGCCAACAACATGGCGACCAAACCAGAAAACTCCGCGAAACCGGTCCGCTCCGCGAAGCCGGCTGCTGGCGCTACGGCTAAGGAACCAGCCCGTAAGCCAAGCCGCGCAGCTCTGAACACCGCATCCAAACCTACCACGCGACCGCCTCGCGCTTCAATGCCTGCTACGAACGCCACTAAATCAGCGCGTCTTCCATCGTCGGCGACCACGCCTAGCTTGTCCTCAACGGCTAAATCTGGTACCAACGCGGCCAAATCTGGTACCAACGGACCGACCCGCAAGCCTCCTGTCCAATCACGGACCAACAACTCCACGTCTTCTACTACTCGTAAGCCCTCTGCTCTCGCTTCCGTGGCAAACGAGCGTCCCAGCTCCCGTACGAGCAACAAGCCTGTGGACGAGGGCTTCTTGGCGCGCATGATGCGTCCTACTGCTAGCTCCGCGCGTAAGGTACATGACAAGGTGGAGCCCAAGAACCCATCGGGAACCAAAACCACACGGACTGCATCGAAGCCCGTCCCTAAGCCCACTTCCCGTTCTACCAAATCCAAGGCACAGACCTCTGCGGCGTCAGCACACTCCAAGGAAGAGTCTGTGGAGGTTCATTCGCCGGAGGCCTCTACTCAGGGTGACGTCCCGGTGAAGACTACCACGCCTACCTCCTCTCTTGGTCACGCTGGTACTGCTGAATGGGTTGAGCAGCATGCTATCCCTTCGGTCCCTGAAGAGGAAGTCTCCGCTCCCGAAGAAACCAAGGAGTCCGCCGGTCCCGAAGTGGCTACGGAATTGACCAACGATGCTCCTCAGGAGCCCGCTCCCTCTACCGAGGAGCCCAAGGACACTGTCCCAGTCGAGGATGCGGTGACGGAGGAGGCCAAGCCCGAGAACAATGGCATTCTGTCTGAAGCCGAACCGAAGCAGGAGATTATCCACGAGTCCGTCGAACCGGCCTCGGACCCTGCGCCTAAGCCTGAGAAGGTTGACGCTGTTGCTCAGCCACCCACTGAGGATGCTTCTGATAACGCCGCGTCCAAGCCTGAAGAGCTTACTGATGGCGTTGAGAAGCTGTCTCTCGCTTAGATGCTGCCCTACACTTTACCTTCTCTTCCCTTCTCCCATCCCCTTTTGTAACTTAGCAACTTTTATACCCTTGTTATACCCTGTTGAGTTTCATGCAACTGGATCTGTTTGTCTCTTGGGTCCGTGTTACAAACTTCTATTTTCCTTTCTTTCTTGCCAGCTGGGACATGATTCGACGGAACGTGTCCGGCGGCGTTGTGAGGCGACTCGCTGCACATTCTTGTCCTCGATCCCGGTTGGGGAACTCATACCGACCAAGCGTGTCGGAGCATTACCGGTGGAGTTGATTCAGGTTCAGCTGGGTTTAGCGTGGTCGCTGCATATTTTGCATATCCCGTGGTGGAGTCTTTAGGGTTATTCTGTTCTATTTCTTGGTTGTCTCGGCTGGATTTCGGTCATGGCTTGAGGTAGCCTTAGATATCTGGTTGGGTTGGATATTTAGCACTTCTACATAGTTGTATTCAACAATTTTGCAAGGATACATTCTCTGCCAGCACATGCTGCTCTACGCCAACGTAGTAACTTAACCGACTAACTAATAATGAGCCCAACCCAACAGCAAATACCAATCATATCTTCTTCTCCAACCTCTTCAAAAACTTATTCACACTATTCTCTACACGATGCGCCCGCTCCTCCAAACCCCGCGGCTTCTGCCCCGAATTCATCGCCTTCAGCGCATGTTTCTGGTGATACGAGTTCGCCTCCGCCTCCGTCGGCCGATACAGCTGACTATGAACCTCGTAGTCGCCGATGCCGGTGTGCGCGCGCGCCTGCGCCGGCGTATCATACGAGAAATTCGCGTACCCGCCCGGCGGCGGTGTCGGCTGCGACTGCTGTTGGTGCTGCTGGAGCTGCGGCGGGAGGGCGTAGGAGGTCTGCGGCTGAGCCTGGTACACCGGGGCAGAGGGGTCTTTTGGCGGCGGAGCGAAGGACATCGTCGTTCCCGTGGCTCCGGGAGTGGTACTACCTGCGCTTCCGCTGTTACCGGCGAGGAAGGACGGGGTGTAGGAGGGGACGCCGGCGGGGACGGTGGTCGGCGGGGGACTCTGGATGGAGGAAGTGGGGACGTGGAAGGCGGGGGGCAGGCCTGCGCTGGGCGGGGGCGAGGCGTAGCTCCCTGGCATGGCGTAAGGGAGGGACTGGGACGTCGTGGTGTAGTTGTTGTTGGTGGTGGTGAAGCTGGCGCGCTGCGGGGAGAAGGGGGCGCCTGGGGGCGCCGCGATGTCTGCGGCAGCGGCGGCGGCGAGACCGGTGCCATCTGCGCCGTCCATTGGGGGCGGAGGGGTCTTTTCGCGGTGCTTTATGGGTTCTGGCGCGGCGGGGGCGGCAGGGTTGTATGGGAGGGGAGCGGGGGTGTCATTTTGGTGTTGTTGGGCGCCTGGGGACCCGGTGATTGGGGGCGGCGGAGGGGGGATGGCGCTGGGTGTTGCGATGGAGGGAGAGGTTGATGCGGCGGGCTGGTGGTGCTGGGGGAACGATGCAGGCTCCGACTGGGAGTTGCGGGTTTGGCCGTTTTGGTAGGCCGGGTCTGCGATGGCGACGTGCTCGAGTTGTTGCACGACGGAGCTCACGTTGTGCTGCGCCGGGGGTGGGAATGGGTGTCGGTCTGATGCGACCTGCGCGGGGGCGAGGTGACGTTCGAGGAGGTCGAGGCATTGCGTTGCGTCGTCGAGCGTCCAGAAGTAGATGTCCAGCGTGTGGAGGCGCATGGGCTCGCCGGTGGTGCTGGGGAGATGCCATTCGTACGGGCTTGTCGGTGGCGGAGGAAAGGCTTGTGTGTTTGCGCCGTCCACAGTCAAGGTGCACAAGGTGGGAAACTTGGTGGAATGGGCGATGTGGACTTGATCCAGTGCTGGGATGGGTCAGTATACAACGCGGACGGTGAGAGTGCGACACTCACCCCCGTTGAAGGCGTCCTGGTCTGGAGAGCCAGGATTATTGGCGACCTCCAGTCTGGTCTTCCTCTGGCTCGCATTGTGATAGAGATAGAGATATGAGCCTTTATCGAAGCGGTGGTGAAGCGGCTTGGGTGTTGGGGCGGAGAAATAGTAGTGGATATCAGCAAATCTATGAGGAGTTAGAGCGGGGGCATCGATAGAGTCTTGGACTGCTTACACTGTGAGTATACGTTCTTCCCCAGACAATGGAGGCATAATGGCGATGGACCAGATCTAGAGTTGACGATGGTGACAGAGGAACGAAAGAAGATCGGGAGAGAGAGAAAGAGGGGAAAATCGGTGCATCTTGAGCGGTAGAGAGCTGGTCCCTGGCATGAGACTGTGATAGGCCTGTGCAATGCAGCATCCTCACCTCGGCGCTTACACAACAGCCATGATTGGATCTTTTGAAGCTGCCCAGAGACTTGCCGACCTGAAGAGCAAGAGAGACTTGAATGTCAGTTGATATAGAAGTATGTCGTGTTTGTCAGTCCTGATGATTTTCCAAACGTCAGGCCCCAACATGATAAATCCGATGAACCAGAACTATACAAAGCCGAAATAGGTACGGAGTAGGCTGCGGATTGCGCCGTGGAGGAGGAAAATTTCTTCCCACTTCGCGACAAGAAACTAGCTGGCTGACATAAAATGATGCCCATTAACCTCTTCTGTCGAAAAGAAGCAAGAGTTTTGGAATGTTGATGGACAAACGATATACAACGAACAGTTATAACTCTGCCTGAGGCATCAATATAAGTTGTTGCATTACATAAGCCGGGGTAGGGTTTCTCCGAAAATTTCATCTGGAGCTTCCGCATCATCGGCCGGAGATCCAATCTGCCATTGAAGGAACGTTGTTTCTGCGACTTGCTGTGCCATTGCACTCTCATCATCTGGTAGGCGTTCTCTCCAATCCCTATGCAACTATAAGACGGGGAATTTTACTGACCGTTCCCTCCAGGCTCCAATCCACAACTTCCAGCAACCTCCACACCTTCACACCACAGGCCCTCATCGGGCCAATTCCTCGCGGTCACCATGTCGCTCGTCAATCTTGCCCACGTCTGCTCCCATTTAAACAATGCCACCAAAGCTCGTCTCGGTCTTACGTCCATTCCGAACTCCCAGCTGCATCTGAAACTTGCGCTGGCACTGCAGAACTCCGGCTACATTTCCTCCGTCGTCCGCGGGCGGCCCTACGCCTCCTCCGTCTCACATCCTTCTCGGCCATCCGGTCGCCAATGACGAAGTTCACGGAGTCGAACCGATAACGCAGAGTAATATCGCTTCGCGGCGACTCTGGCTCGGACTGAAGTACTGGCAGAGCGAGCCGGTCCTGGGAAAGATGAGCATGGTCAGCAAACCGAAGCGCAGAATCAACATCGACGTCGCTGGACTGCGACAGGTCATTCGCGGCGAGAAGAGCGGCTACGTCGAGGGGCTGCGGTCTCCCGGCGAGAGTCTCTATCTCTCGACGGATCGGGGCATCATGGAGGCGCGCGAGTGCGTGGAGAAGAAGGTGGGAGGATTGGTCCTCTGCCGGGTGCTTTAGACTGGGGACGGTATATACCTCGACTTGTGTGAATGTTGCCTGTGGATTGGTGTTTTGCATTTTCAACCGGAGTTTGGGCAGTCGCAGTGTGTATGTCTCCTCCCATGCCTTGTACTATCTGTGATATTTGCGACTGTTGGGATGGATACCTTGTATAGTAACTAGCCGGGATTTCCAAGTTTATGAACCAGTTAAACTATGTAGATGTTTTTTATCCTGATAGAGAAATGGCCTTCAGTATGGTGAGTGAAAGCCACGGAATGCGCTAACCGTCTTGGGCAACCAGCCCTTCCTGTTTATGCATTCTTCATAATCCTTATGTTTCCCCTCGCCATCCACCATCCTCCGCATTCATGTCCCATCCATGAACTGACCGTTCTCGTTTTTAAGTGGCCTCAAGACCGAAAAGCCACCTAGACAGGGTGTACCGCGTCATGTCCGTAAGCAAGGCGCCCCTCACCAATGTCCTCATTTCCGGGGGAACAGGCTTCGTGGGAGCAGCAATCGCAAGAGCTATCGCGGAAAAGCATCCCGAGTGTGCCCTCACGATCATAGACCTGAATCCTCCAGGACCAAATCACGTCGTGCCGGATGGTATCACATTCATCCAGGTCGACGTCACCAATGCAGATAAAGTCAGCCAGGCCCTCCAGCAAGTCAAACCAGACCTGGTCATACACACTGCTGGGATCGTCCCAGCCCTTGCGGAGCGATTCGCGCGAAGACAGGAGAAACGTGTCTGGAAGATCAATGTCGAAGGAACCAGGAACATGCTGGAGGCCGCGAAGCAGAGCGGAGTGAAGGGCTTCGTTTACACTAGTACTTGCTGCGTCGTCACTGATAACATGGATTCCCCCTACATCAACATCAACGAGGAATGGCCAATTCCACAGACCTCTCTCATCTATGGTGAATCTAAGGTTGAGCTTCCCTGCTAATTGGCGCCCTTTCATACGACGGGGCCACGGCTCGTATAGTTTACTAACATTATTCTGACCAACGCCAGGCAGCTGCAGAGGCTCTCGTCCTGAAGGAGTCCTGTGATATGTTGGCCACTTGTGCCCTCCGGCCGTCCGTTCTCTGTGGTCCAGGAGACTATCAATTAGTCCCCGCAATACACGCATGCATTGCCAAGGGGGAAACTCCCTTCATCATTGGGAACGGCCGGAACCTATGGGACGTGACCTATGTCACCAACGTGGCAGATGCACACGTCCTTGCCGCCGAGAACTTGTTGACGACACGAACGGCAGCCGGTGAGGCCTTCTTCATTCAGAATAACGAACCCATCACCTTTCGCGACTTTTGTCTTGCCATTTGGGCTCATTTCGGTTACACCCCACCCTTTCAGATTCGCATCCCGCAGGTGCTGGCGTACCTCGTTGGGCTGGTGCTTGAGTTCCTAACATGGATATTCGGCACGACGACCACCATCAGCCGCGGAAGCGTCTGGGATGCGTGTGCTGTTCGATATGCCAGCGGCGAAAAGGCAAAGGCGATTCTGGGGTTTGAGCCTCGGGTGAACATTGACGATGGGATTCGGCTCAGCTGCGAAGTAGGTTGCATGTGGCCAGGATGCGCGCACTTCAATGTCTTCTTCTGTAGTTTACTAATAGAATCCCCAGGATTATGCTCGTCGCTTGGGAGTTGAGCTGCCGGCCAGCGCTTCATACAAGAAGAAAATCTGACTTCGCTTCGTTCCTCTTGGGCTAGTCCTGTTATTGGGAGCAGCCCCAGAGCACTTGCCATTCTGTGCAACATGGACTATCTTAGCTCTGAATCCCATTTTGTCTGCAGAATTGAAACGAACCATGGTTTCTTGACGCTTCCTTGGGGCACAATGTGTATGCTATTGTTGCGCAGCGTTTGACAAGACCCTTGACGGTACGGGGCTATCCGACCAACTGCAGCCTTCGCTTCTTTGACGAGTTCTCGCCTATTGTATAGCTGTATCCGAGGACTTGAGGCCTATGTCGATTGGCAGATAGCCACTCTAGACCCTGGAATGTTTGACATCAAGACAACCCACAACGCAGCCAAGCGTCCTACGGTTGAGGGCGCTATGTTCTCAGACGGACCTTTCCGAGTATCCTACCCTTCCGATGCTGACGAGTCAGCTCATGGCCCGCAGCTCGGGCAACAAGATACGCACTGATGTGTATGCCCAACTCTCCTGGAGCCTGTGTATGCCCATATCCCAGTTGGAAGAGCGAAGATCCATGCTGTCCAGAGGACAGTCTGGACATCGGGCCGCCATCTGCCCAGGTCGAGCAACTTTTGTCATCGGCTTGGGGCTCGCCTGTCCTTTGCATCTAGGTCCTATAATTGGCCACCTTATCATCTCTCGTACGTATCGGGCTCCATAGGATCGACGAGTTGTCGGCCAGACCAACCCCACACCAGCTTCGATGGACAGACACTTTTGCCAAGCGACTGCAACTAGAATAATGCATGTCTCGAATGTCAATCTGCTGGCACTTAGTATCGACGAGCGGATTCCTGGAATGGGGGGGAAGGGAGCTACCAGGGCGTAGACTAGTTGTTTAGTTGCTTAGCCGCCACTCTGCGGTTCGCGCAACTCCCCCAACGACATCCGATGTTCACCATCCTCTCTGCACCTCGCATGCAGCCAAATCCACTGGCCATCTGCGGGGAAATTCCATCGGGGCGCGGCCTTCTCGACTGAGCGATCCACGATAGGAGCCTGTCAGGATGGTGTACGTGCATGTGCGCCCTGCTGGCTCCGGTCATTGCTGCCCAAAACACCCAACTCAGCGGAGGATCCTTTTGCTTTTTTCCCTCCTGTCCCGTGAGGATCCATCGCGTTTAGGGATACGATCAGCATTTCGGGGAGGGCGTATGTTCCGTTTGTGAATGGCTTTCTCGGCTTTTATCCGTCTAGTCGGTGGTGACGCGCTTCACTCCAGCGAGGCACCTGATTGACCGCAGAACAACAGAGCATCGGGTGAGTGGCCCATAGCGCTTTGTTGTTCTTCACGGAGAGAGTATGCTCCTTTGTAATAATAGAAACGCTTATTTAGCGACAACGGGTCCTCATCCTTTCCCTAGAGGAGTCGACTCCGCCAACCCTGTCCGCAGCGCATATCGAAAGCGATCTCTCCGATTCGGCTGATGCTCAGATAAAGCTGCGTCGGCCATCATCTTTCATACTCTGGACATCCCGCGTGAAGCTTGTCCCAGGCAAGAAAAGACCATCGCCTCCAAGTGCCCCCTTTGCCACGGTGGGGAGCGTTACGTGCCCCGTCGCTTCTCCCGTTGACGGACGTTAGGGAACCGAGAAAGCCCGTCTCCAGTTCTCCAGGATTGGGCTCTCACCCTGGCTGTTATCTGTGCTCGATATTGAACTATAATCGCCGCTTTGCAATCAGGCGCTGTCCCGGGCTCCCAAACTTGGATGTCCCTGGATCATCCGTCCCGTTTCACACTCTGTCTGGATCCACCGTCAGCTTCGTATTTATATACCCTATGCCTCCTGTTTTGCCTCCCCCATTGATGGCAATGCCTTCGACTTTCAGCTATTTCTCTGGAACAACGCCAAGCAGCGGATCCTGCACGCATTCTTCAAGCAGCGATTCCGATTCTTGGTCCCATCATAGGTTAGCTCCTGCGAGCATCTTCCCTTCCCCTAACCCTTATTCCCGCGGCTTTCCGTCGACTCTGCGCATTGCAGGAAGCTCACTTTATACAGCGCCATGATGTCTCAGCAGCCGCCGATTTACGGTGCGTCTGGAGATGCGTCGCGGATGTACCACCCAAGGTATACAAGTATCCCGTGTCATACCCCTCTTCCCCTCCCACTTTGGAGAGACTTTTCTATCATACTGAGACTCTCAATCTTCCCCATCTAGCATGACTCGGTATTCGCCTCCACGCCGGGAGTCCCTTTCCATAGAGACTCATATTCAAACCACGAGGCCTCCGAAACACATCTCGCCAGACTTCGAGTATCCCGTGTCTTACAACGGTCTTCCCGTGACTTCCCACCCCTCTGGGAGCGTCATTGTCTCACCCGTTGGGCCAGTGACCCGGCCGCCTGCGCTGTACCGGGAGTGGAGCCATCCGGCTCCCATTCCACCAGAGGCTCTCCGACGTGACTACAATTTCTCTGCCCCTCCAGAGAGTCAAGAGTACGTCGTGGAGCGAAACAGCCGACGGGCGGCCGAGAAACTGAAAAACAACACGCGGTATCACTCGCAACGACGGCCCTCCAACCGGGATGAATTTGACGGCCCCTGCCAGTTACTGGACATGCCCTCCGAGCGCGTCATCCTGGCGCAAGGAAGGGAACTGCCCCATCTGCCTACTAATCTTGATGTCTCAGAGCAAGATCGTATCCTGAATTCAGTGAACGATCGACTGTCACAATGTGCCTTCGACTTTGTTGCCAAGTACCAGTTCCCAATTCCCGTGGAACCGGACAAGAGAAAGGTGAGGGTGCCGTCGGACCGTGAGTGGACCGAATGGGTGTATCTTCTCAAGAGACTGGCCACCAAGCGTCGCATTCCCGCCCGGGTCCTGTATAACCAGCAGATCAAGCAGCTGGTCACCGTCCTGGAAAACTCCCTAGAGATGAGGCATGCTGCCAAGCATCAGTCCCGGCCGATCAAGGATGATCGAAATGTGCTCCAGCTTATCTCTGCCGGCATCCAGGTTGCCAAAATCCTCAAAGATGCCACTGCCATGGAATTCTTGGACCAGCTCTATATTGACACCGAGAAGCGGATCCAGGAGAGACGCAGCCGGCGTGTGAAATTTGCGAGCCCTTGAGCTGTTTTGGATTGTTTCAGCATTATGATTTGACACCTCCCACTTTATGGCCAGATTTGCTCCGTTTTTCCAGTCCGGTTGGAATATGCTTGATGTCCCACCTCCCGAGGAATGGTTATGCCCCTTTGTCAGGTTTCCCAGATGGTATGCCCATGGGTTAAAATGTGGCCGTGGATTCTATGGAATGTCCCTCCTTTTCCGTGGATTGGAATCCCTGGTTTTCTACTGCCATGGATAAGGAACGCCGTTGGAATAGCATCGATCATCCCATCCCACCTTGCGTCCAGCCGCAGGAGCCTACTTCACGTCTATCCGGGAAAGAGAATAATACAGAATTGTTGTGTCGGAGATTGTTTGTCCGATTGGCAGTCGCAGACTAGCGGGGTTATTTTGCAATCCTTTGCGCTGTAGTCTGGGATAGCCACGTTTTCTATTGGCGGCAGATTGATATAATGCTTTGTGGCACGTTGTCTTTGTTTGATTGGGTTATGTACCACCACGCTGGGTGAAGGCCTAATATGCGATTTTCATCTTGTTCATGGCGGCCCCGTCGCACCGTCGAGATGGGGGTCTGTGGTGTGGCTATTTGTTCTGGGATGGTTCTGGTCTCGGATATTCATGAGTTATGTTTATGTTTATGTCTATGTGAATCTGATGTACCTGTTCGTCTTGAGGATCTTCCGGAATGTTGAGGTCGCCGTTCCACGAGGGATCTTGGCCACGGATTTGGCGTTCCTATTTGGACCGTATCCACGCGGAGTTGGATAGGGACCGGAGGTCGTTGGAATACTCTACATGTCAGGAAGGAGGATAGTGAGATACCAGGTTATCCAGGCGTCGATAGTATTGTCCCTACAATCCTCGCGCTCTGGAGGAAACAGTTAACTTTACCCCAGATGACCAGAATGGGCATACTGGTTGCTATGCTCTACACGAGCACTTCACGCCTCTGACATCTTTCAGGGTTACTGTCAACTGACCAATGTGATTCCATTCATAACCCTTCCCGTTGTTTTCATATCCGGCAAAGACACAATATCATCGAGACATGGGTTCTTCCACTTAGCAACTCTCCACCCTCCCAAATTACAATAACACAGTCAGGAGCAATCTCGATCTTTTATAACCCAGCCCTTCAGCCTAAATAACAACTTGACCCGACAATAACTCCTAGAACCTCCAACCTTCAGACTGGAGATAGTGACATCCTGTTTGGCACGCGAGCGAGCTTTGGAATCAACTGGGCTCTTTGCTAGCCCATGGCTGTCAAACCAGACCAACGACCATGGTCTGCGTTTATTGGTGTAGCCCTGGGGGGACAGTTCGAAGGCGGCGTCAATGTATCTTTGGTGAAGACAGGGTTAGTGAAGATGACGACTCGACCTTGCATTGGCGAAAGGAATGGCTTACAGACGCTTTGCATCGTCATCCCAGAATAGGCTCTTCACACCCAGGGCGACACTAACCCCAGCTGCATACAGCCCTCTGTCGTCGAATATGGGCATTAATAAAAATACCAAGTGACCATGTAACTGCTGGACAACATACCTGACAATGATTTCTAATTGGTGACGAATATCATCCCTGATAGGACGGTCAAGCTCCCAGAAACGACCCTCTTGAACATTGAGTCCATCTTCTTGGTATAGCACGCCAGTACCCAGGGCCACGCCAGGGACCTTTGAAAGAAGACAGTAGAGAGCCCAGCCACCAGGGACAGGATCCTCATCGCCTTGCAGTTTCTCCTCGCAGCCCAGGAGTCTCGCCGAGAACACGTCCTGGCAACGTGAAAGACCCTTCCAAATCTCGAGATCGTCTGTAGCACACCCATGCCACTTGTGCGTGGCTTGCTGGGAGCGGAGACGTGGCCGGAGAGATGTCGCGCCGTCATACGGTACCTGCATGTATACAAGCAGCCGGGCCTTCTGACTAGGGTCCTCGACACTCTCACAGTCGTATATGGCAACCCCGAATGTCGAGCTCTCCCCCAGTTCCTCTACTTCCTCATTGGATATGCGCGGGGAGTATTCGCTGATTTTTTTTGGTGGGCTTCCACGTGAAGGGGAACTGGTCGAACCGGAGTTCTCTTTCCAGCCACAGTTCCTTAGGGAAACAATTGGTGTCTTTATATCTGGCGTCCATTTCTCTTTCAGATCAAAGACGAACAGGAGGTCGAAAGTGGGATGAGCATCAAGATGATGGTAGGGGGGAGAAATGAGAGGATGGCGGAACCAGTAACCCTACTCGCGTATCTACTTGAAAAATGGTATGACTTCAATTTACAGTCAACAGATGGATTCTCGTACAAAGGTTGTATACCAGACGGTACGATGTATATTCCAGCTATGCAATTATACCACAGATATCATCCATGTTTACATGTTATTTGCCCCCAAAATAGCAAGAGACAGTGTGAGACGGTAAATACCTTATCAATCACCGGAACTTGCTTCTCCATACATCACCCAGCTGCCGCGCGGATGATTTCAAAACGGACAACACGGAAGCCTCACGAGGTCTCTTCCAAGCGAGAATCCCGACGACCGCTACACCAGAAACAATGGCGGAGATAAATCCGAACCCGAGGAGCCGACCCTGTCTACGGACGGCTTTGATGACCTCCGAGTAGCGCTGGTTGCTGAAGCTGACGCGAGCATATTGTGTCTGCCAGCCCAAGCTAGGTACGTACCGATCGAGGGTCTCTTCAATCGACTTTCGCAGCTTGTACAAGGGCAGCTTTACACCCCACCGCATTTCGAGATAATTTTGTTTGGATAGATCATTGATAGCATGGGCATCCGCAATGCGTTGATCGGTGTAGGCTTGAAAGGCTGCCTGGCGGGATAGCGTACGCATTTCGGGACTGATGTCCGGATTGTAAACACCGTGTTTGTCCATGATCTCGAAAAGGACGCGAATATCCTCAAGTCCAGCATTGAGTCCCTGACCATAGAATGGGAGCACAGCATGAGCGGCGTCGCCGACAATGACGACACTAGAGTCAAAGTGGTGTGGCTTGCATTTGATACTGATCAGTGGCAGGTGCGGGTTGGTTTCAAACTGCTCCTGGAGATCTTTTGGAGTTATCAACTCTGGGCAGACGCCGGGAAAGTGGGTGTCAAAAGACTCGAGCAGGTTCTGAGGAGAGCTCTTGAGACGGGCGTAGTGACCGGCAGGAGCGAAAAGAGTGCACGTGAAGGACTTATCCGCGGACGGCAGCGCAATGAACATGAACTCCTTCCCAGGCCAGATGTGCAGGTGGTTAGGTGAGATGCGGAAGTCTCCGTCATCCGTAGGGGGGATGCGGAATTCGCACCACAGGGTATCGATGTATTCCTGCTGGTAGTCCACGCGAGCATACTTCATCATATGGTACCTGGATGCGGAATGCGCGCCGTCCGCCCCGATCAAATAGTCAAAGTTGACTTGAATCTCCACGCGATCGGAGGTCGACTCCCCAGGTATGCGGCGTTCGAACCATGCTTTGTTTGCGCGGAAGTCAGCGCCAGTTAACTTGTGGTTGAAGAAAAGGTTGACATTTGGTGTTCGCTCCAGCTCGTCCAAGAGAGCATTATTCAGGGTGCTGCGGTCCGCTGCATTGATGTACTACGGGGAGTTAGACCTTAAGATACGACAAGAAGGCATGAAGAAGACCGACCCGGCCGTGGACATCATAAGCCTGAGCAGCCTCCCATAGTTTACCGTCATCCCTGCCGTGGATCATACGTCCGTGCATAGGAATTGCTTCTTCGAGGACTTTGTGGATCATTTCTTCCCGGTTTGAATGTCTCATGGCGTTGATGCCGCGCTCGGACAGTGCAAGGTTGATGGACTTGGTGAAATTTAGAGGGATCGTTGACGGGTCCCGGAGATCTGCCATATCATAGAATGTGAGACAATGTCTACAGAAGACCCAAAGTAATGGTCGACTATGATATGTAGATGGAGACAAGCATATCCTTTCAGTCACGGAAGGAATCTCGACGAATGGGCACTTGGTGATCAGCGATTGAAGTTGAGATACCCTTGCGTGTATCTTTCAACAACTCCATCTCGCACCCAGATTGGTGGTGATTCTCGCCTCACCAAGGCTGCATTCATCAGAGCATTCCACCCACGTGGTGAGATAGAATAAGCTTGTTGAAATGACGATCGACATATCACAGAGGTCACCGCCAGTTCCAATTCTACAACATATGCAGAAGACAGGAACATGCAGGTGACACATCAACAACAGTTGGCTTACCTCCACGCAACTCGTACACCTCCACCTCATCACCGCGGGCGGCTGCATACAGAGCTGCCAAGGAACCCACTGGGCCAGCTCCGACAATGACGACTTTTTGTTTTGTAGATTGGGCCATTGCGACGAATGCAAGGAGTAATTGAGCACAGCTCTTCGCAACCTTCTCTTCACAGATGCAAGGGAGCTCAAAAAGGAATGTTGGCTGATAACGGCGTGAATCATCCAGGAACCTTGTGTCAGCCGGTGTCCACGTGACATCGGAGTATCGCCGGTGTTAACCGTGCTTACGTGAGAATAAGCGCGCGGCTGCTAGTCCCAGATAGGTAAGAAGGCAATCACATCCGCGGGGGATTTGCTTGATTTTTCCTCCTCCACCTTTATTATCGATTTGCAAGGCGCCCGTATTTTTCACCTTTCTTCTCGTCCGTTATATTGATACCCAAATAGACGTCCTCCGGATCGGCTCTATCTACCATGGCTGCGGAAGTCGCCTCGCGGAAATGCATGGGCGTGGATTGCGACAAGATCGCAGGCACTCTCCAGTGCCCAACGTGCCTCAAGCAGGGTAGCGATAGCTTTTTCTGCTCGCAAGACTGTTTCAAGCGGAGCTGGGTAGGCGGCCTGACGTGACCTATACGGCTCACGTGTGTAATTCATGTCTAAGCCGTTTGAACATACTGACTCGGGAAATAGAGCGAGCACAAGACTCTCCATAAAGCGAAGAGTAATTTCCTCACCAACATCTTTCCTCCAAAAGTAGTTTCTGAACCAGATCCAGCCACGGGACACTACAATCCATTTCCTTCGTACCAGTTCGCCGGTCCCCTGAGACCCGTCTACCCCCTCTCGCCTATGCGCACCGTCCCGAAGTCCATCCCCCACCCCGACTATGCAAAGGATGGCATCCCTCGTTCGGAACAGAAGTTTGTTGGCCGCCACAACATCACCATCTTGAACAAGGAGCAACAGGAGGGTATGCGAAAGGTCTGCCGTCTGGCTCGTGAGGTGTTGGATATTGCGGCGCGCGAGGTCAAGCCTGGTGTGACGACCGATTACATTGACGAGGTGGTGCATAAGGCCTGCATAGAGCGCAATGTAAGCGATTACACTGCTGGGAACGCCACAGGATTGGGTACTGATCCATTTCTAGTCTTACCCCTCGCCGCTGAACTACGTCCATTTCCCCAAGTCTGTCTGCACGTCCATTAACGAGACGATCTGCCACGGTATTCCGGACCAGCGCCCTCTCGAAGACGGCGACATTATCAACATTGACGTGACCCTGTACCATAACGGCTTCCACGGCGATCTTAATGAGACCTACTATGTGGGCGAGAAGGCTCGGTCGAATGCGGATGCTGTCCGGGTGGTCGAGACGGCACGAGAGTGCTTGGACAAGTCAATCGAGCTGGTCAAGCCCGGGATGCTCTTCCGCGATCCCGGAAATGTCATTGAGAAACATGCCAAGAGCCGGAACTGTAGTGTGGTCAAGAGTTATTGCGGACACGGCATCAACCAGCTGTTCCATTGTGCTCCTAATGTTCCCCACTACGCGAAGAACAAAGCTGTCGGAACTGCGAAACCGGGCATGTGCTTCACCATTGAGCCCATGATCAACTTGGGAACGCATCGTGACCGTACCTGGCCGGATGATTGGACCAGTACTACCGCCGACGGCTCTCTGTCTGCTCAATTCGAACACACTCTGCTCGTCACCGAGGACGGCGTCGAAGTGTTGACTGCACGTCTCCCTGACTCGCCCGGTGGCCCTATACCTATGCCTGTTACCGAGGAAGCCAAGACGGAGGCATGATTGGATATGCTATTGCATTTTCTGCTAAATAGAGCTAACGACTGCGGGTTAACGCTATATCCTTTCTAACTTAACATCTTGTTCCTTTTTTTGTGTCAAAGAGATTCATGAGCCGCATGACCAAGGAGTTTCTCGTTAATTGCATGTATCATCCATTCCTGCATTGTAAGACATAGGCCCATTGACTGTATTGAAAGATGACAAACCGGGATGTGCACAGTCCGCGTGGAGGATCCTCCCAATCGCGTATCGACTTCCGCTTCAGGAGAGATCGGCAAACCGAGCTGCCGACAACGCCAATCACGACACTGCAAACTTGAATCTCCTCATTTGCTTATCTACACGTGACCTGACTTTCTTGACTCAGTCAGCCCCCTCTCGCAGCATTCGCTTCATCCCATCTATTCAACCCTCTGCGTGGTGGAGATGGTGAGTACTGCATGACCGATATGTCTTCAGAACGCATTGCAACAGAGACATCCCCATTGCTGGGACCTCAGAGCAACGGCAATGCGCCTCATCCTCCCTCTACCGGTGCCATCGGTGGGTTACGGGAACCCGAGGCCGAGGTCGAACAGAGGAATGGAACTGCCGACGAGGAGATGCAAAGCAAGGATACCACAGAGGCGCGCAACAAACTCAGATATATTGTGCCTGCTATCTCAATTGGTGTATGTATTTGACCCGTTTCCGGGTTTAGAATCGCATGTACTGAACTTCTATGGCTTAGATCTTTCTCTCGGCTGCGGACCAGACGATCATCGTGGCCAGCTCTGGTAAAATCGGCAGCGATCTCAAGGCATTGAACTTGACGAGCTGGATCGCAACGTCCTACTTCCTTACATTGACGTCGTTTCAGCCCTTGTATGGGAAACTGAGCGATATCTTTGGTCGGAAAGCTTGCTTGTTATGGGCGTATGCTATTTTCGGGACCGGCTGCCTGGGCTGTGGTCTGTCTCAGAACATCTATCACTTGATTGCTGCTCGTGTATGTCTAGATTAGGCTCTTAACATGACCCTTGACTAATCCACGTCGACAGGTCTTCCAAGGCATCGGCGGCGGTGGTATGACCACCGTGGTCAGCATCCTCATGAGCGATATTGTTCCCCTTCGGGACCGCGGAGTATGGCAGGGAGTGGTCAACATCATCTACGCAACGGGATCTGGAACTGGAGCCCCCCTAGGTAAACGCTTTCCATTATGCAATCTACATCCATTGGTCTAACGGTCTCTGGCGCAGGTGGTATCTTGGCTGATTACATTGGTTGGCGATGGTCAGTAAAGCATTACAGCTTTGACCGCGGATTGCACTAACATGTACTAGGGCTTTTATCGCTCAAGTTCCCCTCTGCATTCTGGCCTTCATTGCCGTGTCTATCATGCTCGACATTCCCAGTCGGGAGGATAGTCACTGGAAGGACAAGCTTCGTCGTATCGATTTCCCTGGAGCAATCGTCCTGGTGGGAGCCGTTCTGGGTTTTCTGCTGGGTCTCGACCGCGGAAGCAATGTTTCCTGGACACTACCGATTACCATTATTTCCCTGAGCGTTTCGATCGTCTTATTCGCACTCTTTATCATCGTGGAGATCTATTATGCGGCTGAACCGTTTGCACCTGGCCATATTATCTTTAACCGGACATTCATGGCCGCCTATGGTTGTAACTTCTTCAGCTTCGGAGGCTGGCTTGCCGCACTGTTCTACATTCCGCTGTACTTCCAGGCAGTGGACGGCGTGTCTGCCACTGTGGCGGGGCTTCGTCTTCTACCTTGCATTTTGGCCGCTGTATCCGGCTCGCTTTTTGCCGGGTTTGTCATGAAATGGACTGGAAAATTTTACTGGCTGACGGTGATTGCCTACTCTCTGCTCACACTGGGGTTGGCCATCATCACGCTTTTTTCGGGCGGTGTTGCCGATAGCCTGGTTGCCTTCATCCTGGGCACAGTATGTGCAGCGTTTGGTAACGGGATTGGCGTTACATCGGCATTGATCAGCTTGAGTAAGTTAAGGCATTCGCTTCCGTAGCGATTGCAATACTGACATGTGGTAGTATCCAACTCTGGTCCTGATGATCTGGCAGTGGTCACAGCCTGCTCATACCTGTTCCGGTCTCTCGGATCTGTGATCGGACTGTCCCTTTCTTCGACCGTGGTTCAGCAGGGCCTACGGGATCGCCTCCGGTCGGCTCTGCGTGACAGCAAGGACATCGATCGCATTGTGGATGGTGTACGCCAGAGTCTCGACTACATCAAGACCCTTGATCCGGCCGTGGGACAGGTCGTGCGAGGATGCTACGGCTGGGCAACCAATAAGGGCTTCGCTTTCATGATCGGCATTGTGTTCTTTGCCTTCATCAGTAGCTTGTTCATTCGCGAGAGGAAGCTGACTCGTTGAGTGCTATTAAGATAGACGGTGCATAACACTGCGAATAAATCGAAGAAAGAGAGAACGGGGAGGTTTAAGAGAAGGGACATGCGTATAAATGAGTGGTGGATAGATCTAGATGCATGATGTGTCAAACATGAAACGAATGATAGCGATGTATATAGATAAAATATATAGAGACCCATGTCAATATTTCCTGACTGTGATGTTGTCTGCTAGATATTGAAGATGTTCTAGACTTGTAGGCCAACGGTGCATCTGCCAAGGCGGTCGTCCACCAGCTCCGTCATTCTGCCTTTTCATCAACTGTCAGTTTCCCCAACACCTCCATTCACCTTTCTCACCTCACGACACTCTCCCCTACTCTACTTTCCTCTCCTATCCTAATTCTTCCTATGCTCCGATCTCCATAAGCACAGAAATGCCACCAGCTCAATAAACCTCGTCATTGACCGCCATGTCGGAATCGCAGTCCAGGCCGGGCCTCGCCCGCTACCGTCCGGTGCTCTACCTCCTCACAGGCATCGCAGCCGCCTACGCCCTGGTATACATCAACAACCAGCTCTTCTCGACCTCCCCGTCCCAGCCCCTCCGTCGACGACGAACTGTCCGACGCCACCGACGAAACGAGCCCGAAGACCCCGGCGCCGCAGACACGCCGTCATCCCGCGCCATAGCCCACCTGGAGCTCCTGGAACGCCAGAACGGCGTCTACGGCACATTTCGCATAGAAACCGAAGATGGCCGGCGCGTGGAGAGCGGCCTTCTCCCGTCGCTTCTCGCAACACGGGACCAGCTCATGGAGGAGGTCGGCGTACCGCAGGCACATGCGGAGCGCATGCGCGAAATGATGGAGGATACATTCTTGGAGTCGTTTCTGGCGCTAGACTTCCCGCCCACGCATGTCCTTGAAGAGGGCAGCGCGGAGAGGAACTACCTCACGGAACAACTGCAGCGACGGGGGATCTCGCGGGCGGGTATTGAGCGGGCGCTGGCGCGCTTCAACGAGGACAGCAATTATGGCGAGGAACTGCGACGACGGCGTCAAAACGGCGAGCGCGTGACGTTGTCGACCTCCACGTTCCCGGATGAGACGGCTGGGGCGCCGGCCGGGTTGAATATGGACGGTGGTGAAACGGTGGTCGACGATCAGAGCGTGTTTTCGTGGCGAGACGGGAATAACGATTCGTCGCCGACGCGGGAGGGTCAGAATTTGCTGAACCTGCTTTATCATATTGCAGAGGACCAGGCCCGCCGGGATGGGTATATCCATCGGGGCGTGACGTGCAACAGTTGCGGTGCCATGCCGATCCAGGGGATTCGGTATCGCTGTGCGAACTGCATCGACTATGATCTTTGCGAGACGTGCGAGGCCATGCAAGTGCACATCAAGACGCATCTGTTCTACAAGGTCCGCATTCCGGCGCCGTTCCTGGGGAGCCCGCGCCAGTCTCAGCCTGTATGGTATCCTGGGAAGCCTGCGATGCTGCCGCGCAGTTTGAGTCGGGGCCTTGCGAAGCGTCTGATGAAGGAGACCAATTTCGAGAATACGGAGTTGGATGCGCTGTGGGACCAGTTTCGATGCCTGGCGAGCTACGAATGGGCCGATGACCCCAATAAATTACATATGGCGATTGATCGGAAGACATTTGATCGGTGCTTTGTTCCCAACACGTCTATTAGGCCGCCGCCACCGAGTCTCATCTACGACCGCATGTTTGCCTTTTACGATACGAACGGTGATGGGCTGATCGGGTTTGAAGAGTTCTTGAAAGGACTTGCCAGTCTCAACAACAAGAGTAATGATGAGCGGTTGCGCCGCGTGTTCCGGGGGTATGATATTGATGGAGATGGATACGTGGAACGGAAGGACTTCCTTCGGGTATTCCGCGCCTATTACGCGCTCAGCAGGGAACTCACACGAGATATGGTCGCTGGCATGGAAGATGACTTCCTGGAAGGCGGTGCCCGAGACGTCATCCTTGGGAGCCAGCCGATCAGCTCTGCTTTCCCAGGCAGTATCCCCTCAGGTGAAGTCTCAAGAACTGGCGAGGGCAAGCGCATGAACACAGAAGGTGACATGGAAGTTGTGGATAATGAGGGTGTCCTGCGCCCTGATGGCGACGACACCGGCGACAGACATGCTGTTGTTGGAGATGCTGCCCTTCGCGGACGATATGGATCCCGACGGCCGCTGTTCCCTAACGTGCGTGTTCCCACGCCTGCCGGCGACATGCGTAATCCGAATCGACAGCCAGATGACAACACCGATGACGGCAGTAGTGACTATTCCAGCTCGACTGCTTTCACAGATCGCTGGCCCCCAGTTGAGCAGATCCGGGATGAGGATATCGTGAACGCCCTTGGAGCGTATGTCCCCATCCAGGAAGTCACCGACCCGGTGGATCGGGCTCGGATCAGTACAGCCGTGTATACCCGGATGGTCAGCGACGACGAGAGACGCGTTGATGAGGCCCGCAGACACGGGATCGACGAGCGTTGGAGACGCAGGGCATTCTACACGGACGTGGAAGATGGCACCACCGCACCGGCCGGTTACGAGAGCGAGTCAGACAATATGACCGACGAAGGCACGCAGGAGGAGGACCAGCCAGACTTCGAGTCCCACCCGCCGTCTCCTCGCTCTCGGTCGTCCTCCAAGGTGCGCTTCCAAGACGATATTCCCGATGACTATGATGTCCGGTCCAACCCTTCCACGTCCTCGCGCAGCATCCTGGTCGGTGAGCGGTGGGGAGGTTTCGAGGTACCCGAAGTCGAAAAGGACGTTGGCAAAGAGATCCTGTATCAGGTCACCCAACAAGGGTTCAACGAACTCCTGGATATCCTCTTCAAACCTAAAGAGGACCTGCTTATGGAGGTTTACCAAACCCGCCACCAACGCAAAATCTGGGCTCGTCAGATTGAGGCCATCGAGAAGATGCACGCTCGAAACAAGGCAATGCAGGAGCAACGGAATACCCAGACCGAAGAAACCCAGGAGGAGACACAACAATCGGCCGGAAACAACGAAGTCGTGATGGATGCTGAAGGGCCGACACACAACCCATTCACCGACAGATCTCTTCGTGAACTACTCGACCGCGCTGGCTACTCAATCCGCAGTCCACCTTTGCGGCCGCTGGAACCCGTTGATGATGGTCCCGTTCTAGCGCCCCCATCGCCAGAGCTGAGAGTCCCCGACGACGACGTGCGTCCTACGCATCTCGCCGATCCGGAGGAGTACGAATCTGGCGAATATACCTCCCCGGAGAGTGAAGTGGACGAGCTCGAGTCCGTGGAATCATCAGAGCCCGCGGAACCAGAAGCGCGCACACAGACTGCTGGAACACACGAGCTCCGCGAAGAGGAGCCCTATCGCGATCCCACACTCCCCCATCATCGCCCCAACGCAGACGACCTCGAGCAAGAACGTCCAGTCTCACCCTCCCCCACCGCCTCCTCCCACGCCATCCACTCCCCGGTACCCCAGCAGGCCCGCAGACAAACGCTCCCCGCAGAGCTCCGTCTGCAGCCAAACGGCACTACCTCGTTCCCTGCACCGCCGTCTTTGGCCGCGTCCTCGCCGGAAGCTGAGGCCACCGCTCCCAAGTCCTCCCCCTCGCCCATCCAGCCTCTCCCACCCTCTGCGTCCTGTGCGACGATCCCGGAGCGTCCGCCATCCCCGCCGACGCTCACTCGCTGGGCGTATCTGAACCAGATCGAGCGCGAGGCGAAGGAGCGTGGCGGCACAGGCGCAAAACTCAACTTTGCGGAGTTTTCGGCGCGTATGGCTGCGGATCGGGGACGGCGGTTGGCGTTTGTGGCTAGCTGGATTGAGATGGCCAGTTTTTAGTCTAATGTACGAATAAATATCACCTCTACCGTTGAGGTAGCTACGATAAACGAAGAACTCCCATCTCTAGTATTCATTGAAACAGAATCCTTATATAGTCAATGCGTATGTATTGATGGTATCAACAAACCAATTCTTATAGCATATAATATTATCATCACACCAAGCCTAGTCCCAATACTTAATAGTTCCATCCAACCCACCCGTCACCACCTTACTCGTCTCCTGCGGATGCCAATCAAGACACGTTGTCGCACCGCCTTCCTTGCCGCCCGCCTGAATCTTGTGGTACATCTTGCCGGTCTTCCAGTCCCAGAAACAGACATAACCACCCGAATCACCGGAGCAGATGAACTGGCCGTCGGGGGAGATCTTGATATCAATCGCGTAGCCGGCGTTGTTGTGGCCACGGAAGCTCTTCTTGCGGTTCTGGCGGAACTTATCCGTCGCGCCGTACACGACAATCTGGTTATCGCCGGACTGGAAGGCGACGTATTTGCCGTTGGGATGGGGCGCGGCGCGGGTAAGCGCGAACATGTAGGGCTCGGCGATGAACTTGATCGGCACGGGGATGCCGTACTCCCAGGCGCGGAGGGACTTGTCGTCGGAGGTGGAGATGAAGCGGCGGTTTTCGTCGACGAAGGTGATGGTGTTGATGGCGGCAAGATGGTGGTCGTATTCCTGCACCAGCTCGCCGGACCGCGTGTCGAACTGCACAATCTTCTTGTCCGACATACCGGCCAGGAACTCGTGCGAGAGCTCCGGGTTGGGGTTGAACCGCACGACGTGCGGCGTCTTGCCAGTCGAGAACCGGCCCAGACACTTTCCGTACTCGGTGTCCCACAGCTTGATCTGGCGGTCGTACGAGGCCGTGAGGAAGGTGGTGCCGGAAGGGTGAAAGTCGGCGTCGGTGATGGCCTTGGAATGGCCGGAGAAGGTGCGCAGCAGCTCGCGCGAGTGGTAGACGTCCCAGATCTTGGCCTTGCCGTCGGCCGCAGCAGACAACAGCAGGTGACCGGAGGAAGGGAAGAAGCGCAGCGCGGTGATGGGCTTGGTGTGGGATTTCCAAGTGTGGATGAGTTTCTTGGGAATGAAGTTCTTGATGCTGCCGACTTCTTTCTTGAGGTCGACGTCGAGGTCCTGCGGGACGTGCATGTACGTGCGACCCATGTAGTCGAACTGCTCGGAGCCGTGGAACTCGGTCGTCTCCGTCTGCGACGCATCGTCCTGGTAGTCGGTGGCTTGCTTGCTCATCGCGGGCATGTGTGCTGCCGCTGATTCCTCCTCTTCTTCCTCAACGTACTCCTCGTCGCTGGCGAGCTCGTGGTCTTCGTCGGCAGCTTCCTGCTCGTACAGACGGTCGTCATCCTGGTACTTTGCCCATGGGCCGAGGTATGCGCCCGCCCCTTCGACAATGCTGGGGTCGCCCTTCTTTTGTCGCTTGGCCCGCAGCGCGGCGGAGACCTCCTTGGAGGGCTTCATCTGCACGATGTCGCGACCGCCGAACTGCGCCGCATTCTCGAGGTTACCAACGAACTGGCCCGGGAGGGTCGGGTTGCGAGTGTATCCGAGACTCTGGAACGTGCGGTGCTGCGCGGCGAAGGTGGCTTCACTGATGGCGGCTTCTTCGGCGTAGCCCGTGGGTACGTTTTTGCGTTTGAGCCCGTTGGCAGGACCGTCGGGCTTGAAAGGGTTTGCGGGGCCTTGTGTCGGACGGGAGAGATCATCGTATGTGGCGTTGTAGGTGAGGGCACCAGAAGAGGTGTTGGCGAGCATCATCTGCATATGCGCTTGATCCTGTAGGGTCATTAGATATCTCTGTCCATGACGGTCTGGAGGAAAGGGGCGGTAGAGTGGCCGGGGACAAGCCAGTCTGGGGACCAAACCTCTGTATTCACTTCCGGCGCAGCGACAACCTTGGTCGCGGGAAGTTGTGTCTTAGGGGCATTGGAGTCATCATCGCTGGATTCATATCCAGCACCTAATAGAGAGGCCATGATGAAGTGGTCCGGACGAGATGTGAGAGAAGGATGTGAGAGAGATGAAGATGGAGACTCCAGAAGTTTGGATATTTTACGGGCGGCGGAACACACCCGTGACGAAGAAGCTACCACCATGCACTTTCCAAAGAACCGGCCATACCTCCATGGTGATAAGGTGTTGATTATTCGAGACCATTAGTACGTTCAAAATATTATGTCCTACTGCTACTGACCCAAGGGTATCGTACGCTCTTCATTTCGCACCGCTAGGAGGTATATACAGCACACATCAAAAAAGACATTAACACGGGAATTAGAACGCAACAAAGCAATACAGTAAACACGGCATGTCAGAGATCCTGGTCGTCGTAACTCGGTTCATTCCCCTTCATGCGTAAAACCCAAAACATGCATCCCCCGCTCTATATCATCCCCGCAACCCAGCAGTTGGGGCGTGGACTTGACGCAGTTTCATAGATCGTCACTCCTCGAATTCCTTCTGAAGAGACTAGCGGAACAGCAAGCCCTACCCCAAAAGCGATCGAAGTTATTAAAACACCCGATGGAGGCAATTTCGTTTCTTCTCTCCGCCACCGGTGCAACAGGAACAAGGCACGTGATCCATCAGCCAGGACGGCCATTGCGCATCGCGTGTTCGGTCTTGTCGCGCAGTCAGTGGGACTCGTCGCGGATGAGGGCGACAATCATGCTGTAGAGGTAGAAGAAAAACATCAAGAGGTGGAAGCCCAGCTTGATGAAAGATTCCTATTGGATCGAGTCAGCGTTCCGCCCGCGGGGGGAAATGACGTAAAGATCGAGCAGTTCCCCATACCTTCTTGTGCACATTCAGCTTGCGGAAGATCTCGGTAGCATCCAGGAGGTGCTGGTTGTCGTAAATCCTAAACATAGTTGTTCGATTAGCGACGGTTCCTGATGACAGGCCGGGGTCGTGTCTGGACCCTTCGAGGCTAAGGGTGCGGGAGGTGGAAAAACGCACTTCTTGGCATTGAACGCCAACAGAGGCAGGTTGAGGATGATCGCCAGCCAGTAGCCATTGATGAGGAACAGTAGGGTCAGGAAAGCGTGAACGGCGGCCTCGGGCACGATGTAGGCGTTGAGACGGTTGCAGAGATCGATGGGGTTGATGTAATCACTACGGAAGACAGAAGTTAGCTGGGGTTGTTCTGTCGCGACTGTGCGAGGAGAGACCGGGTGGGGGATCGCGGGAGGCCAACTCCGATGACGGAGAGAAACATACCATTCCAGATCACTATACATGATGGTGAAGAACACCTGCAGGAAGAGGTTGACGGCGTTGATCAACACCGCCAACAGGTAGAGCCAGGCCTCACCGGACATGTTGGGCGAGAGAGAGGGCGAGAGAGGGGAAGAGACAAGGTGAGCACGAGGAAGAGAGACTCGAGAAAGAGGAGAGAGGAGAGAGGAGAAGCAGACGGGGGGCCGGGGGTGGAGGAGGACAACGGAGCAGGAGGAGGGAGAGAAGTTGGAGAAAGTGAGGAGGCTTTCCACTTCGCTTGATTGGCGGGGGCGGTGAGCAGTAGTAGCGGGAGGAAGGTAGTCAGTCGTAAGGTAGATCGTCCACGGTATCCCACTCCCAGAGAACTTCTTTTCTGTCGGAAGTCTCTGTCAGATACTCTGTGGTGTAGAGTGATCGTCTGAACCAAGTTCTCCCTCGCAATCGGCTCTATCGCAGCGTTCTGGTGTGTCTTGCTCTTGCCAGCGGAGTGTCCAGCCACCGGGACTCGGACTCCACTCTTCGTCGTCGGGGGTGGAAGTCGATCGAATCGAGGCGGAAATAGTGCGGACCGACAGAGCGACTAGAGAATCGAGAAGACCTTTCTTCGTTTGGGAAGCAAGATAGATTCGATGTGGTGTCGAGGTGCAGCGAGAGTGTCTGTTGTCGCATTCCGTTGCAGGGACTTGTGATGGTCATGGGTGATGACGTTGACGACCACGTGCCTGCTACAGTACCTCCAGGTACCCAAGGTAGGTAGAGAGAGGTACAATGTGCGATATCCAGCAGTCTACTCCGTAGGTATATTCCTTCTTACATGATCACGACCCTAACAGTAAAGATTCAGACTCCGGTCTCATAGACGCCAAAAACCCCCATCACAATAACATAGACAGATTGTCTATCCTCATCACCGCTTCTCAATCAACAACACATGCATCGCCGCATACGCAATCACGATAAATGCCCCCGAGATCACCGCCAATCCGATAACGTCCGTCCACAGCGCCTGCGTGTTGAATCCAAACGCACTCAGAATCGACGCTCCCGGAACCTCAATATCCAGCCCGTACTTGTGATCAATCAGCGTCAGATAGGTTACTTCGTTTACGATCAGGGCCTCGAATCCATAATGGAAGATCGACAGCTAAGCCACAACGATTAGTATCCACGTAGTATCACAACCTCAAGGAAGGCTCACCGTCTGTAACCACAGAGCAGACTTAGGGATCGCATCGTGGTTGAGTAGGAGGCCCGCAAACAACAAACTGAACAGCATCACCAGACTGCCGATCAAGTTGGCCACCCCGCCATCTCGGAAAACGATGCCGATAAAGAGGCAAATGTTCGCAGCCGCGAGGTTGAACAGAACTAGGACCAAGATGAAGCGGAAAAACTCGCCCCATGCAGGGATCAAGCCCGTCATCGGGTACACAATCACACCCATGATGATGGGAGGGATCAGACGGAGGGGAACAATATCAAACACCACCTTGGACGCAAAGTAGGTCACAGGATGGTAATATCCGTTCGCCCGCTCGCGCACAAATAGTAGTCGCTCCCCGCTGAAAACCGTCAGACTGGTAAGTGTACTAAATCCAAACAGCGCCAGGATGAAGAAGAACAGTCCCAGTCGGTTCTGGAAGCCCTTAATATCATCCGTTAGTCCGTAGAATAAGAATCCACACAGGACAGCGAGAAGGATCGCAATCGCATAGTGCGTCAGCATCAGCATGGGGTTTCGGTAGAGGTTTCGCCATGTTCGCTGGGATAAGATGATGAACTGCCGGAGGAGCCCCACTCGGGCATGGCCCTTGGAAGTAGGTCCTTGCGTTCCAGCAATAATCTCCTCATTGGCCGACCCGTTCGCCGCTTGCGCGCTTTGCACGGCGCTCATAATTTCATCATGGACAGACCGAGCAACATCTGACGCGGCGTAATTGGCGATCAAAATATCAAGATCACTCTGGCCGGGAGCAGCCGGAGGCAGCTCGTCGGGGTCATCCAGGATCTGCGGAGGAACATTGCCTTGTTGCCGGGCCAAACGCAGCCAGCGTCGGGTGTTGTCCGCTACTTCGTTTGCAGGGGCATCCTCGTCATCAGTCTTTGGGGTGGGTGGAGTCTCGGGGTCTTTCTTCCGCGTGTAGAGCTGCCGATCCTGTCGTTGCTTCAGCGAAATCCGTCGGCTCGTCTTTGGCCGCCGGTTGGCTTCCACAGTACTGCTGGAATTATCTTCCGTGCTCACATTCGACACGCTAGCCACGGACTTGACGGCTCGTAAACTGCTCGAGGCAGTCTTGGGTGGATCCGTCCGGACATCTAGTAGGTTAGGCCGTACCTCGTCGCTGTACGGCTGGGAAGCACTGGCGTGCATGGTCAGATCTACGAGATAGTCCGCGATGTTGAAACCAGGAGGGCAACTGTATCCAGACGCATCGAAGAAGTCCTGGCAGGTCGAGAAGGGCCCTGAGTACACGGTCCTTCCTTGAGCCAGGAGAACCAAGCGGTCAAACAACGCGACGATGTTGGATCGTGGTTGATGGATGGTAAAGATAACGGTCCGATTATAGGTCTTCGCCAGCGTTACCAAGCACTCCACGACATTGAATGCATTGAATGCGTCCTGCATGTGTCAGTAACTGAAGACTCCATATTACGGAATAATGCCTGAACTTACCAGTCCGCTAGTGGGTTCGTCGAGGAAGAGAATACTCGGGCTCGTGACCAGCTCGCAGGCGATTCCCACTCGACGCTTTTCGCCCCCAGAGATGCCCCGACCTCTGCCTTCTTCCGAGCCGATCAGCTGGTTTCGGATCTGATAGATACCAAGCTGTTTTTCCACCTCGATTACGCGCTGTTCCTTTGCCGCCCGACTCATATCCCGGGGTAGGCGTAATAGCGCACTGGTCAGGATGGTCTCATGCACGGTCAGGGTAGGAAGCATGGTGTCTTCCTGATCCACAAATCCAATCATGGTCTTGAAATCATTGTCATTGAGTTTCTCTCCGTTGACGTAGAAGTCTCCATGAATAGCCCCCCGCTTGTTCTTTCGCGCAAGGATGTCAAGGAAGCTCGTCTTTCCGGCACCCGATGCACCCATAATGGCAGTTATCTCACCAGGTTGGGCGGCACCGTGGAGGTCATATAGAATTGGCTTTCCGTTGAGGTGATATGAAACATTGTCCCAGTATAAGGCAGCTGGTCTGTGCTCGGCCATGAGTTTGGAGGCTTCATCATCAGAGTCATCAGAGAGTGGCAGTTGAATGCGTCCGCGGTAAGCTCTGCGAGAGAGATACCACACCACCAGAATGACTGCGACGATAAAAAGTGCACAGCCAGCGATCACACCGGCAATGAGAGGCGTATTGATCTGTTTGACGGGGCGCGTGTATCCTGGGACATCGGTTTTATATAAACACTCTCCCGCGTCGCATTGCAGGAAGATACTTGGGTCTCCGAAGATGCTCTGGATGAGGTCATTCATCGCAGGCTCCGAGAAGACGCTTCCATCAGATTTGCTGCCGCCCAATGTAGACACCGTGTAGAAGGAGGCTGGCCCCTTGATGGATTGCTCGAGGAAGTCTCCGATATCAACGGAGCCGGACTCTCCACACAGCATACGGTCTGGAATGCATTTGCACTGGATGTTATCACACTTGTAGTTAGTTTTATTTTGGGTGTTGCTGGTTTCCAGACTCCAGTCGCAGGTGTCTAGGCCACAGTAAAACGACTCCCGCTGGTCGACCCAGAACTGGAAGTTACAGGTGTGGTCTTCCGCCTCGCAAGAGAAGGTAACTTGGGGTTTCCGTCCATCCAGCTGCTTCAAAATCATGCGATTCGTCACATCGCACATTTGAAAGTTCTCCTTGACTGTGACGCCTTGCTTGTAGCAGACACCCCCCTCGCCTTCGGGCATCATCGCGTTACAGGCATTATCAGTTTCGCACACATTGCAATTGATTCCAGTCCAGCCCTCGTGGCATTGACACGTCTTATCGTCTCGAGGGGACCTCTCATGGCCGTCCGCCAGGGACCCGCAGAGCGGTTTGGCACAGTCATCACCGCCGAAGCCAGGAGGACAGACGCATTTTCCTGTAAACTTGTCGCAAGCTGCAAACTGGGCGCACTGGAAGGAGTCGAGCTGACAGTTGAAACAAGGTGGGCACTCCGGAGGACGGTCGTCTAGGGACGAAAAGAGCGGGGGGATAACGTCGGATTCGGAGTAGTTGCCGAACGCCGATGTGGACACCGATAGAGTGAGGGCGGTCGCTAGGGAGAGCCGTAGAGTAGTTCCTAACCGCATTCTGATGGTAGGGAGGCCACAGATGACCAGATAGCTCTTGGATGGAGCTGGGTAGGGAGAACCAAATGAACCGGATAGATTAGGAGGCGGTAGGAGGGAACATTGGATATGCTGGAGATGGAGGTGTGGTTAATGATGCGAGACACCGCTCATGAGAAAAAAACATAAATAAGATACAACAGTAGTGCAATGAAAGCAGAAGATGAAGAAACGAGACGAAAGACGAAGGAACAGTGTGGCAGGGAGGAGAGGATGAGAGAACCGGAGGGAGCACGTAGTCGTAGTAGTGGTCAAGAGGAGTGGAGAAGAGAACACGGGAAGAGCTCCGGGACGATGACGCACTGGTGCCTGGATGCCTGGGGCAGCAGTCTACTTCATTGCCTGCATAAGAGACCGCATGGTGCAGTATGCAGGGGTTCTCAGTCTCTCCTTATCGACGCAGTTTACTCTACATCACGCCCCCCCAAAAAGGCATTGATCTTTGAACGAGACATGGACGACCTCGCATCATGTCATCCTGCCCCGTTGATCCTGTTTGGGAATAGCTTCAGTTAGTCTCACGTGACTACGCCTTCCCCATCACCACCCACCCAGAAGAGCGCAGAATCGCGGGGAATGGTTCTCCCACCCTCACAACTACCTAGTGTTCTCGGCTCTGTATCCCTGTAGAGGTTCGACTTGCAGTCATCATGGTCCAAATCAAAGACTTCGCCGTTGAGCAGGTGTGTCCCTTCGACTTCCCTCGTCCATGTACCAGCTCCCCCGCATTTTGCCTGCAATTCACGTGCATTCCATTTGCTAATCCCGCAATTCTCTCCTCGTGCGCAGTGGATGGACAAATATGAAACTCAGGCCAAGTACAATGTCGCTGAGACTTGCTGTGCCTCGATCTCTGTCGCCGACCTCCAGGATTTATGCGAGGATAAATCCTTGAATCCATTGGATCTCTCCACCAAGCTCACATACGGTGCAATTCGGGGTTCGGAGCAACTACGTAGCACGCTAGCTAACCTCTACTCCGTCAGAACTCCTTCTCCTCTGCCCGCAGATAATGTCTTGGTCACATCCGGGGCTATTCAAGCCAACTTTCTCGCCCTGTATGCGCTGGTTGGACCCGGGGATCATGTCATATGTCACTACCCCACATATCAACAGCTCTATTCCGTCCCGGATTCACTGGGCGCGGAAGTGAGCCTGTGGAAGGCGAAGGAAGAGGATGGGTGGAAATTGGATGTCAATGAGTTGAAAGAACTCATCCGACCCAATACCAAGCTGATCATTCTCAAGTACGTCGGCTCTTCTCCTTGATTACAGTTGTCGATAGACACTGATACCTCTCCCTTCTCATAGTAACCCGCAAAATCCCACGGGAGCGATCATTCCCCAAGCAAAACTCGAGGAAATCGTGGACATGGCGCGCGAATCGTCTATCGCCATTCTTTCCGACGAAGTATACCGGCCGTTGTTCCACTCAATTAGCCCGATGGACCCCGAGTTCCCCTCCTCCCTTTTGTCTCTTGGATACGAGCATACGATCGCGACGGGTTCGATGTCGAAAGCATACAGTCTGGCGGGAATTCGAATTGGTTGGATTGCCTCAAGGGATGGTTCGGTGATTGAGAAGATCGCTGCGGCACGAGATTACACAACTATCTCGGTCAGTCAGTTGGATGATGCCATCGCCAGTTACGCGCTGGCACCGACGTGCATTCACCCGCTCTTGGGACGGAACATCGCTTTAGCAAAGAAGAACGTGGAGATACTGGAGAAGTTTATAGAGGCGCATCGGTGGGCATGTTCCTGGGTGAAGCCCCGTGCGGGCACGACAGCATTTGTCCGGTTTAGCAAGATGGGAAAGCCGGTCGATGATGTTGTGTTCTGCCAGTCGGTGTTGGAAAAGACAGGGGTAATGTTGGTGCCTGGAAGTCTGTGCTTTGGAGAGGGAGAAGAATTTCGAGGCTACGTTCGCGTTGGGTTTGTCCAGGAGACAGAAGTCTTGGAGAAGGCCTTGGAGGCGCTGGGGTCATTCCTGGAGGACGAGTACGACGAGGTGCCCGTGGTAAAGAAGAAGAAATAGAGTGGTGGGTAGTGTTGTTAGTGTTGACCGGGTTGTGGTACAGGACGGGAGTTGGGGGAAATACCGAGGAACGGCATACCATGTGACGAGTAGAGTTGTGCGACCTCCACTATGCGTTTGATGTATACCATTTATGCCTTTCTACTTCACGATATCTTCAGTCTCCTCCTAGTCAACTACTACGGCATTCTTGTTTACACAGATCCCAGTGGATCTACTGTTGAATGGATATCCTCCGTCTCCACTATGGATCGCCTTCTCTCTCCAAGTCCGGTAGCATCTCCACACCGAACGGGTCCCGAGCGAGCCGGCGCAAAAGAACCGAGGCATCTGTCATTCCATCACCTATCTCCGTTCCCCTTCTCAGCACCACACCATCTCTTCTCTTCTATTCGTCTTCGCGTTCTGGGTTATTTTAATCTTCCTCTCACTCCTTTGATGACGGTTTTTCTCGTTATCTGCGCTCACCACCTCTCTCTACTCCTGATTCTCGCCTTCATTTTCCCCTAACTGTCTACCTTGGGACCAACGTCATCACCAAACCCCATCCTTGTCCTCCAGAATGGTGCCGGTTCCTTCTTTACCAGGTATGTCAACAACTTCTATGAATGAGTTCCCTTCAGGCATAGATGTAGTACTAACCATAAGCCTTCTCCTTAGACGTCCCCCTATCTATCGCCGCCCCCGCCGTCGCCACCACTTTAGCTTATCTCAATGCCAAATACTCCCTTTTTTATGATGTTAAGCTCATCGGTGGCCTTATCAAGACCGTTTTTCGGTCCCGCATGGCTATGCGCCGCGACACCTTGAACCTGTTCTACACACTGGAAGAGCGAGCCAAAGCCCCAGCGACACAGAATCTCCCCTTCCTCACATATAATGGCCGCGCTTGGACATTCCTCGAGACCTACCAGCTCGCCCTTCGGTATGGCACTTGGTTCAAGAGAGTCCACCATATCAAACCCAAGGACATTGTCGCACTTGACTTCATGAATTCCTCCACCTACCTCATTGTCGTTTTCGGTCTCTGGAGCATCGGCGCTGTCCCCGCCCTGATCAACTACAATCTCACCGGAAAGCCACTGTCACACTCTATCCAGACCTCGACCGCTCGAGTACTCCTGGTCGACGAAGAGGTGCGCCCGAATTTCACACCGGAGCTAATGGCGACGATGACTGCTCCGGATTTCCGTGAAGGCCAAGGTCCGGTTGAGATTGTCTTCCACACCGCCGACATTGAAGCCCAGGTGATGCAGACAGAGCCCAATCGTGAAGATGACAAGGCTCGGGGTGGTTTGATCTTGCGCGACATGGCTTTACTGATCTACACCAGCGGGACTACCGGACTGCCCAAGCCCGCGATTGTCAGCTGGTGGAAAGTTTGGGCCGGTGGACTGTTCATCACCAACTGGCTCGAATTTTCCAAGAACGATCGCGTTTTTACTGTACGCTCACTTCTACTGATTTGATTCTTGAGACGTAATAGAGCTAACAGAACTAGTGCATGCCACTCTACCATTCGTCGGCATTTGTGCTCGGCTTCGTCGCATGTCTGATGGGCTCAGCAAACCTAGTCATTGGCCGAAAGTTCTCTGCGCGGAACTTTTGGCGCGAGGCGCGCGAGAACGACGCGACAGTCGTTCAGTATGTTGGTGAGACTCTGCGGTACCTTATGGCTGTTCCGCCAGCCGTCGATGCCACTACCGGGGAGGATCTGGATAAGAAGCACAATATCCGTCTGGTGTACGGCAATGGATTGCGACCGGACATCTGGAACCGATTCAAGGAGCGTTTCAACATCCCTACGATTGCCGAGTTCTACGCCGCTACGGAGGGAACCTCAGGATCCTGGAATCTCTCATCGAATGATTTCGCCGCTGGAGCAATCGGCCGCAACGGCGGTCTTTCCAGACTGATCATGGGCGGCGGCATCAAAGTCGTCGAGGTCGACCACGAGACCCAGCAGCCCTGGCGTGATCCCCAGACGGGATTCTGCAAGGTGGTTCCCCGTGGTGAGCCTGGGGAACTTCTCTACGCCATCAACCCCACCGACCCGTCCGAGAACTTCCAGGGATACTATAAAAACTCCAAGGCCACAGAGGGCAAGATCATTCGCGATGTCCTCCGCAAGGGCGACGCATTCTTCCGCACAGGTGACATCATCCGATGGGACAACGAGGGCCGCTGGTACTTCAACGACCGTATCGGCGACACCTTCCGATGGAAGAGCGAGAACGTGTCCACCAGCGAGGTGGCCGAGGTGCTGGGCACTCATCCGGACGTGCACGAGGCCAACGTGTACGGTGTGGCGTTGCCCAACCACGACGGACGTGCCGGCTGCGCCGCCGTGATTCTGGAGCAGCAGCACCACGCTGAGAACCCGTCTGTGCTGGTGCCACCTTCCCAGGCGACACTTGATGGGCTCGCTGCCCACGTCCTTAAGAACCTCCCCCGCTTTGCTGCGCCGCTGTTCCTCCGATTCACCCCGGAGATGCAAGGCACGGGTAACAACAAGCAGCAGAAACACGTGCTGCGCACTGAGGGCGTCGATCCTTCACTGGTTAGCGCCGCTGACAGGGTGTACTGGTTGCAGGGTGACAAATATGTCCCGTTCGAACCGAAAGACTGGAGCAGACTGCAGGGTGGACAGGTGAGGCTGTAAGCGTTGTTGTGGTCGTAGCGTCAATAGTGAAGTTCATGTTTATATCCGACGACCCTGATACCCCTGTGCTTTCCTGCAGACTCACATGGGCCCTTGGTATATATGTTAATGCCCATGATCTACATTCCGCCGAATGGAAGTAACTAACAGGCACCTGATGCGTAGCGGCCCGGCCCGTAGAAGTTAGATTTAGTCTTAGCACATTATACATTATCTAGGTCTTGGAACACGAAGAGAGTCGACCTTCACCGTCCCACGACACGCAACTCCACAATGCGAAGCGGTGGATACACGACCGCCGCAAAGCCAAACGCCAGCCACATACCGAGATCTGCCGGCATAGCGAGGGTCTTCGGAATAGGACCGACGAAATACGACTGAGACTACAGGACGTCAGTGCATAGACTCCCACATCCCTGACCGGAGCATCACGTACCATTCCCAAAACCGCCCCCAAACATCCAATCACCAAACTCATCCCTGCTGCCAGGCCCATCGGCAGCTTATGCGCGGTATTCCATATGGACCAGTCATAGTCACCCTTCCGACGGAAGATGCACGCCTCCTCCAGACAAACAGCCAGCCACACAGCGATCCAGTAGCTCATCAGCGGGAGGAACGCCTCCATGATCTCGCGGAGGTAGTCTCTCGCCACGACCGCGCAGACGGTGCACACGATGACCTCGACGGTGGTGAGGAGCGGGCGCGGGACGCGGGGCCCGTAGCGGCCGAGGATCATCTGGAGGTTGAGGCCGGCGGAGTACGTGCAGGGGATGTTATTGGAGACGGCGCTGAGAAGGAGCATGACGGCGCAGAGGCGGCCGAAGCCGTTGAGCGTGGAGAAGGCTACGGTCAGCAGGCTGCCCTGCGAGGTAAGCGAGGCGTCCATCCAGTTTCCGTTGGAGGAGACGCCGGTTGCGAGGCCGATGCCGAGGAGGGTGGTTAGGATCATTGCGAGACTCATGGCCGCGGAAGCGGAAAGGAAGACGCGCCCTGGATTAAGGGCCGGGGAGAGGTAGACGAAGTAGTCTGCGCTTGAGGGTGCCCATGTGACGGCGGAGGCGACGCAGAGGGAAAAGAAGGAGAGGCGTTGGGAGGCGGTTGCTGGTTGGATGGAGATGTCTGGGGACGGAGTGGACGATGTGTCGAAGCTGGGGCCTGCGCAGCCGATCATGATGGAGAGGATGGAGAGTTGGAGGATCCAGGCGTATCTGTTGGGTCGTGAGATTCAGCATGGGAATGTGGGCGCGCATAGATTGGGTGGAATGGAGATATGTACCTGGTGTACACGTGGAACACATGCATGCCCACGGTTGCGATGAACCAGGTCAGGACGGAGACGACGATAATGCCCACTGAAACCCCTGTGTGGCCTCCGGAGACAGTGAAGATAATCTGTCCTCCAAGAATGCCGTTCACCATCGCGTATCCAAGCATCGTCAATGTGTTCAACACGTAGAATACTTTGCTCGGGTAGTATCCCAAGAAGTATCTCGTGACGACCTGTAGACGTCAATCTAACTGTCCCATATAGATTCCGCTCGGATCACTTACCAGTGTACGATTCCCACTCTTGGGGCCCCATGTGCTCATATAGCCGGTGGCCATGCTCCCGATAATGGCCCCGAATACACCACAGACGACGGCCTGCGTCCAGTCCAGGTTGTAGAATGAAGGGCCATACATGCCCACGATCATGTTGTTCGCTGTCAAGGATGAGCTTAGCCATAGCTGGAATATTCGAGCGTAGCTGTCCGGCGTAGCGGGCTGTCGCTGATCTGCAGGGACCGGCTCGATCCCTCTGGTCTCTATCCCGGAGACTCTGATAAAGGTGTCTATGAATTTTTGCAACTTGCTTCGAGATAACGCTCTTCTGGACAACACTTCCTGTGTGTCGACCTTTGTTTTGACCACCTTTTGGCCATGTTGTAGGTCCTCGCCTTCCTCCAAATCGCTCATTGTCGGCAGTATGGCTTTGACGAAGACGGGGTATAAAGCGTGAATTTTCTACCTTACCCAGTTACTATATCCCTTGGAGGTCTCGGTCTTTTATACTATGATTCGCCATGTTTATTCGGCACCTCCGTGCAGGAGATGCATGGAAGGGATAGTCGTGGGTATCCGGTGCTGCCGGTGTGCAAAGTGAGCACCATGGAATATTGATGCCTAAGATTGTAGGCCAAGCAATCTGTAAGTGATCAGGATAGGTGCATTCTCATGTGTACAAGAATGAGGGCTAATGGAGCCTAGATCCAATACAACCGTGCGATCCCAGGTTGCTGCACAGTCCCTTGCTGGTATGTTGCACTGCAGGGAAGGAATGCCCAATCCCACGGTAGGAGTATTAGATCCATCGGGTCATGTTTCTATTGTTGATTTTTCCGAAAGTGGTGTCCCGGCAAGGACGTGAAATAATGAAACAGGTGGCTGATGGCTGGGCAAATGTTTGACGAAAATCGAGACCGTCAGATGATCCTGGCTGGTATGTGCCTGTGCATGCTAAACTGTATTCAGCCTTGGAGATAACATGCTAAGTAGGATGTGATTAAAATTGCCTCGTCCTCGCATGTCAGGCATAGTTATCGATTGTGTCGTGCAAGTAAAGTAGTTCTTGGTTGGGACGATCCGACGATCACAAACGCCTTATCACGGAGAAGCAAGGAGGCCATATTGTGATGCGCCACACTAAGCAGGAAGATAGTAAAACAAGGTATGGCCCGCCACATGCCGAAGTTGGCTCAGTTGAGTGGTCATTAAGATATCGCCGTCGAGATAGTACGATGCCCCTTCTGGCCGTCAATCACGGGTGCGCTGTTTCTTCGTCGGATGCATAGCCTGTCTTCTGAGATTCTCTGTTGAAGCCTCGCTTTTAAGGGTGTCTGATGGACAGACGAGACTTTGGTCCTCTGTCACAATGCATCTGGGGGGTCTGACGATGTGACAGTCCTGATGCACTCGACCAGAACGGACCACAGGTGATGTAATGCGAAGAAGCTCATGGAAATGGCTCAGGGTGGTCATCTGGCCTCATTCTCCTCTGCAGCAGTCCATGATAGACAATAAATGATGTGTTGATATGCGATCACACTTATAATAGTGGCCCAGCATACAGCCGACTTGAAAGAAGCCGAAGAAGCCGCATCGGCTACCTGCAGTCACAGCGTTGCTCAACAGGGCTTCGTAAGGTCGCGACTGTCGGAGAAATATCTCGAGAAATAATGACTCACGATGCTGACGTGACCAGTTTAACATCCTAAGATGCGTGAAGAAGAGTTGGTTGCGACGAGAGGATGTCCCGGAAAGGTTAGCACCTCGGCTACTTGGGATCTCCCCGTTCTCCACTCGTCGTACTTCCTGCCCTCACTACTGCTATAAATTCTCCCATTGAACCTCATCGGGGTGTTGATGGTTGTCAAAATCATCTCGGCATAATGTCGATCCATACATCCGCTCGTTGGGCCATGCGATCTGTCCCTCCGCTGACGCAGGGATGCGCTGCACTTCGCCGCTTTTCCGTCCAGCATTCATGCCGATCAGCACCTGAAGCTACCGCTCCCTCCGTTGCAGCTTCCTTCCTTTCGCGATTCCAATCTATGGGACCACAGACTCGCTCGCAGGTACTCGATGCCAACCAGCTACAGCTTCTATCTCTCACCTTGAACCGACCCTCTCTTTACCCGAACTCTCCATCGCTGTCGAATGCCTCTGGTGTCGTGCCGACAGGTACGCCCTTGCCCCCCGCCTACCATCTAGTCTACTTCACCCCTGCATTCCTGGAGGGTGAGCTGGGTGCCGACGGAACCGATGTCTCTTATAACCCAGAGCCGCCCTTCACGAGGCGCATGTGGGCCGGCGGTGAAGTTCAATGGCCTCGAGGGGCAGACGGAAAGCCCAACCCATTGCGTGTCGGGCAGGAGGTTCAGGAAACCACGCGGGTGCTCAGTGCGGAGCCTAAGATCATTCGTAAGACTGGAGACGAAATGATTGTCGTGAGTGTAGAGAAAGAGTTCCGTAATGAACACGGCGTGGCTGTTATCGATCGTCGGTAGGTTTTACGCATACCTCATGTACGTCAAGTTACATTGTACGGCTAATCAATTATGGTCAGAAACTGGGTTTTCCGCAAAGCCTTGGCTTTGGCATCATCACCGGTTTCAGCTTCTCCAATCTCTGTTCACTTACCCGCATTGCCCGCATCTTGCTCTACCTCCACCGTGGGAAAGACTCACACTCGCACTCTCAGGCAAACAGCCGTCACTCTCTTCCGCTTCTCAGCCTTAACTTTCAATCCCCACAAAATTCATTACTCCACTCCGTGGGCTAGGGATGTGGAAGGCCACAAGGATATTGTCGTTCACGGCCCCCTAAATCTGATCTCGATTCTGGATTTGTGGAGAGATACCCGGGCGGATAGCGCCACCGACTCATCCTTATTGCTCCCAGAGAGTATCTCTTATCGCGCCACCAGCCCGCTGTATGCCGAAGAAACGTATCGGATCGTGCTTGATGAGGAGCAGGGTGACGGTGTGAGCCGAGTACAGATCTTCACGCCGGATGAGAAGGTGGCCATGAAGGCTGAGATCAGATGAACCAATAGACATAACTCGACGCTTGGATTTTCTGTATATATGGTCAGACGACACGAAATACATCGTTTTCCTCGGCTCGACTTACAGACTAGACTTCAGCTGCTGCCAGATGCTGGCCGAGGGGCTCTGAGCTTAAGTTCTTATACTTCATGTCGAGTACGTCTTGTTTTTCATTTGGACCAGACACTAACTCCAGATATGGGTGGAAATATACTAACCGATGCTATTCTTGCCTCCGCCCCAATAACATTTCTCTGGATAGGAAATGGACCTTAAAAGGAAGATCAGTCTGTCGGTGCTTTTAGGACTGGGTTCCCCGTATGTCGATGCCTTGAATTTTGAGCTAAAACGTTTTTGGTAAAACTTGATGTTGGATCACGAAGTACTACATCAATAGACCCTTTCAGTTCACTATATATCTTCAGGAGCTAGCAAGGGTTGTTGGCTCGATACCTGAAGAGTTACGGACTACACTGTGTTTCTTTCCCTGGATGGACGCGACCATCAGTTGATATGAGACAGTGCTTGATTATCTTACTTTTCCTGATTTTTTCGACTGTCCCTGTGTATTTAGGAGCCAATGCCTAGGTTTCGTGTCATTCATAGATATAGGTTTTGTGTGGTAATGAATGATTGCCCCTGTTATAGGACGTGTGTGAGGGGAATATATATCACACGAGAATCTTTGGGACACCGAAGAGTTACAAATCTAATTATGCTACCTAGTAGCTATAGATCTAGTCTAGTAATGAGTGCTTACTTTGAAGACCTACATGGCGTAGTCCAGTCTGATACTGTGTGGGAGACTTCGTCCGGACTTAGTAGCGGAGATAATCAACCCAGACCGAAGTCTCGTATATGAATCTCACCTGATCTCACCCTTTGTCTTTTCTCCCAATCCCGCCTCCTTCAAGACATATCATAACAGCCGAAGCGCAGACTGAAAATGGCAGACACGACCAGTGGCGCTGTACTTTCTCCCAAAGAAAAGAAGAGGACCAGAGTCCAGCTCTCCTGCACCGCTTGTAGAAGCCGAAAGTAAGCACACCCCGCTCGTGGCTCCCTGTCTGGCCTCATCGCCTCTAACGCATCATCACCTTAGGTTACGATGCTGCCGAACTCATCCATGCACCAATTGCATCAAGAGAGATGAAGCCCACTCCTGCACCTTCGTGGGCCGCGGGCCAAAAGGGAAGACGGCACAAGGACAGACCAGTCCGGCCTTGATTCAAGAGCGTGTGCAGCATCTGGAGAACTTGATTCTCTCGCTCGTGCAGAAAAATCAACAGGCGCCAAATCAGAACACGACACCGACGACTCCGAGTGTGGGTGCTACTCGTGAACAGAGTAACGTTTCGTCACAAGGTTCAAGACGAGGCTCAAGACAACCGCCCTCAGTGACACCTCCAACTACTGTTTCCGATGCAGAATATACGCCGCTTGACCCGCCAAGTAAACTGGTAGTGGGCGAAACGGGTGAAAGCTATATCGACAGCGCCCACTGGAGTTCAATTCTCGAGGAGGTGAGCAATTCTACGGTTGGCGAAGGTCAGAACCCTACTGACTAGAAACGAAAGATCAATGGGGTCAAGAAGTATCTGCAAGAAGACGATATAGTATCAGAAGAGGATGTAGTTGATGAGGAAGCTCCTGATACCCACGATGTCTCGCCAACCTTGCTCCTTGGGTGGAACAAACCCGCCACTATTGAAGAGCTGTTGTCGGATGTCCCACCACGACAGGTGACTGATCGGCTAATATATCAATTTATAAATCTGAGTGAGCCTATCATAGGTCAGTGATATTCTAACCGTGTGCAACATACATTGGCTGACCTAAAATGAAGCCATTTTCCACATCCCCACGTTCAGACAGCAGGTAAGGAATTATGATCTCGATTGCGTACAGAGTTTTGACCTTTTTTAGTATACGGAGTTTTGGTCAGACCCTACCAAAGTGTCCCTCCCGTTTCTTGCGCTGCTATACGGGGCCATAACAATTGTAGTGTTATCCTACTTCCGTAAGGGAGAGCCACTTCCAGCATATCTGAGCGACTATCCCGACACTATCAACACAATGCGACGGCGGGCTGCTCAGTGCCTGGTCCAATCAAACTACACCATCCCAGGTGAACACAAAGTCAAAGCGCTGTTTATATATACCATGGGCGAGTTCTACAGGAGCAATGATGCCCAAGTCAGTGTCTCGTTCCTTCTTGGCCTCACCATCAAGCTCGCAATGCGTTCCGGCTATCATCGTGATCCACGCCACTTCCCGGAAATCTCACCATTTACCGGAGAAATGAGACGACGACTGTGGGCGTCACTGAGACAGTTGGATACGCTCGTTTCATTCCAGGTCGGTGTTCCCCGGACAATCCAGGACTGGCAGCAAGACGTGGAACTCCCGCGCAACCTGTCAGACGAGGACTTCGGCGAAGACACGCAGGAACTCCCACCCTCGCGCCCAGAGACAGAAATGACGCGCCTGTTGTACACCAGAGCCAAGGGGAGGGTCATGGATGTATTTGGCAAGATATCCGATATTGCGTTTTCGCGGGAGCCCATAACGTATGAAGAAACTCTTGAACTCGATCGACAACTGGAAGAAGCGCACGACCAGTTCCCGCAAGCGTTTCGCATTCGACCGATCGAAGAGTCGATAATGGATCCCCCAGAGCTTATCTTGCAGCGCTTTACATTGGAGGTCCTTTATCAGAAGAGCCGCTGTGTGCTGCACCGGCGATTCCTCGGCGAAGTGCATAGTAACCGTTATGCATATTCCCGCTGGGCATGTCTGAGTGCATCGAAGGAAATCCTCAAGAACCAGGCGAATTTGTACAACGAGACCCAGCCTGGTGGAATATTGTACCGGGATCGCCTGTTTCCCAACTCCCTTCAGTACGCAGACTATGTTCTTGCTGCGATGATCATTTGCCTGGAGCTGTCGTATGGCAATGGCGGAGCCGAGAGGAGACCACCCAACGATATAGCCGTGGTTATCAAAGGACGCGAGGATCTTTTAAGCGTCCTGCAGGCTTCGCATGAGATCTTTGGGAAGTCGCGTCGACAGTCGGCCGATGCGCAGAAGGCATATGCTGCGTTGACGATCATGCTTCGTCGAGTTCAGAAGGGGCTGCAGGAACAGCAGCCTGAACAGCCTTCAAGTGACGCCCAAATGCAGGCGCCAGCTGGCACAGTACTTGGTAGGATCATGGCGACATTAATATCCGAATGGTATCAGGGATCACTGACAGTGACTAGACCCTCCTCCATACGGAAGCTGGCAAAACCCGAACGACCAGCCGTATACCCTCGATGCGACTGTGGAAAACGTTCCAACCCACATGGAATCAGTCGAGCCTTCCTTCGCATCTCTGGACGTGATCGAGGAGATGATAGACGCACCGACAAGCATAGACTGGGTAAGAGTATCACCTGAGGGAAAGTTGTAACACTAGCTGACTTCAATAGGGCCTTTGGGACCAGCAAATTCTGGGTTTATACGCAGAGCGGACGATGGATTCAGGGATACGGCCTGTCTAATATATGCATTGGGATAGTTCTAAAGAATGTAATAAAGAATAGTTTCAATCTCCGTACAGTGTAGGTACGGAGTATAGATCCTCGGCACGTCCCGAACTGGTTGGCGTCGATCCCGAATCCGCCGGAAGCAAAAAAGTCATTCTGATCACCTCGATGAATAAATTGACTGCTTTACCACCTCCAACCTGTTCACCCCCGTCATGAACCTCGCCGCCCCGCGACACCTCAGTCGCCAAACGCGCCGTCTAGCGCAGCGTCGCATTCTCCCGCAATCCGTTCACCTCCGACCAACACCGCGAACAACACCGTCCTCCCCGACTCTCCCTCCGAACCTCACCCCAATCCGACAATTCAACCTCCCATCTCTCTCCTCCCTCCTCCCATCCTCTCCCAACAACAACAATAACAACAGCAATGGCAACGGCTCCGGCCGCACCCTCACCGCGACCCGCACACTCGCCTACCCGCCCGCACCGCTCTTCGACGTGATCGCCTCAGTCGAATCCTACTCGCAATTCCTCCCCTTCCTAACCGAGTCGACCGTGACCGCGCGCGATCCGCAGACGGGGTATCCGTCGCGCGCGTTTCTGACGGTCGGCTACGGCCCCCTCAGCGAGACGTTCACGTCGCGGGTGGACTGCGACCGCGCCCGGTGGGTGGTCGAGGCGCGCAGCGGGGCGAAGTTCGGGGTCGATTCGAAAGACGGCCAGGATCCGAGCGGGTTTCCGGGCGCGAACGAGGGTATCTTTGAGTATCTGAGTACGAAGTGGGAGCTTGTGCCGCGCGGGGCGCAGACGGAGGTGCGGTTGCAGATCCGGTTTGAGTTTCGGAGTCAGTTTCATGCTATGATGATGAGTGCGGTCGAGGCGCAGATGGCTGGGGTTATGATTGAGGCGTTTGAGAAGAGGATTGAGCAGGTTGTGCGGAGGTAGACTTGCTACAGTCCGGGTACTGCGTTGTGTGCTGGGGAGTGTTGGTGTATATAGGAGTTAGGCCTGATTGGATTTGGCATCATGTATCATACATAGAAAGATGATAGAGGTTGTTTTCTTTTGTCTATCGTGCGATCAATCGCTGTACAATTAGACTCACATGAGAAGGAAATCCGGAACAGCCAAGAAACCATGTAGTATATAATACAATATCAAGACATGAATGATGAAATCACCACCGACCAGCCCATGCTATTCCGCAGCCACGCGATCTCTTCATAGCATGCTCAGACTGCGGTTACGGGTGGCCGCATTCCGCGCACCCTTCATCGAGCTCACCGCGTTGTAGTTGTCGAACACCGCCTCCCAGTTGATGCGATCCCACCACCGCTCGAGGTACTCGGCCTTTCCGCCGATACCGTAGTCCATCATCCACACGTGCTCCCAAGTGTTGACACAGAGAATGGGCTGGACGTCGACAGCGCCGGGGGCCAGGCTCTTCTGGTTGGCGGCGTGCGCGCCCATAGCGCCAGCAAACTGGTTGCCCAGGGGAGCGTCGGGCGAGTGAGTGGCCATGTCGACCGGCTGGCGGCGGGAGTGCGCGGCCGGGTAGGGCGAGCCGGCGTTGTAGGTGCAGAAGATGTGCATCAGGCCTTCCCGCTCAAGGTTCTTAGCCAGCCACACGAATCCCGGTCCAAACATGGCGTTGGCGGTGGCCAGGAAGTCGAGCTTCAGGGATTCGATAGAGGAGCAGGTGTCGACAATGTCTTTGGCGAACTTGTCCGGGATCTGGGTTTGCGTGGGGGACTATCCAGACGCAGTCAGAATTGAAGGATTCGCTGTCTATACAGCAACGGCACCACTCACCAGGCAGTTGAAGAAGAAGTGGTTGTTGTGGGCCATCGAGGCGTAGTTGAAGACGGACGCCATCTCCGGGCGCCGGGAGTACTTGACCAGCAGTTCTCCAGGTTTCGCATCGGCATCAACAGTGTCTGACCTATCCATCAGCAATTGTCTTCCAATTCGGTTGTCTTCCTGCGCGAGATTGCAAACAGGATCCCGCGGAGTGGTGTCGGAGCTCACCCTGCGTCAAAAGGTTCAGCTTGTCAATGAGGAGGGTCTGATATTGCGTCCACGAGAAGTCAAACGCCTCGGGTGATAGCAGCTCCGGAATGCCATTGTTTTTAAAGTAGGAGTCGTGGGTGAGCTGAGGAACGCGGTGCAGGCCTCGAGTTTGGAAGCGTGGGAGCGCGGAGACGGGTTTCTATCAGGATGCAACCGTTAGCGCCGGGGTGGCCATTGGGACCGCGGAAAAAGCGTACCTGGGAGAGGGAGGAGACCGCACGCAGCGGAGCCTGCGGCCGAAGAAGTCTGGGAAGCATGATGGCGGCGTGGGTTAGTGAGGAACACAGCGGAGAAGAGCGAGAGCAACAGCGACAAACCGAAGAATTTCATCTCCATCCGCTCCGTTGCCTGTTCGGGAGTAGCGTGGCTGAGATAAGCGGGCGCCAACTGCAGACCAATCAGCGTCCCACGATCTACTCCGGCGCTTCTGAACATTTCAACGTCCACCGTCGTCTCATCTAGTGTTGCTTTCTCTTCTCTACGCGCTCACTCCCCTTCCTGACGAAAATAAAAACATCGGCCCACCTGTCATGCCTGTCTGGCGCCTATATCAACTCCTATTCATGATTCGGCTCAGTACTCGCTCCCGGTTCTATTCCGGGAAGCAGACAGCGCGTACAGCTGCAATATCTCTGGGTTCTCTGCAACATGAAACCAGGGTTGCTCTCAAAATGCTTGGGCGCCTATCCTCCAAGTGAGGCTATTTGGATCTCTGGGTGGCCATATCAGGTCGAAAAATGGGGTCTCTTTGTCATCTCCTGGTTGTTCTCATTGTTCTCTTTACTCCAACCTCTGTCTTTACCTGGGTACACCTGACTCTTATATACTAAACCCCTCCCTTCACTCACTGTTCCAAGCTCGACCTCACACATGAACAACATGGCCAGACGACCGACAACACTTCTTCTCCTCACATTCATAGCGGCCATTCTACCAAGCCACGCTGCGTCTATCACGCGACGAGACGGAAACGCCTGTCCAGCTTCCTACAAAACATGCTCGAATGCCAACCTACTAGCCTCTTTCTGCTGTCCGACATCGTCAACATGCATCAGTCTTGACCAAGGGAGCTCCGTCATCTGCTGCCCGGAAGGCCAGAGCTGCGACTACATCGAGCCTATACCCTGCAACGTTCAGCTCCAAAACGCCACTCTCCACCCCAGAAACCCCGTTAAAACAACCAAGCTAAATGGAAAACTACCTACTTGCGGAGATTCGTGCTGTCCATTCGGATACTCCTGTAACGGGAGTAATGTATGTGTCATGGACGGCGTGACCACCTCAAGCACAGCGACGACAGCAAGCACACAGAGCACAGAGAGCACATCATCTACGAAGAGCGCAAAGACCACCGAACCAACCACCACAGAAAAGCTCCCTCAATCCCAGTCCACCTCCACGCTCACAACCGCCAAATCCACCGCAAGTGACCCGCCCACCATCACCACCGACACCACAGTCCCAACCTTCATCTACACATCCAACTACCCGCGCGTATCCACCTCCAAGGTCGCCGTCGCCGACTCCACCACCAATTTCTCCTCCTCGTGCCCCTCGTTCCCCACTGGCGCCGTCGTCGCCGGCTTCTTCCCCGGCGCAGTCTGCGGCGCCGCGCTCGCCCTCCTTCTCGCCCGCTGCATCCGGCAGTACAAGGCGAGACACCTCCCCGCGTCGGTGCGGGTCGCCCAGAACACAAAACGCACGTCCACAGGAACGCTGATCGGAATTTCCGACCCCATCCCCTCCGAGGACAGCGCCTGTCGGACCGACTTCCTGCTCAGTCGGCCGCCGAAACGGAACTCTGACGGCGCCCGCTCCATGCTGCACCGCACCGGCACCCGTGTCAAGAGTCTGTTCGGCGGAGCGCCCAAGATCACCGTCCAGACGCCGGATGGTACTACCTCCGTGAAAGAGGTGCCGCCGCCGCTGCCTATCATGCCGCGGAAGGCGGTGCCGCGTCGTCAGCCCAGCACAGAGAGTATCAAGGTGTATACGCCGCCTGGCGTGTTTGCGAGTACGGCGGTGCTGAGGCCGGAGCCGTATCCCAGTGCTATGATACGGCCGAATACGACCTTTTCGGATATGATTGCCCGGTCGAGGGACGGGGCTGCGCCTGCGACGCCCCCAAAGGATCATAATGGGCTTCGAGTGCCTCGTGTGTAGGAGCTTTGCTGTTGTCCATTGTATGCGCGTCGATATTCGTTGTCTGGCATATTGTGTGGGTTGTATATAGACTGATATCCTCGTTGCCATTCGGTTGCTTGAAACGCCCTAATACGCGTAAAATATAATCTGCATGGTTTCTTTAAAGTTGATAATATTCCGAACAATATACTATATACTATATTAAGTAAACAGCCCTAACTACGACTCACTCTTACGGGCCTTCCAGATGGCGATCATTCTCTTGACCTCCCGCAGAAGACCCACGACGAGTGGCACACCCACCGGTCCCAATAGGGGCAGGTAGACCGCCACCTTGTGTTCATCTGGGAAATACACCTGGCCCACCATGCTCTTCTCGAAGAAACTGCGTTTCCGCCTCCGCCTGCGCTACACGAGCATTAT